ACACTGAGAGTAATACTACTACTAGCAGTTTGGCAAGTGTTTCCTCAATGCCCTTCATGTTGATGGATTATTGTCTGCCTTGTTTACCACTGTTTTATCAAATAAAATAAAATAAAATCAATAACAATTATAAAAGAAGAAAAATATTGCGATTTTCGGTTGCACAAAAAGATGAGAGATTGCGAAACGATCGTGGACTTCTGGCGGTAAAACATTTCCGTTGCTCTTTTTTATTTAATGATTACGTTTTCTTCAATTAAAATTTGGAAGCTTGTCAAATAGTGCGCAGCTATGTACTGAACCTACGCGTTAACGCTTCACAGAGGAAAGCCCCCCCATGCCGTGAGTTATTCACACAGTCTCCGCCCACGCATATAGCGCTCCAACAAAACGTACTACCAGGTACAGGGTACAGGTGTAGCGCGTGGATCGCAGGCAAAATTCGAAATCTTCGGAGACTGATTGTGTACAGCTACATACTGAATCCACGCGTTTGCGCTTCAAACAGGAAGAGAAAATACCCCTCTTCGTCAAGCAACCCCTGGCGCTGCGGCGCTGGCTAGTCTTGTGGCCAATCTTGTGGCCAATCTTGTTAGCCACCAATATATCTACCGGTATGTATACCTAGATTCAAGATATTATAGCTACCAGTATTCTATGCACATTGTTTCGTACATCCTGTATTCTACCGGCATAGTTAGTACCCACGACAATACGATCGACATACAGCAGTGCTATGGGTCGTTGCATCGCACTTGTGTCGTTGCTGTCGTCGTTACCTCTGCTGGTCACAACGAACAACCTTGTTGGTGCTTCGTCATGCCCTGAAACATATACATCGTCATCATCATCAGCAGCAGCAGGAGGAGGAGGCAGAATTACGACTACGTTAGACTTTGACAGCCCTCCGGCAATCGAGAGCGGTTCAACTTTTGGTAGTGTCCGAAGCTACTGTGGCTTTGACTTCAGGCCTCCGCCTTTGGTCGTGGACTGTGCCAACAGTGAATGCTTTATTCCAGGAAAGGAGTCTGTCCTCTTCTTTGACAAGCCAACGACCATTGCCCGCACTGATCGGGGGACGTTCTCGCTGGAGAGCTTTCAGTTCTATAATCACAATGCATCTGTCACAGAATTACACTTCTCCTTCACAACGCAGTTCTCCCAAACGGAAATTGGTCCCATTCCCCTTCCATTTTTATCTGATAACGGAGAAGAAGCTCAACTCATGCCGCAGTTTTTCGACATGTCCAACGACATTGCATCAGTGACGTTGATTCCAACGTGTCCGGATGGTTTTGCGTTCTCATTGTCCAGTTTGAAGTTTTCCTACGACACGCCCTGAACTATATGTAGCTATTGAAAGCAAGCTCTACGATAATGATTGTAGTAGATAACTTTATTCCTATGATTGTACCTACCTACGACTACTAGCTATTGCTGCTGGTATCAAGCATGAGGGCCTCACTATCACCAGAGCTTTTCACTGATCGTGACTTTGACATTGCGCTGTGCCTTCTTTTTCATTGTGTGTCTACAACCTCTATATTCTTCCTGCTTCCATACAACATATCTCGCTCCAAGGTGGATTGATTGGATAGAGGATGTACAAAATAGAGTAATTCAGCCTCTATAGATTCGAGGAGGTGTCCATGGCCATCCGCGGTATTCCTACGCTCCAACCTGGATTGGAAAATAATCCTTCCTCATATAACTACAGATATATTGATGGTCTATTCTTTTGTAAGGTTTTACATGATTGTTTCTTTCCTATTCCAATCGTCATGCTTGCCACTCGCCAGCATACTTGACGGATCCAATCTTATCTCACAACCAACCACAACGGAGGCGAAAAAAACTATTGCTTTTCTTCTTCTTTACCAGTTGCCTTCATTTCTTCCAACAATCGTTCATGCCATACAGGAAACTTACAGATGACCGCTTGGTCATGCTTGTGAAAGATGGCAAACGCCAGAGGTTGTGCATTCATAGTCTTGGTCATGTCGACCTTGGTTCCCATCGCATGTTGATAGTAGGATCCAAAGCACATGGTATGATCGTACAACTCGATTGTATAGACATGTTCTGGATTCGTACTATACTTGGACGCATTCTTGGGTTTGGAGAGATAGCTACGACGCTTGGACGACGATGTCTCAATGCCCTTTTTGGGTGGTTTCTCCCCAAACAACAACTTGGTGTTGTCTTGCAAGTCATTCAGAATGGATTTCTGTGTCAAATCCGGTTCTTCGCCAATAAGATCGACTCGCATAGTCTGTGCCGATCCAAAGGCCGCGAGAATCTTGGGATTGTCCGAGGTCATGTCCATGATCAAACCAGGCGAAATGGTTTCCATGAATCGTTGATACATGCGCATGATGGCTCCCTTTGGAATCCCGAGAAAGGGTTTCTCATAGAAATCGCCCATGGCAATATCCGAAAGTGGAATTGACTTGCGAAAGTGTCCTTGCACCACAAATTGATAGTGTCTCTTCTTGCCGTGAAAGTACTCTTTATGAGATTCGTGAGATGACGACGACGATGATGATGAGGATTCCTCGGATTTGTTGGAATTGTCAGCAGGTCGAGTATGTCCACTGCTGTCGTCAGGAGGGCTTGTTGTTGGTGGAAGGGGTTTCATACGACAAATCATCTTGCCCACAAAGAGATCGGTTTCAAACTCAATGAAATCACCCAATGGCAATGGAGCACCGGCTTCGTAATCCTTGGTGTGCACATCCGGATGCGCACAGAAATAAGCGGGTCGGTGAGGCCATTCTGATGGATCCGTGGAAGGTGGAGGACCGCCGCCTTTGATAACCATGCTGTTACTGATTGATTGACTGTTGTAGTTGGTGGAGTGAGAGTATCACGGGTGATGTTTGTGATTACACAACTGAAATGTGCGCTGTGTAGGTGAGTTGTTCCGAGAATAATAAACGTTGCTGACGATGAGATGGGATGATGTTCGTTTTTTGCTTCCATCGTTTGATGATGACGTGGTTTCGATGACCAAACAGTAGGCAGGAGGACACGGTCAAAAAATCAAATGTCGGACATTCGGACATCTTGTCGTACAAGCTTCTGCGAGCCAGCAAGTCCCAATTTGAAAATATTGTTTATATATTTGACGGTACTTTCTCGGTATGTTTATTTACTTGGATAGAGGTAGGGCCGTTGAAGAAACTTCCAGCGATTGGGCCGGATCGTGCCAAATCGCGCGCAAATCTATAAATTCGCATCCTACACTTTTTTCTGATGGTCCATTCACTTTAGACCTAACAATACATCATAAGTAACAACAGTGCAACCAACCACCATCATGCCGGAACCTGCTCTCCCGTCAGTTACATATGCAGACTACAAGAGAGCCATACGAGGAAGCAAACGAAAGAATGACACCTCGCAAAGCAGTAGTGCTTCCATGAAAGAAGAAGCAGTAGCTTATCCTGTTGTCAAATCAAGTAGTAGTTCACAAAATAGCAAAAAGAAAGGACGAACATCGATCCATTCGGGCGTGAAAGCAAGCAAAGATTCTTCCTCATTGCTTCAGAACGATGTTGCCACCTCCTCTGCTCAGATAGAGAAAGATGTCAGTCAACAGAATACTAGTGAGACCAATACGCACAACAACAACAACACTGATCAGCAAGATGAAGGCTTTGAAGTGTTGGAGCAGCAGCATTCAGGTGAGCTGGAAACATCGAGCTTGACGATACAACATACCATCTCAGGTGAAAGTGAGAGTCCCTTGGAACAGAAACAGAACAACACAAACAACAACAGAAACAACAGTTGTGACGAAGGATTTGAAGTCCATGATTCCACTCTCATCATATCGTCACAGCGACAGCAAGGAGAACCACAACATTCCACGGATAATGCCAAGACGGAAGATCCTATTCAAATTACAGAGTCCATTTCTTTCAAGTCTGCCGATGATAGCATATTCAGCACAGAAGGACAACAACAGAAGGAATCCCCACCACGGAAAGTTGTTCACACTGCGGCATTAGCATCAGACTCACGACTAAGGTTGTTCACGACGTCCGCCATTGACATGACGGGTTGCATTCGAAAATCTGATTCACCAGAATCTTCTTCCAACGGTGGTGGCAGTGATAGCACCCGTTCCAACAATATTCGACAGCTGGGATTTCCACACTCTCCCAACAAAAAGAGTAGTAGTCACAGCAGCAGCAGCAGTCCAGAAAAAGAAGAAGTTTCGTCCGAACCAGGTAAAAGTCTGGATCAAAGATGGCAGGACTTTGGCGCTTCCTTGACCCTATTGGGAGCGCCAGTGCTCAGCTGGTTTTCGGCAACGACATCGGACGGTGTGGTGGCAAATGATGATGAACAACAAGTAACAACACAGCCTACTACTAGTCACGATGATAAGGACAAACGAACTAGGCAAGATTCAAATTCGTCAGAGTACGCAGATATGGTCTTGGACACTGCACCAGTGGTGGACGACACGTGTTCTTCGTCCTCGACGGTATCCAAGAAAAAGATTACTACGTCGTCTCTATCATCTACCGACCAAGGATCCCTTTCCTCGCATGATGGTGTCGTTGGAGAAACTACTCCTCGAGCGCAGATTGCCTTGCCTCGACAACTGTCCCGCTTATTTAGTGCCAAAGGTGGAGCAGGTGGTGGCGAAAGCGATAACGACAAACAGGATGGCTTCTCCATTGCGGATTGGTCGCAGAAGACTTGGAACAAAGTGGTCACATCTATTCCTTCCAAGGACGAAAATCCAAAAAGATGGTATCAACTTCTTCTTGGACTCTATCTGATCTCAGCATCCATTTTCATCACGATAATGGTACTGGTAATGAAATCGGGTGGTGGTACTGCTGCTTTCATGCTTTCCCAAAATAGCAGTGACATTGTGCGATCTTCCGCTCCTACAGTTACAGCTTCCGTGGTTCCGAGTGACAGCCCATCACTGGTGCCATCCAATATTCCCACCAACTCACCTACCATCACTGGAAGACCAACTAGCTCTCGAGCTCCATCCACAGTACCGAGCGAAGCACCATCACACAAGCCTTCCATTGAACCCTCTGGCAATCCTACCATGACTGCCATGCCAACCTCGGAACCCATGACCTATGTTCCAGGCAAGCTAACCGTTGAATCGAATGGACTCAAATTGAGCGAAGGATTAACCAGTCGCATCATTGCACGATCGGGACAAAAAGTCTTGCTCGATGGCCGTGGATTTCTTCCAACCAATCAAGAAGATGACTGGAATCATACTACTAGCAGTAGTACTACTACCAATTCCTCCTCAATCGCTCCATCGTCTTCGCCAACGGCCTGGTCCATTGAATCTGACGAGGTCTTTCATTTCAAACCAGATGGAGCAGCTGCCTATCTGTGGCCCGAAAATGACGACTACAATGGAAAAGGTTGGGTATATGTCAGCAATTCGGAAGTTTGGGACCAAGGAGATGGAGGTGTGGGAGCCATTTACTTTGATGATCAGGGAAGAGTCGTGGATTACAAGATGCTCATCAATGGAACGACTGCAAATTGTTCTGGCGGAAAGACTCCTTGGCATACTTGGGTTACCTGTGAAGAAGCCGATGATGGAAGAATCTATCAAGTGGATCCATTGGGAATCCGGCCACCAGAAGAAATGACAATTGGAATGGGACAAGGCAAGTGGGAATCCTTTGCCTACGACATTCGTGACCAAACCAAGCCACGATACTTTGCCACCGAGGATAAGGATTCCGGAACCTTGAGACGATTCACACCTGATGAGCCGGACTGGGACGATCCATGGACCATGCTTCAAGCCAATGGCACTGTTGACTTTTTGATATTTGAACCCTTCGACTTGGATGGACGAACAAGTGGTACTTTCTTTTGGACTACCGATCTACGAGCCGCCAAGGAAAATGCGCGAAGATTCTTCCGAAACTCAGAAGGGATTGATGTCCGAGACAACCAGCTCTTTGTTGTATCCAAAGTCCAGAAAGAACTGTTCATTCTGGACTTGGATGCCATGACCTATGAAGTCCATTCCACTGTCGTTGGATTGTTTGATGGTCAGCCAGATCAGATGAAACGACTGATCTCTGACGACGGCAAGGCTGGAACCAAGCACGACAAGAGTTTGTTGTACTTTTGCGAAGAAGGCGGAAGGAATAATGGAATCCATGCACGAGATAGTTCAGGATGGTACTTCACTGTACTCGAGTCTGATACATTGGATGGCGAGACGTCTGGACTTGCCTTTTCTCCAGATGGCAAGCACATGTACTTTTCCTATCAGCACAGAGGCATAATATTTGATGTATGGCGAGAAGATGGTCGACCATTTCATGGCAAGACGCTCAGCGTCAAGTACCACGAAACCGGTGAAGCCACCATCCGATAACTTATTTACAAATAATTCATAATGAATGCAAAATGCTCTAATAAAAAATAATTCATAAACACAAATGGCAAGCGAAAAGCAATATTATATGTCTAGAAGGTTGATGATTCTAATTTCTATTGCAACATGGCGAACAGCAAACCAAATGCAGTGCAAAAGGAGACTAGTCCCTTGCCGCCAGCCATAAAAGTACTCCCACCACTGTTCAGTGAGGCAGTTCCTCCTCCTCCTCCATTATCATCACCATCGCCCGCAGTGACACCTTCGTCATCAGCCCCATCATTATTATCATCTGTCACTGGTGGGGGGTTACTACACTGGCATTGTTCATAGAGAGATTGCCATTCCAAATCGTCCACCCAAAAATCTGTAATCCTGTTGAGTGCCGTAGTCGAATCGCCATCCTCCGAAAAGACATTATTATTGCCCGTTTTGCAGTCCAACGGCAGCGGTAGGAACTTGAAATAATCCACCAAGTCGGCACAAGTAAACCCCATGGGCGTTTGAAACTCCAAATTCCGCGCAGCCTGCTCGTTGGGACAAAAGGTGCAGGTGGGTGCCGTGGGCGAGGCCGAGGGCGGTGGCAAGTCACTGGCGCCCACTGCGGGAGGCAAGGTCGCAACGCCGTCGGTAGGTGTGGGAGCCGCCGACGTTTGGCATCCACAATAGAGCGATAATGACTGTAATACAGTACAGTCCAACCCATCCGACTCGATGAGATAGTCATTCGCTTCCTGGCAGGTTGGAAATTTGGTAGTGCCATTGTTATTGTTGTCGAGACTAATAATACCATCCAGTGTAGGAATGACACTTGTGGATGGAATGACACGATCTGGAAACTGAATGGAACTTCCGTCGGGACATAGTCCAACGCATAACAAGAATGGATTTGGTGCATCAATGGCAGAAGCATAGTTGCATCCACTAACTGTCCAAGTATCGCAGTTCGTTGCTGTTAGTCGATCACCAGGATATCGTTTGCACCCCGCAAAGTCCATTCCACAAAAGCTGTAGCATTCACAAGTTTCATTGGCCCTATCCAATAATCCTGTCGTACAAACTAGAGGCAAACAAAATAGATGAGAGAGAGAATATTAATGTGTGTGCAGTAATGACATGATGATATGATGACATGATGCTTTGATGTTCTTACAATCTGGATTCTGTTGGACGCCACAAGTAGGAAAGTCTACTTGATCACGGCACCCACATCGTACTCCCGCCACAATAAGGTCCAGTTCCTTTTCCTCACATTGTTCCACGGTCATGTTTTTGGTCAGTTCATCGACTTCCCCACAAGTCCCCCCTTTGGGAATGGATCGATCGGATTGGACCAACACTTGATCTTCCGCACACAATCTGCAATGTGGTTCTTGTGCTCCTGAAGTTGCCAGAATGGCAGCAGCCAGTAGAACTATCATTCCCCTGAGTATTGGTGCCATTTTCCCCCTTGAATTTATGAATTATGGATCGTGCGTGTGTTGTTGATGTGATGCGGTCGTTGTCGCTTCTGATCTATTATTGGTTCTTATTATGATCGTCAATATGTGATGTGATGTGACGTGACGTGATGTGTGAAGAAGAACGCTGAGACAATCAAATAATCGATGAATGAATCCAACTTGTTTGTCGCTTTCTCTATCTATTCATATTATGACTGGGGACAGTGGCGGTGCTGCTGGTGAAGGTGCTCCACGTTGTTGATGATTCTTCTAATTCTCGTCGTCACAAGTTAAGTGAAGGTCGACAAAATTTCAAACTGCCAGCTTCCGTTCGGTTTTGGCGGGACTTCTTCCAAAATATTTCGGTTCGCACTCAACTCACAACTCACAACTCCTTTTATCTCGTCCGCCGCTCGTCCGTCCGATTGCCGATTGCAAGATTGCTAGATTGATTCGTTCGACTAAAATGAAAACGGGAGCAGCGTCTGGAAAAAACTACGACCACATTTATGGTTTGGAATTGAATCAGCGGGTCATTTGGGTGTGCAAAGCTTCTGTTCTTAGTTTCATCGTATAACGGAATATTTTATCAACGATATCATTATGTGTTTGTCATTCCGAACCGCGTCCTAAATCTGCTCGTGAAGAACGACGCCAACGCAATAAGATTGGTGCGTTTGCCACCATCCATCCATTGAGTGACGCTATATTGGTTCTGTGGCCAAATTTTTTTCCGCCGTCGCATCCTACCATACGCGAAGCACATACACACACACAATCATCACACACTCCTTTCCCTTTCTACCATTATTTTTTGCCAAAGTCTCTCACTTTCTCGCTCACCAAACGAAAACGGATATGCTTCTCATGAACGAATTCTTTGCCAAACTATCGCAAGACGCTGGAGTCACTGAAATATCGATTGTGAGTGATGGAGCCATCACACCACGATCCTGTGCCAGTCGTCGTCAGCAGCCTCATTCCACGTCACCTTCACGACGCCGAACTAACAGCAATACTGTTACTGCCAAGAAGGATGGAAAGCAACAAAAGTTTGTGCCTAGTCAACAACATACGGATAGTGCACCGCCTAGCTATCCGTCCCGTAATCGGGTGGTAGCTAGTAGTAGTATTCATAAGACTAGTGGTGCTGGAAAGCAGAAGGAATACGAAAATGGTTGCGTGGAACAACCATCACCACCATCACCACAGACCAGTCGTTGGCACGATTCAAGCAAGAACAGTGAGGCACTCAACAGTACTATTCGATCATCAATATCATCATCATCATCAACATCATCATCAACAATAACATCAACCACAAGACCAGGCTTTGAGGCTTCAATCATGCCAAATCGTTCAGCATCTGCAACAACTACACAGAATAATAATATGAAGACAACACCAACAACCACAACAACAGTGCCAGTGACGATACAACCACCAATGGCACCTAGACGGAAACAAAGCATTGATGAAACACTTCCAGAAGATATGTAGTTCTGCTTGAGGTTACTATCTGCATCCATCCACACTACGAAGGAGGGAGGGAGGGAAGGAAGTAATTTTGTGCAACTTATTACTGATGCTGTTGATGCCGTTGATGCTCTTATTGATTGGATGCATACTGTATGGCCACCAGTGAAGATATACAGCGAAAGGCAAGGTGGTTGTTCGCTGGATGTGAAAGTTCTTTAGTGTGATTGGGGGCTCGATTGATTGATTGATTGATTGATTGATTCGTTGATTGATTGATTCATTCGTTCGATGTATACCTATATTGATGCTGACGACTACTATACGTATCGATCTGCTGTTGGAACGATTGTGTATGTGTGTTCCTACATTTTCCCGCTTTATAATTTGCTGCCTGGAGCGAGTATTGTCATGTGATCTATTTACATCCTCTACCGGTAGATAGTAACAACAATCTGGGAGATTTTTGTATATTTATTTTAGAAGAATTCAAAATCTTTTGACTTTTATATTCATTTTTTTTTAAATAGTAGGATTCTCCTACAGGCAAACATGAATCAACACCATCAATGGATGATGTATTATTCTCTGCCCGTGCATGGTAGGATACAATAGATAGAGAGTTAGTCATCGTCTATATCTATATATCATCTATATATCATCATCACTAGCAAAATCGTTTGAGATAGAAAGTGATTTTCAGTGCAACTCTCGTCTCATCTGAACATGGCTATAGATGGATACCAGTGACATACTGTAAATTACAATTTGATTGTACTGTTCTCTTCCAGCCAGGAAAGAAAAAAAGGTTGTCTGACAATGAAAGCGTGATGGAGACAAATGTTCATTGTTGAAGGAAGCATAACCATCAATCCGAGGAGCTACTGTAGGCACAGTATTTTCGCGTCGTACCAGCAGAGATACTGTATCATGATTGATTGAATCAGTCATTACACATACAGTAATATCTTTTAAAAAGCTCGCATGCAGGACCTCAATGATATACCGGGTTGCGCAGAAAGAGTTGTTGTTGTTGTTGTTGAAGCATACTATAACCGCATGAATGAATGACAGGGGCTACCACATCCACGTCGTACCAGATACGAGTACCGGATGCATTACCTATGGTGCAGTATTGCGTAGGTCTATAGTGTATGGTGCATTATCAATTATCATGACATCCTGAAAAGCTCCTGCAGGACCTTTACTATATTGGGTTGCGGAGAAGGAGTTGTTGAAGACGAGGATGTTTGGTTATTCAAGCATTATAATATTAATACAACCAAGAATAAATGACAGGGGCTACCACATCCACGTCATACGCCACACTGGAGAGTGGAATCATTACCGTTTCGGTCCGGCTGTATGTATCGTATGTGTGCGGTTGCGGTTTCGAAGTCGCAACCTAACTCTGATCGCAGATGAAGGAAAATCCGTCACTTACACAAGCGTTGTGTTAAGTACGCGGCCACTCAATCGGCATTCCCCTCTTGCAAATGCACAATTTCGATGCTTTCTCGGCCAATCAAATTGCACTTTGCCGTTTCGCAGGAGGTTTCTTATTTTTTCGGCCGAACCTTTCAAAAAATCAGTTTTAGATTTATCTTGACGATCGGGAATGATCTGAGAGATTTATCTGGGCTATTATATGTGCAGCAATGAGAAGGATACATTGATATTTAGGGCCCTGGGGTATTCTCCTCATTCAAATTGATAGATTAGCTCCCTCTAGCACTTTTTCCTCGGACAAAATGAATAAATCGGAAGTCCACGAAGGCCAAATTGAAAATAAGATTATTTACTTACCATATTCGTCCCACAATTTTGAAAAACTGACAACCAAAACACCCACCCACCCACCAGAAACCATGATGAGGCAATACTTTCAAAACCTTGCCGCTGAAACAGGTGTATCTCAAATGACACTTGTAGGCGACAAGGCTAGTTTGCCATATTTCGGTCCTCGCAGAACTTCCTTGTCGATCTCCTTTGCGTCCTCCTCAAAGGCATCATCGACAAGCAGCAGCAAGAAGTTTCTGGAAGTTTCGGAAGATGACTTTGCTCCAAGCTTTCCCACCCGAAAGCTGAGCTCTGGTAGTTTGACCTCTCTCGATGATTCATCATCATCTGGTGATGATGATGATAATGATGATGATTCGCAATTGTCCAACTCTCGTTGGGTGTCCACTCCTACTACCAGATCCAAAAGTTACTCTCCCGTTTCCTTGACCCGAAAATCTCTCAATCGAAAGAATTCTGGTGATCTGTTGGCTGTCGGTACCATCAAGAGTGTCTTTCTCCGCGACATTATCAATGCTCCAACTGCTGTTGGAGGTGCGAACGAAGAGGCTACTATCAGTACTACGCTCCTGACTCCTCCCAAGAGGAAGGAGAGTATTGAAGACTCTTTGTTTTGCCTCCACAACGACACTGCTGGTAGTGGTAATGTTCGCCGTTCACGCAGTGCCGATCTTGTGGCACCTCTTGTTTTTCACAAATGCCTCTAAATGGCGCATTCCTCCTTGTGTGGAACAAACAAAACAATTTTGGACCATGTCGGTCTCCAAGCTCCTCCTCTGGTTCCTTGTTACTACTACTACTACTACTGCCACTACTCTTGAGTGGCAGTACAGTAGTTAGCTCGGACCATTGACAGCCATATTATCCTCTAGAATCATACAACATACAACAATACAAAATATTGCTTTTTTGGCAATTGAAACTGGTGGTGCCACTCGTGGGGCACTGATTCCGAGTTCGAGTTCTATACTACGGTACTGTACTCAAATGCCTTCTTTTCGGCATTCAGAATCCACATATTTACACATTTTCGATTGCATGTTTTTTATAACAACTATTTTACTTTTAAAAAATCTTTCACTCTTTTACCATTGACATGTTACAGTATCATGTTACAGTTGGTATCTACTGTAGCAATATTGGTGAATGAAGGATACTAATGTACTTTAGATCTCTTTCATCGCACAGGTACCTACCATCAGGGTGGGAATGACTGGTGACTCACTCTTGTGTATCATAGTTTAGATTATGGTGCAATCACACCAAGTGGCAGATTGTGCCGGTAGTATCTATCGACCATTGCGTCTCATCAGAGTCAGTCTGTCAAACAAATATACAGGTATACCGGTATATACCTACTGTACAGTATAACAGCGCGGCACTCCCAAGATAAATCTGAAAATATGATATGCATGATCGGAAAGAGGAAAAGTTTGCCAATGGGGGGCTATGAAGCCACGGATGAAAAAGCACTTTTTGTCACATTTCTGTTCTCCCCTCCCCCCCCGCGCCATGCATAACCTGATTTCGAATACTAAACCCTCCCCGCATTGTTGTTCATATCCCCTCCCCATTATTACATTTCAAAAAGGACTTTGGAAGCCCATCATGGAAAAAGGATGAGGATGAACCCGCTCTAAAATTTGTCCGCATCACAAAAAGGGTTTCTATGAAACAGAGCGAACTTTGCAGTTTTTGACGTCCAAAAATCGTTCTAACATTTAACACATTTCTGCGCTAATTTAACTTTCGCAACAAAAGGTGAAAGGTCTACTTAATAACACATTTTGCAGTAGTCGAAACGCTGGTACACTTCCTTCACTAGTTACGGTATTTTGTTAATTAAAAAAGACTTACCTCTGCCGACTTTCATGTCTGTGTGCATCGTTCACGATTTCGCATTTTTTGTTTGCGGTTTCTGAGAACTATACAGAACATTAATTTACCTACCGTATATCACCACTGTTCTATAAAACTGTCAAGCAGACCCTACCACCTACCACTGTATGCTATCAACACCCCTCTGAACACTACCGTCATCATGGAAGACGCCGAATCATTTCTCCAAACAGTAGGTGAAAGCAGCACACAATATGAAGACAGCACGGTGATGATGACGATGATGGCTACTACACAGCAGCCCTTGCCAACGGGTCTCTCTGATGTTCAAGAAATGGTGCTTGCAATTCTGCCAGTTCCTTCCGCCATCCTGAGTATCTTTGGGTCAACTTGCATCATTTACATGTCCTTGAAGAGTCGATTTGATAAATCGTGGACACCATATACGCGATTGCTAATCGGAATGAGCATCTGTGACATTATATCCAGTTTGACATTAGCAGTGGCAGCCTTTATGAGACCTCAGGAGAATGGCCGCGTCTGGGCCTTTGGGAGTGAAGCCACATGTTCTGCCATTGGACTGTTGACGCAGTTCTCCTATTCCGGTCTCTTTTACAATTCTATGCTGTCATTATACTTTTTGTTGTCCACGAGATTCAAACTAAAGAACCAAATGATTGCAAAACGATTTGAACCTCTCATGCACTTTTTGTCGTTGGGGTTCCCAATTGTCACGGCGGTTGTGGGAGCAATCATGGGCGTATACTCGACAACGACATCCGAATTGGGCTGCTGGGTCAATGATTTTCCCAGAGGGTATGTATAATAATCATGATGTATGATGTGTGATGATGACATCATGACATGTGTACCGGTATTACAAGTACTTTTGTCTAACAATTGCTTTCCAACATGCTTTCCAACATGCTTTCCAACATTCATTCATTTATTCATTCAGATGCATTGGTGAAGAATGCTTATCCATTACGATAGGATGGTACTATTTCGGCATGCCGTTTCTTATTTCCTTTGCCATTATTGGCCTCAGCAATTTGAACATTTTAATCTTTGTTCGGCAAAAGACCAAGAAATCACCAAGTAGTAATAGCAGTGGTCGAGGTCGAGGTCGTGATCATTCCATTACTGCCATTGGTGATTTGGGCGAAAGCTTTCACTCGAAATCAGGTACCACCACGGCGGGTGGCAATACCAATCCTGTTTCGGCGACCGATGGATCCTTTTGCCCTACCAGTCCGACGACTACTCTTCGTGATTCGTCGAATCCGCAAGATGGGTCCGCAGCCCGTTATTCACCAGCATCTTCCTTTTCCTTTATCACCATGTCGGGCAGTTTCAAAAGACAGACTTCGTGGCGAAGCAACAACCACAATAATAATATCAACAAGTCGCGGTCGTCGGTATCGGACTATTCGGATGCCGATGTCCAACGACAGCAAATGAAACGACTGCGACTGATCCTATCCCAAGCGCTCTTGTTTGTGGCCAGCTACATCTTTACGGCAGGTTGGTTGGGGTTGCTCCGCATCATCGAATCCATGGCCGAGACTCCCGAGGATGAATTGCGAATGGTACATCGAATCTATCCACTCATGGTGATCAATGCCATCATGGCTCCGTTGCAAGGACTTTTTAATATGCTAGTCTTTATACGACCAAAGTACTTGAAATGGAGGAACGAATATCCAATGGAGAAACGTTCTTGGGTATTCCAAAGGTGCATCTTTGGACGAAGCGTCCGACCCACCGTTCGATACATGAGTCCGCAACAACAACAACAACAACAACAGAATAAACCAGCAAGGGACGATCAAACAAATCAAAATGACAATCATAGTGACAACGAACTGTCGTGGAGGAAAAGTCGCGACACGGAGGACGAGGAACACGAAGATGGTAATGACGAAAAGGTTGTATTGGACAAAAAATTTCATTTCCCACGAAGTATGGCGTCTTCCCTGACGGCCAGTATCGGCGACTTTGATCATGTCCTTCCGGAAGGTCAAACAGATGAACGATGGCAAGCTAGTACCAGTGCTCGCAATCGATGGCACTCGTTGCACTCGAGTGTGGTATCAAGTTTGGAAGTCATTAGTGAACTTTCGGTATCTCTGTTTGAGTCGCATTATCCGACACCTGGCGCAAGCGGTGACGACGACAATGATAATGATGATGAGGTGGACGAAATGGAAAGGACCCACACAGATGACGACGATGAGTTGGATCTGGAAGCCTCTTTGCCCAGACCACCTCTGCTGAAGACGGGATCCAACCACTCGGAAGATCGCTGGAGTGCTTCCTCGCCGCCTCCCACAACACGTTCGCGCTCCTCTCCCATACCCATTACTATGCTTTGTAGCCAAAGGACAGACCCCAACGATTCTGCTGACGACCGATGGAGTACTGCCAGTCCCAGATCCGATCGAAGTCCATCATCTCATCGCAGTCCTACTCTTCACCGCGGCAATCGATCTCGAGGTAGAAACCCTACTGTTCGCAATGCGGATGGTACTGCTGGTGGTGGTTCGGTCAACTCCTCGGACAATCGTTCGGATGGTCGGTGGAGTAGTTCCTCTGCTCGGACTAGTCCTTTGCAACAAGATAGTAGTTTCAGGACGACACACCTGGAAATGCCACGGCGTCTTGTCAGTGAACAGCAATCCGAATTCAATAGTAGCACTGCTGCTGAAACAACAATACTTGGCGGTAGCATTGCCGAATCCTCCGTGGCATCTGCCAGCATGACCACTGATAGCAACAGTTCTGGAGAGGACACGCCCTTGCAGCCCCCGACACGACGATTAAGTCCTGGGGCTGAAACTCGTTCCTGTATTCCCGATGCACCTATTTTGTGAACCATCGATTGATTTGAAACAAAGATTCAATGCGATGATATGTATTATTAAAAAGTAATAGCTTGTTATACTATCGTACTACCACATTCTTATTTACCATTTAATAGAAACCGTACTCACATCACGACTATTAATCAAACCCTCCTGTTCCCATCCATAATACCGGTGGCAATTCCTATACTGCACCAGTACGAACCAGTGATGTCAAGTTGTCAAACCCTTCATGATCGATAGAGCGCGGCTTCTTCCTCACCCAATTTAGCGTTGTGACTTTTTTGTCACTGCTTCCATGTTCATAATTAGAAAAGATTCCAAATTCCGGTGTGCACAACTTTTGTCAAATATTAATTTATATGCATTCCGCTATGCAAGAAACGCAAAGACCTTTCGAATGCAATAAAAATCATGAGAAACGGAAAGTGTTTTTCCACCCCTTCAAATGCATAATTAAACTTATTTCAGTCTGTTCTAAGTAAATAGTCCATTTTCTCGGAATAAATTCGCTCGGGTGAACGAACTTTGGTGCACTGAAATTGCTTAATTGAGAACTTACCTATCCTTCGCATCGGCCAATTCTGAGTTGGTGTCCGTATCCAATAGTATCGCATTCGCGTCAACATTCAATATATGCGTTGGTTTCGTTTCTCTCGTGTGTGTACCGGTACCTGTTGAGCCACAAAAACGATAAGATCGCAAGTTTTTAGTATTTTTTCCCCGACTAAACAATCATAGCATATTTTTTAACAACTCAAGATGATTGATATTGTGCAACAGAAACCCAACACTACGATTGATAACAATAAGACCAATCCCGACAAGATGACCCAGCACAACAAAGACCTCAAGTCTTACTTTGAACAATTGGCAATCGCCAATGGCGTCAAAGGCTTCAGTTTGGTGATTGATAATGCGCTGACTCCACGATACGATGTCAAGCGGATCTCTGCACCTCCGGCCATCAATGGAGCCACCCGCAAGTTCCTCTCGCATCATCAAGCCGATGACGACGCAGCTCCTAGTTATCCTTCGAGACGCAGAAGTTCCGGAGTCGAAGCCTTTCAACGAGGAAATGGTTCCTTTATGCGATGGAGTGCGCCTTCTAGCTTAGAGACAACAAATGCTACCTCTGGCAACCACACCCCCACCAGCTTTGACCGCTTCAGCGCTGGAAGCATGAATAAGAATCCTAATTTTCTGGAGACTGTCTTTGATGAAGTCGACAGCATCCTCTATGAAGAAAAAGATGATGATGATGATGATGATGATCATCATCTCTCTGTGGAATCTGATGAAATTTCCACAGGTGAAAATGAGTCCCAAACGAACGACAACAATGCCCAACATGATGACGATGTCGGAAAACCAAAAGACACTCGCTTTGACTCCAACATTGGTGGTGGTGGTCAGCCCCCTCGTCCCATGTCAAGACCTCCCGTGACTCCAGTTCCTGATCGGCAGCGCAAAATTGAGCTACCCAAACTTCCAGTCCGCCAAGAAAGCATCGATGACTTTAGCACGGCTCTCAACAACCGAGATTCCTCTTCTACTACCATCAGCTTGTCGAGCTCTACTACTGACTCTCCGTCAACCTTAGTCCCTCCCCTGCAAGCTTCGTTTGCTACCTGTGTTCCGATTGAGGAAACCAGGAGCTGGCACGAAGATGACGAGGATGATGATGATGATGATGAGTCAAGCTCCGAAGTGAATCATCATCGACCAATATTTGTCCCACCACCAACAACAAAAGAAGACGATTCCGATAACACAGACTACGGCTATGAAGATGCTGATGCTGAACTGGAACGCCAAAATATGGCGAGCAGTCCACCTCCACCATTGGAAGAACCATCACCATCCAATGATGATGAATTCTCAAAGTACGGACGCCGCCGACGATCGAGCAATCGTCGTCGTCGCAGTAGTTTGGATACTGGACATACCTTTCGCAATTCCTTCAACTCTGTCAATAGCGGCAGTAGTGGTGAGGATTCTGGTTCTGGTGAGCTAAAGTCAAGATGGGATTAAAAGCAGTTTCATCTGCAGAAGGTTGCAAACGTGATCACTATGATCCAGCAACATACATCAGGGAATGGGAAATCAGCTAATATATATCAGCAGTATACTACTATTGATAATGTTATTTCATGAGACTATCACTGTAATTTGGCTATTGTTTGTAAATGTGAAGTAAATAAAATACATTCAGCTTACTAACAGGACCTATGTACACCATTACGACATCTATTCACACAAGCTCACGTCTCAGATGCCTTGGTAAAGTTCGGATCATGCAGTGTTATATTCATCATTCATAGAAAAAATCAATACAAATCTATTACCAGTAATATAGTCTATTCTTTTAGTCTTTAATAATCTGCCCCCTCTCATCACGTGGCTTCTTGATTCTAGCCTTCCAAGTATTCTTTTGTCCTACGCTGGTGCGAAGAACGAATTTCTTCGGGTGATCATTGTCCAAAGTAGGACTGTAAATGATGGCCGAATGTCCTTTGTACGATAACATGGCTACCGGCAAAGTAATGTCGTCATTGATCTGACGTTCTTGCTCGTATTCCAATTGCAAACACAACTTCATGGCCAAATCGTAGGTTAATCGGCGTTCCTCACTCTCACGTGCGAAGCCTTTGATCTGGACTAGTTCGTGCTCATTCAGCAACTTCCAAATAGATCCCAAAGTTTCATCGGAATAACTTCCCAATTGATCATTTGATGGCAAGACAAAGGATGGGAGTTTCTTTCGGGCTTGTCTCTTGGAGGCTTCCTTCTTCAGGGCGGTCCGTTGATTCGGAGTGGGAAACTCTACTACCAATTCGTCTTCACTACTCATAATATCATTCCCGGCCCTTTGATGTCCTTCATTGTTTTTGGGGTCCCATACAACCGAAAGTGAAGACGATGAGGATGAAGTGATGGGGGATGCTGTTGTTCGAAGATCATGGAACGTAAAAGCTGTAGTGGTGGTGGCCGTCATGGCAACTGACAGAATCAAGATTGCCAATTTATAAGTGCTCTGATTCATCATACTTCCTTTTTTATACAACTATGTAAGAAGAGTGAATAATCAAAATGGCAGCGTACAGTAACGTGATCTGAATGTAACTGATATAGGCTGTGCGTTCAGATGATGTCTTTTCTTCGCGTGTTCTTGTTCAGCTTGATGGCCAAGGTGACGTCTACGTCTGTCATCTCCGGTATGGATGGACTCAATGGACCAATCTTGAGTGGAACGATATTGTACTGGTACCAGTTTCAACCGCCAGTAAACCATCAGTGTCACTATAGTGTGAATGCCGGAGAAAGTCCTACTTGTTATCTCTTACCTTTGTATTACACTTTATAATACTGTAGTCGAAAGCACCTCTATACGACAAGAGAGTAGCTTCTTGTTCACCGTCAGTGGTCCAAGCAAGAAGCTCATGAATCCATATTTCAAAAATATAAATGAGCTTAGCTCTATACTGTTGAATAAGCAATCGAATAGGCATGCTATAGTGTATAATCTTCAATGAATTGTAATAAAATTTTTCAAAAAGTGGTAGCGTAGGATGGTAGCTCGTTGCTGGAACAGCGCAACATATGTATCGTTTTCAAAATTTCCATCTAGCTTCTCTTGATATCAAATCGGAGTTTGGGGTGTCATCCTTCACGGAGGTCTCGTTTCGTGTAGCAATGTTGCGCGAATACTGAAAATGGGATGGATTCAAAGACCAGATATTCTGGGCGTGGTCGTTCTTCGGTGCTGCCACAGCTGCTGCTGCAATGACAACCGTTTCAGAATTTGCGAGGAGGCAGACAGCTTCATAATCAACATCCAAGGTTCGCCTTGGCCGACTTGGACACTTGTCGTCTTCCGGACTGACAACCGAAAACTTGAGATCCTGCTTTTCATCCGACGAGGAATAGCCACAAGAAGACCGCCGTCGACTGTACTTGTTTTTTTCTTTTTTTCCTTGCTGCTTTTGTGGAGTTGCTGCATTGTCGACCACGAGCACAAAACAATTTGACCCGTGATGCTCTGAGAGCATACAAAAGTATTCTTGCATAGCAATCATGATTTTATTGTAGAAGTTGAATTATGTAAAGCTTTGCAAAACTATTATTCGTGAAACCCATTCACAATTTGTGGTCCCTTTTTCCTTTGCAACGGCGGAAAAGCCCGTTGGGGCGGCTTTTCTGATCACCAGGACTTAAGACATTGTCATTTCTTTCGTCACATCAACTGACTGCCCTATATGCATTTTATGTCCCAGTCATTAGACCATTTTGAATTGTCATTTTTAAAAATAAAAAAAAGCAAATATTAAAAAATATCATTGATGACTTTCAACTTTTTAAAAAAAAAACACGTCAATCTCCGATGACTAATTTTTTATGGAAAATATGACACGCCACGCACTTTGAACTTTCGGGGCCACCTCTTGCTCGATTGATTGGTTCATTCGCTCTATATACCCTCTACTATCTGGTACGAATACCGGTGCAGTAGACAGCTGCTCTGGGGTATGAAACTTCAAACGCACCTGTTTCATTGGGTCAGCCTTGTCCTCTGCAAATTTGGCTCAGCAGACATTGGGACGAAAAGTCTGTCTGGCTCAACATCACTTGACAAGCCGACAGCATCGATGGATTTTCTCAGTCTGCTTGCTTTGTGCACATTTGGCTCATAAATATTCTTCTGACAAGCTTTTCACCGAAACATAACACCTTCCTCCTTTAGAGAAAAGGAAAATCCTGTCTCACGAAGATATGTGTACTCTGATCTACCCGAATCGGTACACGTACTTGTGGTATCTTAAGTTGGATTCAGCACTCACAATCTTTGCGCCAGCACTATGCCGAGCATGAATACCCCGACGGAGTCTTACTATCCATATTATATCTCGGATCATGCAGGATCGGTTTAGGGTCCCAGGTTCAGTTGGTGGAGCAAGCCGTGCATGATGATGGTCTGCGCAGGCGACAAAGATAAAGCACTCTCGTCTTTTGTGCGCTTCGAAAATGGGTCAGATCGTTTCTCCCTTTCATCAGAGTGGTGTCTTCTCCTCGGCCTTTTTATTGTATCAGGCAGACTGTGCCTAGTAGTTTGCAGGCAACATTCATCAGAATTCGCTTGTCGCACTGGGAATCTTGTAAGTGAACAATCACACCTTGATGAGTAGACAGGCTTTGAGGATGATGGCACAGCTTCCAGGATTACTGCCAAGACATCTTCAGTCGAAGCTTGCAGTGTCATCGCTGTGGATGAGATTCTCAGTCTCATTGGAGAGATAACTCCTTTATTGTCATCAGAAAAGCTTGCAATGCTGCCGTCACCGGTGTAGGTGGTAAAAGTCTCGTCGACATCATGTTCAGCCGTTTCGACCTTGAAACGACTTCTTTCACTGTCACTGCACTTGGCATATGGATTGGACTCAGCTCCAGTCTCGTCGTGGAACGCCAGTGAGGACGATGGGAACACTCCTTCCCGATGCGGTTCATCCAATTGTGGACGAGGCGAGCTCCGTCGGACAGAGTTATCTGGCGACCTTGCATTGTCGGAAATTAAGATAATTGACGCCGCTCCCTTCTCCGAAGCAAGTCTCTTGAAATAGCACTGTAGACTCATTTGCTGCGTGGGTTGAAACTTCAACGCGCCAATATGAAAAGTCGATGTAGCCGCCGTCTGACGCCAAACACTTCTTGAACCTTTCGCTCAATACTGCAGACTGACCACAGCTCCTTGGGTATCATATGACACTGCGACGCATCTATGAATGCAGCAGTCGAAAGCTGACGCCGTCTGACGATGCAACACTTCTTGTGCGATTCGACCAATATTGCTTTATCAGTAGACAACTGCTTGGGTGTGAAACTTCAAACGTATCTCTCATTGGGTCGGCCTAGTCATCTGCAAATTTGCATCAGCATAGGCAGACATTAATTGGGACGTAAAACGCACATTTGGCTTATAAATATGCTTCTGCTGATTAGCTTTTCACCAAAACATTATAAAGTTTCATCGCTCCTTCTTCTTTTCGAGAAAGGGAAAATTCTGCCTCACGAAGAAGTGTGTAGCATGATCTACCGGGGTATCGGTAGTACATGTGGCATCTTGAGTTGGTGGATTAAGCTCTCACAATCCACGCGCCAGCACTGTGTCTAGCATAAAAAGGCCGATGGGTTCTTCATATCCATGTCTCAGTTAGTAATCTTGGATCATGCGGGATAGGGTTAGGGTCCCAGGTTCAGTTGGCCATACAAGACACAAGGACATGCCATTTTACCTGCAATATAAAGAAATTCAAGATGTCTATAGAATGGTCCTTGTATTTCATCTTTCAATGGAATGCATAGCTATTGCATGGTCTAACATGGGCCGCCCGCGCGCCCATCGAGATGGTCTGCCATAGCCGACAAATCGGACTACAAAGATAAAGCACTCTCTTTTGGGCGCTTCGAAAATGGATCAGATCGTTTCTCCCTTTCATCAGAGTGGTGTCTTCTCCTCGGCCTTTTTATTGTATCAGGCAGACTGTGCCTAGTAGTTTGCAGGCAACATTCATCAGAATTCGCTTGTCGCACTGGGAATCTTGTAAGAGAACAATCACACGATGAGTAGATTGGTTCTGAAGAAGATCTGACAGGCTTTGCGAATGATGGCACAGCTTCCAGGATTACTGTCAAGACATCTTCAGTCGAAGCTTGCAGTGTCACTGCCGCGGATGGGATGCTCAGTCTCATTGGAGAGATAACTCCTATACTGTCATCAGAAAACCTTGCAATGCTGCCGTCACTGGTGTAGGTGGTAGAAGTCTCGTTGACATCATGTTCAGCCGTGTCGACCTTGAAACGACTTCTTTCACTGTCACTGCACTTGGCATGTGGATTGGACTCAGCTCCAGTCTCGTCGTGGAACGCCAGTGAGGACGATGGGAACACTCCTTCCCGATGCGGTTCATCCAATTGTGGACGAGGCGAGCTCCGTCGGACAGAGTTATCTGGCGACCTTGCATTGTCGGAAATTAAGATAATTGACGCCGCTCCCTTCTCCGAAGCAAGTCTTTTGAAATAGCACTGTAGACTCATGAGGTGTAGCCGTCTTTTCCTTGTGAGTTTTAAGTTATGGACATTGTTTGAATTTTTACGCCGCTTGTGAAGTGTTGGTTTTTTCATCGCTCAGTACACGTGTACAGGCTATTACATCGTTTCGCATGAACTCCTCGATTATTTTTTCGTCTGTCAAGAACCTCCTCCTATAAATGGTATTTTATCCGAGAAAAAACGCGTTTTAACGATGCATATAGAGATCGTCTGAGAGAACAATGGACCTTTGTACATTTCTTTACGAAGTATGGTACGAGTTCCAAAACGATCTTGGTTTGTTGGTATATATGCGCGTCATCTTTTTTCTCCCACTCACTTGCCACTCATTTGCCACTTGCCATTCACTTGATTCTAGACCTCATACCTTGGAGCGTCCATTGGGCCAATCCTCAACAAAGAACTGGAAACGATGATTCACGTAGATAAATCCCATGCTGCCTTGAGGTGCCACCTGGAATTGCAACTTCGCCTCGAATATGGGTAAACTAAGTCCTTGTGAAAGGTAAACATTGCTATAAAAAATTAGCCGAGGGTTCCAACAGAAAATCGAGCCAGTAGAACGGAAGGCCCTATGACATTGCCATACTTCTTGTTTTCTCCACAGGTGAAAGACTGATTGCCTTGAAATGTCGATCATACTGTGGTCTTCTACTTGGCGCTGCAAGCTGAAAAGTTTTTGGGCACGTATCGATTGGCTGCATGTCGACGGAGACCGTTGTTCTCACGACCGCCGTGGGGCTTTGGAACGAGGACCGTTCGATATCTCCAGATGGTAGATATGTTGGTGCTGATGATGATCTCATCGTCGTAGCTGGCGGTTGTGTTGCACGAAATGCTTGCTCATAGATAATTTCTGTGCGACTAGTTGGCTTGCTAATGTGAGAAAAGGCGGAAGAACTTCTTGGGCTTCCGATGCATCTTGTACCATTGCCAGGTTCGGAGATAGGTGCTGACTTGGTTCTTGCTGCAGTATAATCGTCAGCGTTCTTTACGGTGGACTCTTCACACGACGAAGATGAGGAATACTGATGAGCCTTGGAAGCCATCGCGTGATCACGCTTACGACGGAGGTGCTGGCCTCTGGCGGTTGATGTTCTTGGCGGTGATCTCGCATTGTCGGAAACAAATGCAATGGAATCAACTCCATTATCCAGCGACAGTTGTTTGAGAAATTGATGGAGATTCATTCTGCTTGAGGTCTCTTGTCAGACAGTAGTGTTACTGTTTCAAAATTGTGTGATGTGTGTGGTACATTATCATCTTTTGTTGTTGTTGGGAAATCGTAGATCCGTTCTCATGTATGCCGAACTGCCGAATATGTGAAGGGAAGATGCACATCGCGGGTACTTTTGGCCGTGAATGTTATTTAGTGTGCTGTATAATATACGCGAGCTGTATACGCAATCTTCTGGTTGAACATTTAATACTGGAGAACTCTCTAAAAAATGATCATGCCGACAGGGATACATGCCGAGCGTTTCCATGCAATAGATTATTCATAAAATATTGAGTTATTGTATATATAGGAAACGAAATGCGACCAGCAGTGGGAAACAATAGCCTTTCTTCGACCCATTTCCACGATAGAAAATTGGAGGACCAATTCTTGCGTACCAACCAACGCTTGAAGTGACGCAACAAACTCGAGAAGTAAGCACCGTTGATGTTCTGAGAATTTGACCTGGAAAAGCGATGAAAAAGCTTCGAATCGAAGGATACCGTACCTGGCACAGTACAGTAGGAAAGCGGACAGGATATGAAAGAACTACGGCCCATCGCAGTCACGACTGCGCCGTTGGGAACGCAGATGTCTTGTAGGTTCGTCTAGTGGGTCCTCGCCCTACAGTATGAAGGTGGGTTAGGGTTAGGTCCTCGCCCAAAGAAGGTGTAAGTGAAAACATTCGTTGTTGGTTGGTTCACATTCGAATCGCAATCAAAGGAGGGATGTTTTTAGGCCATGCCAACCTCTTGCTTGTTTGATCTGAAGCTGTGAAGAAGGATAGTAATATTCATCGATATTTTTTCTTTCAGGTGTGTTGGTTGGACGGTACACCAATGTCGGTAAGACAAAATTGTAGTCTCACGAGGTAGCCGCTATTTCAACCGTACCGGTACACCCTATTCAAATGAAACTTCCCATCAATTTTTGGTAACTTTACATAGAACTACGAATTGAACCGTCCAACTTCGAGGTTTCGTTCTGTACTTTGATGTGATTGTGAGAATTCCATTCACAATAAGATTACAATTATGTCACAGCCGCCTAAATGTTAGAAACACAATGCAATTCTTCGTGTTTTATTGGGCTCGAACCGAAGCTTCATTTAACGAACCTCCTGTAATTGCAATTTGTCCCACGATCAACTACCGCGCTCTGTTGAGAAGGGCTGGAATGTTTGTTGGTTCCTCGTATCTCATAAAAAATTGACGCAAGAAGATATTCGTCAAGATTTGCTACCATGAACAAAACAAGCCCAAACAACAAGATTATGGACAACGCTGAACCAGCCAAGATCCACCAGAGCTCAGATAGTAATAACATGGATCTCAAGTCATTCTTCCAGAAGCTAGCACAAGACAATGGTGTTAAAGGATTCAGTTTGGTGACTGACCATGCCGTATGCCAACGTCATGATGTGAAACGAAACTCTGCACCATCCGTCTTCAATGGAGCCACGCGTAAGGTTCTATCCTCCGACGCGGCACCCAGCTGTCCTCGTCGCCGTATAAGTGACGGAGACTGTGAGCAAACTTCGAAGTTGCTGTTCCTTGAGACGATCTTCGATGAGGTGGACAGCATTCTTCACGAGGATGAAGAAGGTAATGACGACCAATCTATTGATTCAAGAGATTTGTCAAATGTGAACCACGTCGCCCAGGGAAACAACGAGTTTGAATCCTCCTTTCAACGCTTCATCGCAGAACCGTTAGGGGACGAATCTAGGGAATCCAGCTCACGATCTTCAGCTAGTCTGCGTGAGCAACTCGTTGCTCCTCGACTTCCAATCCGCAAAGGAAGCATTAGCGAGTTCGGTGGCCTTAGAGCTACTCGAACGCTAAGTTCTTGCTCTTTCAATACCGCATGCACTACCGCTGAAAGCTCCTTGGAGGATTCTCCAATGATTGCACCGCAGTGTTCAATTGAACTGTCTTGTCCTGCATCACCTTCTCTACAAGCTCACTCGTGGCAGCGCAAAGAAGGCGATGACTATGAATGTCCAGCATCTGCTCCTACCACAAGGCATGTACTTGATATGAAGGAGATTTTCCTTTCTCCACTACGAGATTCGGGATCCAGCCACGGCCGACGGCGTCGACGACGAAGCTCTCGTCGCAACAGCTTAGACACTGGCTTTACCTTTCGCTCTTCCTTCAACTCCCAATGCTTTGACGAAACAGATGGCGATGACATCCTTTGGGTAGAGTAAATTAGTTCATTTGTAACCTAGACTGAATTCTTTTTCTCGGAAGGACTATGTTCTTCTCTGCCCTTAGAACTATTTTCACTATGATTTGGGATGTCTACCCGTCATGCAGCAGTGGCAACCAAGAAGATGCGAAGTAATCATTACTATAGGAAAATGACAACAAGAAGATGAGAAGCAATCAAAACTATCGGCAAAAGAGGATAGGAATAAAATAGAGTGGAATGACTACATAAATGGTTTAGCTGGTTTATTTAGGTGTAGATAATTCCTCATTGTTGAGGACGAGTGGATTGATATTTTCTCTTTCGGCTTGAATTCAATAGAGCCTCGTAGTCACTGTCAATCACAGTCAAGGCGGCGTCGAGAATATCAATATGGCTAGGTTCATTCAAAGGATCCCAAGGTAGATTTCTTGTTGATGGAATGTCGTTGATGGCTGGGATCCGAATGAAAATTGTTGAAGGTATCGGCTGTGCCAGCATTCTTGATTGGTCGGTAGATTTGCAGTGGGGGCGTGATGATGGATCTTTCATTTTACTTCTGTGTCACTTGGTACTGAGAGCGATATTGCAGATTGCGATAATTTATATGAGCTGATTGGAATGGGAAGATATGGCGCAAATTACCTAACCATACTACTTCTTAAAATGGGTTGGAACTTCGGCTTGGACCTAGTGGTCGTGAAGTGGTGTTTCAACAGTCCTTCAACCAGAAGTACTATTTGACTCCACCGCCAATTTTTTGTCAGTTATTGACATCGAAAACTTCTAGAATTTTTACTGTACTTTTGTGTGATTGAGCGAAATTGAGTAAAAGCCGGATTACAAATATGACAAATGGTGTAAAGATTGGACGTACTATACAGTTCTTCGTGCTTCCTATGGCTCAATCTGACTTTCATCGTGTTCGTTCAGGGTTACAAATTTGTCTTACCAATTTGTCTCACGATTAGATCTCAGTAATGCAACTTTGTCCTACGAATAGCAGATACGCTGTGATCATTTTCTTTCTCTCAAGAGTTTGCATCCGACATAAAAACACAACATACACGATCTGCCGCAATGAACGAAATAAGATCCGAGAACGAGATTGTGGAGAGTGTTGAGTCAACAAAGATTGATCTGGGCCTCAAGACATTCTTCCAGCAACTTGCAAAGGACAAGAACGTGAAGGGATTCTGTTTGGTTCCAGACAATGCCCGATGCCCGCGTTACAATTTGAAGCGAAACTCTGCTCCTTCAGTTATCAACGGAGCTACACGCACGATTCTATCCTACGATGAAGCACCAAATTGCCCTCTTCGCCGTGTCAGCGAAGGTTGCCCTCTTCTGCGCCGTGTCAGCGACGGCGACCACGATTCCCACGTTTCGTTGCTGGAAACTATCTTCAACGAGGTGGACAATATTATCCATGAAGTTGATGAGAGTGATGAAGAAAACGATGCCCAATCTATTTGCTTAAAAGATTCGTCGAACAGAAATCGTGCCATGCATAAAGACGTCGATTTTGATTGTTCATTTCAACGTTTCAGCATGGATCCATCAGGGGACGAATCTAGGGAATCGAGCTCACGATCTTCATCGAGTCTTCGTGAGCAACTCGTTGCCCCTCGACTCCCTATTCGTAAAGGAAGCATTGATAGTTTTGTTTGCTCTGAAACTGCCAATGCGGAAAGCTGTGATTCTTTCAGCGCCACAAGCACAACTGCTGACTGTTCGTTGGACGAAGCTCAGTCTTCTTGGCAGCGCAAAGAAGATGAATGTCTAGCACCCGCGCCCATCATAAGATATACTATCGATTTGAAGGCCAACTTCGTGTCGCCGCTACAAGGCATGGAGTCTAAGCTTAGCAAACAGCGACGTCAACGGAGCTCTCGTCGCAACAGCTTGGATACTGGTTTCACGTTTCGCACTTCCTTTACTAGCCGGCGAATCGATGAAGCATCAGATAATGAAGACGAGGATAGGCCGAGCAGACTAGTCAATTTGTAATCTAGGTAGACTACCTTTGTCGAAGACAACAAGAGGCTTGCTGTAGCTCGTACTGCTGAAACTAGATCAACTGATGCAATGCACCGTTGAAGGTTGCCATGCGACATTCAACCGTACTGCGGTATCATCCGCCCGACTCGCCATGCAGCCCTGCTACCGTGATATCATGAGAAAAATGAAATGAAAAATTATGTAGGTACTTCTATAGACTACTAGAGTATGCCATTTTGCAACGGATCGATATGAAAGAGACAGACTCACAGGCGAGAGTCTGATTGACTGTTGATCAGAAAGACGGAGATTGGCATCCAAATCGATAGGGCCTGCCTATTCTGCTGATCTTATCTTGTGCTGACATTATCGGCGATCTTTGGCAAGGCTTCATTCCCCAAAGCCATGCTTGGTGGATTTTGTTGATGATGGTCCACTGTCGACTTAATCTTTGTCATACGTTCAGGTAACTTCAGAATTTTAATGCACTTGCTTCCTCGTTCAGTATCGACTTGACGGCAGAATGCGGGGCGGGGAAGGTATTCTCTGGCTGCTGATTTCCTTCACGCAGGAGATAGGAGCAGCAACACCATCAATCGAAGATGGCATCAGTGAAGGGAGGGATCTAGAAGGCCTCGAGATAGAGGACCTTCTTCTTGGTGAAGCTCTTGGGTTGTCAGATACCAATTCAAACGAATCAGTTCCATATTCCAACGCCAGTTTCTTGAAGTATTCGTGTAGATTCATTATATTTCTTGTTCGGTTTCAGATATTTGGTGGAAAGTGATGAGACGATACCTTTCACGTTTGTGAGCGTGAGCCTTTTGGACAACATGCGAAACCTTCTCGGTGTTCTTTTTCGTCATCCAACGATACCACTTATCTAATGAAAAAATGAAGTGGTTGTCAAATTTCGCGAATAACTTGAGCAGAAAGTAGAAATCACGATAAAAAGAGAACTTTCGTCAGAGTGAGAGAACCAAATGCTATGTAGCTGCTAACAGAATAGGCGAAAGTGTATCTTTTGCGAAAACATACTAAAGATATATATGGTTTCTTTTTTAAATCATAGCCACATGACCATAAGTAAAGACCAAACCGTGGGATAAACTTCGACTTTGACTTGAGGAACAAAGGGATCAGAAATCGGAGTCGAATATTTTATAGCGGGAGCGCAAACGCCTCATTTATTTCTTGAGGAGATGGTGGTTTTGCCCAAATTGATCCATCTACAGTAGAAAAGTGGCTCCTGTACCCTGCTATACGAGTCAATGCCCTAAGAATCCCCGCCACAAACAACTGCCAAAAGATGGGCGTCTTTGCTTGAAGGAAGTTTTAAACAGCGGAATGATCAAAGAGCCTAATGTATTTATAAAAGAGAGACAATACTGCGCTTACAGGTGGAATGATGGAATCCGCAATGATCGTTTGACAAGGCCACTCCAAGACGCATGGAGATGAAACCTTTCAGACTGCAATTTGCCGATTCTGCACTGGTCAGTTGTTGAAACGAAGATGAAAGAATACTTCAATCTTCTTATCGCAACGTCATTCGCATCCGTACCTACAAACTCATAGATTGCAACTCTTACTGTCACTATCAACTGGTGAAATATGAAACTGAGCGCTTTCTCGTGATTCAGTTTCTTACTTTGAGGCTTCTATGGCCTTCAACATGCCTTCCGCCAAAGTATCTTCAGGGTTATCATCACCAGCTGGATCGTCTTCCGATTCCGACACATTAATGGCTTTGATTTCTCCATTGACGGCATACAAGGCAAAGCGCTTGCATCTACCGACAATACCCTTAGAAATAGGCCCAGGATGAGTGAGCTCCATGTCGAGAGCCTTGGTGAGTTCTCCGGCGGGATCGGCCATTAGTTGCAACATGGACTGAATGGATTCAGAAACAATTTAGGCGAGGAACATCACGTCATGAGATGAGATGATACAGCTTGTGATAATTCAATATGCATTCTCCACACAAATGAATTCGACCTCAGAGTTCACTGCATACTTCAATTTATTTAAAAACGCAAATACAACTTACCAATCCAACCTTTTGGTCTTTTCCCCAGGCCTGCATCACTGCCCCATCATTTACACAATAGACAATAACAGTTTTGATTCCGGCCTTACGGAGTGCGTCTTGGTTTTCCAAATAATTTGGAATTTGCTTTGTGGATCAGGTAGGAGTAAAGGCCCCTGGAAGACCGACAAGCAAGATTGATTTGTCCTTGGCAAAGTCGGCCAAGTTGTACTTCTTAGGAGGAAATCCTTGATGCAACTCCACAGATGGAAGAGAGTCTCCAACAGAAGCAAATGATCGAAGGAAGGACGATGTGGATGGACGAACTGCCCTTGCAGCAAGGCCGCTGCTCAAACGAGAAGCAAATAGCATACCGGTACTGGTGTAGATTAGATGCTACAGTTGACTGAAGTCGATGATGATGTGTCTGTGTAATTGTGATGATGTCAGCTGTTGCAGAATTTTGGAGTTCCTTACACGTACCAGTACGTGCGCGTGGTTCTTGTGTTCGGTTTCATGCGCACATTATTGCGCATTTGACCTCCTCGACTTTTGATTACTTTTTCGAAACGCCCAAACAAATTCGAAATAGCCTCTCTTCTTCGGCTTGCCAAATAATGTTTTACGAAGACGCAAAAAAGTCAGTACCTACTGTACGTTACGTTACCTGTCACACAAACATTTTCTCTACGGTTCACTCTACAGCCATCGTCTTGCATTCGACCCTTCCCAGTATGTCCTTGGTAGGGTTTCGGTGAATTCCTTCGCTCGTTTATGTGCGACCGACAGACGATATTGACGAACTGAAACTGCAGAGTCAAGAGCGTACAGTACCGGTACTACTGTACGGTGTGGGATGGTTGGATTAGTTGAAACGGTTTGGGCTTATTCTGCTCTGCGACATGGGAGCGTTTTCGCAACTCATCATGTTACTATTATTTTTCAATCCTCCTGCCTGGCTTTGCTCGCTCGGATGGATCTATTGGACACAACCTCGGAATAAATGTTACCCGGTAAGTTCGACCAGGTAATGAAATCGCCTTTCTCACGCCAGTTCCACTTAAAAGTCGAATCGTAATCTTTTCACCAGTGTATGAAAACGGAGAATCTGGAATGTCCTTTGATGGTACGAAATTGAGTTCAAGATTAGATCTCATACAAGGACTGTAGAAACTACCAGGTACTCGATGCTCACTACTGTACGTATGTATTCGACATCAATTTTGGTTTTGAAATCCACCGCCTCACAATCACATTTTCATTTTTACTTTCACAACAGTTTTGTCAAGATCTTCTGCCATGAACCGAACAAGATCCAACAACATGGTGAGGAATCTTCCGGAACACATTCAGATCCAAGGAAGCCCTGATAGTGAAACTTCTGATTGCAAAGTGTATTACAACACAGACCTGAGATCGTTTCTGCATCAACTGGCACAGGACAGTGGTGATAGGGGCTTCGAGATACTGCCAAAGCATAGATTGACTCCACGATGCAGTATTAAGCGAAATTCTGCACCTCCAGTCATCGACGGAGCTACTCGAAAGATGCTCTCGTGTTATGCGGCAGTCAAAAGTCACCGTCGCAAGAGTTGCGAATTTAATCGTCGTGATGGTGGTTGTGCTGAAACCTCAGAAGTCTTGGCTGCAACTGTCTTTGATGACAAGTTCCTTGAAAGTGTCATCGACGAGGTTGACAGTATTCTCTACGATGATGCTGATGATGATCTTGAAGACGATGACATCCAATCCCAATCTGGTTCTGCATGAGAAGTTACAGACAAAGATTATCAATCCCCAACAAAGGAAGCGTAACCTTTGTCCCCGCTGTGACAAATTTTTTTTGACCCGCTTCACTCATTTGCAATCTTAAGTTTTCAGCGGTTCAGCGTGCATCCGCCAAGATTTCAATGATTCTCCTTGACTTCCGGAATGATACCGTTGCTAAAATGCACAGTCGGTGGGACGGTGCTCCAGATGATTCTGCAAATCTGAACCCATCCAACTTGCCGGATGCCTGGAACCTCAAACTCTATGACCCCGCAATGCGCACACTCGTGTTAGCACAACGGAGAAGTATAGGAATACAGCGCATCCAACTATGCGCTTGACAGGGCATCGCTTCATTACAACTGCAAATTAACAAAGTGAAATTTATTGCTATCATTTTCCTTTAACATAGATTCCCTGTCTTCCTCTGCTGAGTAAATTTTATGCTTGACTGAGAGACCAGGCTTTTTATTTCTTTCCCTTGGCCCACCACGCCTCCTCGTCATCGTCGTCCAAGGTACCACCTTCACTGTCTGCCCCTCTTTCCATCTTTTCAGCAGTCGGAACACTGGGTAACGGTTCCCCCTTCTTCATCTCTACATCCATTTGAGCCGAACTGCATCCCATTGCTATCACTTTGACAGACCAGATCCCGCGCCAGATTGTATGAGCACAAGAAATGCAAGCTCTTCCAGCTCGTCCTCCTTCCTCCGAACACTCTTGAGCCCCCTCACTTTCAGTGGCGCAGCAACCTACTAGACAACTGGCACACTTGACACAACATCCCAAGCAGTACAGTTGCGACATGATATTTGAAAAGAATCCAATGCACTTGCGGACTCGAACTTCGGTGGGGTCGTCTCCCAAATTGCGCTGTTCCTTGATCATGCGTCTATTGACATCAAAGGAACAGCAGACACTCCAGGCACCAGCAAGACATGTGACTTCGGCACACAAGAAGGCGTTCGGACATTTTTCCTAAAGACGAGGTTAGCGTCAGTATGAGGCAATACCGATCGTTACAGAAACACATCCATTACAGATGTAGTTATTCTTACCTCGCCGTAGGTTCCAGACTTGATGGTGATAGGCATACTGGGACACCTTCTTGCACAGCACTGTGGGCCATCATGATATCCTTGCCATAGTTTATACTTGAAGTGGTGTGAGACAGGACTGTTTTCAATGCCATCACATACATCCAATATCATCGTCATCATCCATAAAACCTTACCTTGCTCATGTCTCCCTCCAACAATTTTCGTCGCATATGCCACTGACCACATGGACAGCATATAGTGTAGAAGCACCATTGTGGGCAAGCCTTGATGGGTGTCTTCATCATTGGTACCTGCCAACCTCCACCGGGAGGACTCGTCTCTGGTGCTTTAAAGAAGAAGATGCACGGAAAGGCCAGCGGTGATCCAAAGATCCAAATGGCATCAGCGACACATTCCATGAAGGGATTGATGGCTTCAAATCCATCAGCAATGCAACCGTAGCATCCATCACATCCACAGCCTTCTGTCCAGAAATCACAGCAAATAGCGTCCACGCACTCTGACGGAGCGCCGAGTTCTTGTAACATTGCTCGACTCATCTTGATGTAATTTGTTGTCAGTTAAGTGAAAGTTCGTGTGAAAAAAAGGCTTTATTTTCTGATTCTGAATTGATGCTGAAGTAACGAGCACTATGATTTATTCAATACGGAAGGTTTGACTTCAATTGGTATTGAACTTCTATTGCTTATTTTGACTCTCGATTGTGAACAATCAACATGAAAAAATGCCGAAGCTACAGTATGCTGCGTCTCGTTTAGATGATGTCCCGGATTTTCGAATTCAATGGTCATTCGTTGGGCCAACTCTCCGAGTGACTCCTCCGATCCGAAAACCATCTTGAAATTCTCGATCGGATCTCGAATATGCGGGTACCATATACAGTACTGCAAGAGTTGAAGTTGGTATGATAGGTTTAACACCCATGCATCTTCTACTTTTAGTTAACTTCAAAATTTGTTGGATAGCTGAATGCGATCTAGTGGCCAGATCCTCGCTACCGGTTTGCCAACAATGTTTTCCTTGGGCAATACACCGAACACACGAGAATCGACCGATACGGCCTTGCAATCACCTACCACATAGGCTTCATCCTCTCCAAGCTCAGCAACATTTCTCCCCTTTCCGTTTTTTAGCATCTTATCAATTAGTCTTAGTGGTTCATCTTCGCACAAATCTCGATTGGGTCCCATTGATGGCTTGCCATCAATCGTCACCTCCCTCGTCTCATCGTCCAATCGAATATTCTTGTCACCTGGAACTCCCACCAAGCGTTTCACAAAGAGGGATGTTCTAGAAATGGGTCGACTTTGAGGACTTGATGAGGCAATCAAGTCCGTCAGAGAAGGTGGCGGTCGAAAAAGCACTACATCTCCTCGCTGGGTGCGATCGTACACCCCTGGTAGCTTTTCCACAAGCAAGACGTCGCCCCGCAGCAATGTAGGTTCCATGCTTGCACTGGGAATGGCATACAAGGACACGAAGGTTCTCAAAAACAGTGCTACTGGAATGGGCATGATAGCAACCGCCAAGGCCAACGCATAGGCCTCCCATTCACGCTGAAAGGCTGCCGTGATTCGAGGAATGGCCGAATCCCTATTGAAACGAGTAGACGTCACATTGGCAAGGAGTTCCGCGTCGACTTCCATCGGCCAGTCTTGAGTCATTCCATTTCGTTGCCAAAGTTGTCGCTGAAGCTTCCATCCACACGGCCTTAGAGCTAGCTTCGCTCGGTTCTTTTCCTCTTGGCTTGACAGAGAAGATGTGGAGAAGAGTTGGTTTCCATTCCCGTCCGTCATGGTCATGATGCGGTAGTCAATGCCAGGATACACAAAACTTTCTTTCAGTTTCTCGGCTTGAATGCTTCCTTCCTCCATGGGACGGGGTACGATCACTTCGCCAGCCCGAAATTCGCGGGAGGACAATGGTTGGTTGGATGACCGAAGGACATCACCCAAGGCACCCTTGGGAGGAAAGGAAAAGGAAATCCCACTTTGTCGCTTGTCAAAGACTGTAATATTTCCTCTGGCACATATTCGACCTAGGCCTTGGCACACTTCACCAGCACTCCATATGCTCGATCCCCAATCGGTCGCTCGGCCGACGGATTCCACTGCTTCCAATTCGTGACAAAAGGTCATGGCGGCCGACCAGGTAGTGTTGGATTTGGGCAGTCCACCCGAAGTAGAGATTGATAGTATTTCCATATCATCATCGCCATCTGCAGCACCGGTATTCTCTTTGGATACGCACAATTGCAAATTCCAGGAAACATCCAGTTCTTCACCATATTCTTTTGGTAGATACCGAAGATAGGCTGATGCAATACCACCAACGCTGCCAGACCCACTGACATATCGTCCTCTTGGATACAATAGTATTTGAAATAATTCTGTTCCAATATCAAATTCCTCACTCAGTATACAGTAAGGGATTTCTTCCGACTCTCCTTCAGAAGTAATTCGGTTACCGACTGTGGTTCGATCATTACCTACTAAGCTAGTCACCGGTCGAGGATCGTTCCACAATTCAATGAATTTATCCCCAAAGGATTCTGGCTTTGGTCTTTTGTTGATCAAAGGAACGGAAAATGAATAGGTGGGGGCATGCTTATGATCATCATTGCTGAGGAATGCGTCAGGAGAATTCAGAACTGGATTTGTGTTCTTGCTCGTGGTGCTGAGGATGGAAAAGGCATCTACAGTGATGCTAAAATGAAGCAAGCTGATTATGAAGAGAATATCCCAAGTGTTATGGAACGACTGAAATGGCATTATCAGAAACCTGCACCGAAGCATGGTTGCATATCTGCGTTTCATGTTGAGAATCCCGATGATTCTTTGTAAAATGATACTGACGTCAGAAGTAGCAAGATCGGGCGACTGTGCTAAAGAATACGATTGGCAGTATATTATACCGTAAACAGTTTGTTGGTTGTTGGAATGGAATACGGAAAGATTAAATATGGAAAAGTTATCGCGGTTATGATGTTGCTGCTTCTTCTTCAGGGGCAAGATCGCTGGAAAAGTTGATGACTCTGCCGGTTCCCCGAGGTTGGTCATCTCGCAAATTAATCTTCAAACTCTTTTCAGAGGCCCTCAAAAAGCCAGTGATAAACTTCTCAGGTACGCTTCCATTCACCTTCTCCCCGCGGCCTTCTTCAAAGGTGAAAAAGTTGAGATCCACATGGGTTCGACCATCCCATACCAAAACAACATTGGCAACCTGGCTCGAGTATACAATGAGACCACCATCGCCAACCTTCTGAGTCTTTTCAAACTTTCCAGCAGAGGCGTCAAATCCAGCAGTCTGAATGGCCGTCTTCAACATCTTGAATAGACCGTCAAACTTCAACTCAACATCAGGTCGATTTGCTTCCAACTGGAAAACATTTTGACGTCCAAGCGGGTGTTGTTCGGCATATTGCTTCAACCCTGGGGCATTGTCGTAGTCTTTTTGCTCAAAATTGACCGGTTCGAAATCGAAGTCATATGGGAAAAGACCAGCATTGATCGTGGTAAGCTCCACCTTCACATCGGTCAGACGTTCCTTGATATTGTGCTCGACAGCTTCCAGACTATACACATACAAGGTGTTGCCACAGTAGACAAGTCCAATCTCCACAACATCTTCTCCAGCATGAGTCAACTCAAAGACGGCTCTTGCAACAGGGTCATCTCCATGCTGAATGCGATAACGATCCAAAAAGAACTTGCGGAACTTTTCTTCCTTTGGTTCGGCCGTAAAGGCCAAGACGACATTGACGGTATTGAGAACGGATTCACGAACTTCGTCGGCATCCAAAATACTATTGAAGATTTGCAGCATTTCATAGGGCGCCGAGCTGTCGACCATAAGCATGTCGAACGGCTTGTTGGATTCATTCACAAAATCTTGCCATTGCTCGGCCAAGGCCTTTTCGCATTGGAACATTTTCTCTTCGCTTTCCAAGGAATCACAGGTTTGGAACTTGAACACCGTCGTGACAAGCGGATTGGAGTCGGCAATATCAAACGACATGCAGTCCGAACCTTCCAATCCACAAACAACACCAACCGTGACGGTATCATAAGCAGAATCCAAAAGTGTAAAAGTTTGGTTCAGTGCAATTTCAATGGCACGCTTGGGAATTGGAGCAACATCGGGAGAAGTTTCTCGTTCCTTGCAGTTGCGATTCATATTCGTCACCGTCTTGGAGTATGGTCCAATCTTCACTTGATCCTCCTTCCAAGTACTGGATCCAAACATACCTCCAACGACAATTTTGTAGGCAGAGACCAAAGAACTCTCTACAGCCTTTGTCAAGGCCTTCTTCAATGATTTGATTTCAAAAGTCTTGCCCCATAGATTGATATCGAATCCAATATAGTTGTGTTCCGGCCACAAACGTGCGGCAATGTATCCTTCCTTGAGTACGGCAACCACCAGGTTCCCACTGTAGGCTTTGCTAGGACCCACAGTGAATCCTTGTTCAGTAGCGACATCCTGGAGTAGCTTGACAATCTTGGCCTTGTCATCGAATGCAATAGAAACCTCTTCGGCATTGACAATTTCCAAAATACCGGCACTGGTGTCTTGCTTGGACGTATCAATGGGTGGAGTAATGGTATCGCACTTCCCAATCGCCCGGGCATCGTTCTTGCGGTAATCGTGCATCAAATCGAAACGATTGTCATCCTTTGTGAGTGGGGTGTACAGTAGATTGGGGATTTCGTGATCCTTGGCGTCATCGTGCAAAAAGTCGACCTTGTTACTGCCCAAAGCAACGACTTGGGAGCAAATGATTGGAGAATCGTATAGAATTTGGACCGTGTAGTCAAAGACATCCGAAAAGTGTTCCAAGTACAGTTCGTTCTTGACAATGACACCATCCTTGTTCAATAGCAACGCCAAAGCATCAAAGACATCCAATTCCTTCGTGACGGAAAGGGACATGACGGTTTCGGACAGATCCACCAAGACCAAATCAAAGGATCCCCAATATTCTTCTGGCAGTAGCAACATACTCTTGGTAGCATCTCCAAACCACCACTCGACACGTTCGTCATCAAAATGAGGCTGGGTTTGAAAATACTTGAAGGACTTTCGTGTAATGGTTTGATCCAATTCCAATCCCACCACCTTTTCCAAAGTGGGGTACTTCAAGGCTTCAAACAGAAGCATGGAATCACCACCACCCACAAAGAGGACCCGCTTGACCGTATCAATGAATCGTGCCGCATAATGTGTGACAAATTCGTGGTACTGTGGACGGTAGCAGGAACAGATTTGGACAATGTTATCAATATCCATGCACACATCGTCCATTTCTTCATTATACTCAAATCCAACCGGCTGATAGTTGGTCTGAAGGGATTCCAAGTGCGTGTAATCGTGGAACATCATGACTTCTCCATTGTCGCAAGTAGGGCTGATATAATCCAAATCATCCGGCTCGTACTTGAGTAGATCGTAGTGATGGTCTCCTTCTTCATACGTCAGTGCTGCCGTGACATTGGTGGCACACGCGGCATCTCCGGGACTGGAACATTGGAGTGCACCACCCTGGCTTTCCAATTTGACCTGTTCGTATTGCTTGTCCAAAAACTCGCGGGCAAGTTCCAATGCCAGTGTATTCCCCTTGTGAAAGTCCCAAATGATTTGCCATTCTCGTTCTGGAATTTTGGGCCATTTGGTCCGATGAAAGTTGAGATTTTGAATCCGTCGTTGACGTCGCAATTGTCGTCGGACCCAAACGCGAGCATAGCGAAGGTATTCGTCCTTGGGGATAAAGCGAGTGGGCCAGTCTACAATCTTGACCTCGCCCGTTTCTTCGTCCTCGTCGATATCAAACTGAATGGTACCACCCAAGTTATTGTAGTACCAACGTTGTGGGTATTCCTCGACAAATCCGTAATCGCGAAGAATTTCTGCAGTTTGTTGTTGTTGTTGTTAGATCATCACATATCATAATACACACACCATAATACACACATCCACCTACCTGCAGCACCATAATGAGATCTTCGTCCTTCACATTCGGCACAAAAATTGTAGGAATTAAAGATTTGTTCTCCCTTTTGAATGGCACGCGACGCCTTGGTAACGTGCGGTGACTCGTGTTCCCAACGAATCTCGGTATTGTGATACTTTCCATTCCGATGGTTGTAAAAATCGTATCCCGGAACCATGATATAGTCGTCACTGCGTTGGACTACCAGCAAAGCCGCATGCCTGGCCATGTTGTCCCGACGAGATCCGTGACACTTTTGATTAAAATCCAGTTCCAACCTAAATAAGAATTTTAATAAGTGAGTGACTATGATTGTGTCAGGTAGGCAATATGATGGCGCCAATCGATCATGCAATGTAGATTGTACTACACCACACAAACAGCCACAGCCACATACACACACAGCCACACACACATTGTACTCACCATTCAATGGGTTCCTCTGGCGGAATACTATCAAAATCAGAAGTCCTGGGATCATTTCCCTGAGGAACCCCCACAATTTCATACAATAGATCCTTGGCCTTTTCGCTCCAATTGGAAGGCAAATCGTTGTCCGGCTGAGATTTGAGATAGGCTGGATAAGGATGATACTTGGATTTTTCTCCTAGTTTCATCTCCTTGAGTACAGCTGCTACAGTTCCGCAACACATCTGTCCTTCTTCGTTCTTGTCGTGGCTCTTGATGATCAACTCCCACGGGACGGTCATTAACACTTCGCCTTCTTCAATATCCTCGACTGCAAAGACGCCCACAGGCGATTGCGTCGAGTTTTCAGTCTTTTGCAAAGCTTGTTTGGGATTGAAATAGCCTCCTTCGGCGTTGTGAATCCAATCTAAAACAGAAACAGCCATTTCCAAATTGCTGTCCGTGTCCATGATGGTGGCAGCATGGATGGATTGCGGACAAAAAGAAACAGCCCAGAAAAGAGCGGATAGCATCAGCGGCCATCTTGTGGTAAGCGACAAGAGAGACATGATCTTCTTCTATGATATTGTCTTCTTGTTGCCTACAGTACTGTACGATATCGGATTTCTTCGATCTACTGTATCTGATTTTAGATTTTCTATTATTAATATATGATGATGCGTGGCCTTTTATTGTTGGCAGCATTGGTTTTTGGCAGTGTTTGATTCATTCGACTCATCGGATTTGATAATTTCAATTCAAATATCATATGCATGATTGCTGGTACAGACGGACAGGCGCCAGGCTAGCCTCAACATACAAAAATACACCACAATAACACATTATTTTGTCTCAGGTCAACTTTAGGAGCCTTTAGCACGATTGTATTGATTGCGATTCTACCTCAAGACACATCATACGCTTTTCAATATACTCTAACCTACTGATCGAGCCAATAATCGCTGCAAACGAACCACTCAATCAAAAGCTACCGCACTTTTCATTCCAATCCAGTTGATTATTTTGAATATATTCCTCCTCCTCATCATACTCATCATCATCATCATGTCCGACGTCGAAGCCATCAATTCCAAAATCGCCGAGCTCGAGGCCGAAATGGCCCGAACGCAAAAGAACAAGGCCACCAACTATCACTTGGGTACGCTCAAAGCCAAGATTGCCAAGCTCAAGTCGGAATTGGTCAATGGACCGGGTGGCAAGTCGGCGGGAACCAAGAATGCGGAACGTGGATTTGATGTTTCCAAATCAGGAGATACGCGGATCGGGCTTGTGGGATTTCCTGTAAGTAGAAGAAGTGTGGCTTTCGTGTGTGAGTGTGTGAGGGGAATTCGTGTGTTATTGTGATGTTTGGTGTATATATATGTATACATATTGAAGACATGCATCAACACGTATCCATCTGCTGTGGTTGCTATATTGGGGCATTGTAAATGTTGCTCGACGTGTCTCGGTGGCTATAATGTGTGTGTATATCTATATATATATATACATATATTGCAAGCAAGCGATTGTAATTCTAACATTCTATTCTTGATTGTCATCCACTACCAATCAATCATCTACTACAACAATTTCTATGATTACTCTGATCATTATACAGTCGGTGGGAAAGTCTACGCTCTTGACCAGTTTGACAGGAACTCGATCCGAAGCTGCCGCCTACGAGTTTACTACCCTCACCTGTATTCCAGGAACCATGAAATACAAGGGGGCCCGCATTCAAGTTTTGGATTTGCCCGGTATCATTGAAGGAGCCGCCGAAAACAAGGGTCGGGGGCGACAAGTCATTGGTACGGCGCGGACGTGCAACCTGATTTTGGTGGTTTTGGATTCCGGCAAACCCGTGACCCACAAGAAAATCATTGAAGCCGAGCTCTTTAGTTTTGGGATCCGCATCAACCAAGAACCACCCAATGTCAAAATAGTCAAAAAGGAAGCCGGTGGCATTGGATATCAAGAACAAGTCATTCAGACCAAGGGAATGAATGTGGAAGTGGCCCGTTTGGTATGTAAGGAGTACCGAATCAGTTGTGCCGAAATCATATTGCGAGAAGACATTACGGTCGATCAATTCATTGATGTCATTGAAGGGAACCGGGCGTACATTCCGTGCCTCTATTGCTTCAACAAGATCGATGCCATTACGATTGAAGAACTGGACATTCTCGATCAATTGCCGAATTATGTGCCCATTTCATCGCAACACTCGTGGAATTTGGATGAATTGATGGAAGAAATATGGAATCGTTGTAATATGGTAAGTCATATGGATCCGATGGTCGGATAGCTAGATGGCATGGTTTTGTTTGCTGTGCCCCGCAGTGTTTGCTGTAGTAGAATGCATCATGCTCACAGATTTATATACTTTCCACAATCCAAGCTTCGAATCTACACCAAACCACAAGGCCAAATGCCGGATTATGACGATCCCGTCATTCTTCATGCAGAAGGACCTTCCATTGAAGAATTCTGCAATCGACTGCACAAGGGAATCATGGCGCAATTCAATTTCGCATGGGTTTGGGGAAAGTCGGCCAAGCATCAACCGCAACGTTGTGGTAAGGATCATATATTGTGTGATGAGGATATTGTCCAAATTGTAAAGAAAGGATAAGCATTAGTAAAATACTAGACGACTGGTGAATAAGGAAACCGAAAGGAATAGTAGTATTGCAATACATAGTCTCAGCAACTCTTCTCGAGCTTCCATCTCACCATGCAGCATTTCAAGCAAATGGGTTTCGTCTATTTAGTCAAACGTTTTCTCTTCTTAGATATTACCTATCAACTACTAATAAATCCAAACCAATATTGGAGATTGATTTGGCAATGTGTTGATCCAATGTAACATGTTATCTATGTTTACGATCAACTACTATTTTACATAGATCCCAGGCCGTGAGAACTCTTCTGGGTAATCACCCCATCCTGTAACATCAAAGACCAATGCATTTTCAGGACCGCGAAAATTGTTGGGCTCGCCGCTTCTCCAAAAACACCCACCAGGTTGCAAACAACCGTCCGCTGTAGTGTAAAATGGGTCAGTTTCGCCTTCCCACTTCCAAACACCATCCGATTCCGAGTCATTGCCACCAAGAAAATGTACATAGCCAACAGCAGGAGCGACAATTGATACTATTCCTGTGATGCAAAGGTGATCATCTAGATCCTTGACCTTGGCCAAGCTCATACCCATTGCAGTAGCATTACCAACGTGTTCCGCATACGTCATAGAAGGCGCGCAATAGTAAGCTTGTTCTTTGCAAACAGACGATAGCGGCTTTTCATAGATTCCAGCTAGGTTCATTGTGGGGTTGAAGTCATTGTAACCAAAGTCATCGTTTGTAGTCGGATGTTCCTTGAATTCCAAAGCAGTCTCCAGTCCTTGAAAGCTATTCGGTTCTCCTGGATTCCAGAAACAACCCCCAGGTTGCAAACAACCGTCCGTAGCTGTGTAAAATGGGCAATTATCCCCATCCCATTGCCATATTCCTGCTGGATCTTGGGCTGCTCCGAGCCACAATCCAACCTCAAAATATTTGTAAATTGCTCGAATTTGTTCATACTCACTAGTATCTCTCACTGTTGCCAATGTCATCCCGAGAGTGGCAGCGTACGATGTATGGTTGGCACGGGAACTCTCGTCAGGGTTCGCAAAATATAATTTTGGTGTAACAATAGGAAAATAACATGTGGGAATGCTTGATGGGGCATCACTTGGGGCAACGGTAGGTGCCGGACTGGGGCTTATAGAAGGATGCTCTGTGGGACTGCGCGAAGGAGATCTTGAAGGGGTGGCTGTGGGAAGGGGAGTAGGGTCCGGGACTGGGACCAACGTCGGGGTTTGGGTCGGGGTGGGTGTTGGAAAACGAGTCGGAATCTTGGATGGAGGGGCTGTGGGACCGGGGGTAGAATCCGGCATAGTTGGACTTGGCGTTGTTGGAGTCAAAGTTGGAACAGCACTTGGAACAGCACTTGGAGCCTTTGAAGGACCTTTCGTAGGCTCTTCCGTGGTTGGGAATGTGACAGGTTGTCTCGTCGGATCCATCGACGGCATTTCAGAGGGAATCTTCGAAGAAGGATCACTTGCTGTTGGTGGAAGGGTATCAGCCTCAACCCGTCTTTGGATCGCAATGAGCTTCACGTTCTGGATGACTGAATCTCCAGAAAACACAGCTGATAGTAAGTTGGGCAAGTCCACATCTTCCAAGATGAGAGAGCTGAGAGCCAAAAAGCTGACATCGCCCTTGAGAAAGAGGTTAAGATCGATTTTTGTACGCTGGCACGGCAATTCAGCACCATCTTCACAGGACTCATCCTGCAGCGCGCGTCTCTGCCCCATTGCACCACTGACTAAAGCAGCATTGGCAACCACATACCGAATGCAGCTCAGTGGTGAATTAGAGTCAACACTATCGCATCCGGCAAGAGAAGGAGTGAATGCCTCCTCAACAAAAGTCAATATTTGGGTTCGCCAAGTGTCCGTCTCAGGGTTTTCGTCGAACAGTGAAATGTCCAAGACCATTTCAATTTCTTCTAATTTCATTGCGTCCTGGCCTGCAACTTCTCGTTGGCCTCGGATCGCAATACAATCGCCCAAAGATGGCGGTTCGAACAAAAGCGAGGTACAGGAGGCCGTGGGAGATTCCGTTGGCGAAGCACTCTGCAGGACGGTTGGATTGTCCGTGTCAGGATCGGTGTTGATGAGATCGTTTACTTCATTGGACTCTGAAGGGTCATCTTCGCCTTTTGGAATAGCAAAGACCACAACAACCGCAATCACAATCGCAAGAACGGCACAAATGGCGAACGGAACCAGATACTTCTTCTTGTTTGATGATGAGGGGGGTGGATCTTCAGTTTCCTCTTCAACATCATTGTTTCGGTTATCAAGGGTGCGCTTCAAATCGTCCATCTGCTTTTGTATGGCCTTGTTTCTTTCTTCAAGGTTCTGGACTCTATCGTCTTGCTGGTCTTCAACAGCCAAGGCTTCAAGTCTGTATCCTTCCTCACCGCCTGGAGTATTTGCCACGGGCTCTGTAAGTTTTTGATCATCCGATGCGTTAACTATAGGGAGATCAGCGATCCCCCCTTCCTTTCCACGCCTACTGGCCTTGCGAGTCTCCTTGTTTTCACGCCTTGATCCGGGCTCAGCTCCAGGTTTGGATGCTCCAGAACCACGTTTACCCCTAGCTTTGGCTTCTTCATCTCTCTTGGAACGTGACCCGTTTGAAGCGCTATGCGCAGATCTTCCTCCTCTGGCTCTATCCTTCGCATCTTGGTCTTGTCGGGTTCTACGGGAGTCCGAAGACTTAACCCGTGTTTTATCTCGCTTGGAACGTGGCCGATTGGATTCACTGTGAGCACCTACTTCGGAACGCGAAGACTTTCCTCTTTCTCTGGCTCTTTCCTTTGCCTCTCGATCTTCACTTGATCGACTGGAAGGATATCTCTTTGAGCGAGACAAACGATTGCTGTGTTCGCTCACGTCTGGAGCTGCTACGGAAGATCCAGATGACTTTCCTTTGGCACTTTGCTGCTTCGCCTCTTGCTCTTCTCTTGCCCGGCGAGTTCTACGCTCCTTCTTTTCTTTTTCCTCGTCCATAATGGATTACTGTACCTTGAAATCTTGAGGTATTTCACACTCAGAAAAGAGAGGATGTGCGAGAGTCCGTTTCAAGCTTAGTCCAGTTTTTTGAAAATTACAACACGCATGCAAAAGTTCTTTCCGGCTAAAAATTTTGCACCCATCTGACAGTACGGTACTGTACGCTTTGAACTTACCTACAGTATGATAAAGTCCATCTGATCGTGGAATTGTCGTCTCTCACCCAAATAATTCGCGAGTAATTTGATTAAAGTGGGTTTGCAGTGCCACGTACGGAATCGATTATTGTACACGTACCGTGTGCTTTAGATTTATTGTCAAGTGCAAATAACGCCATTCGAATTTGATCCACCGGATAGTTGTGTCCGTGCAGCGCGTAGCGTCATCCCCGAGCAGGCAACAATATCTTTTGAAACTGAGAATGCAGTTTTGTCAAAACTTGATCGGAAATTCTACCGCGCGTTTGCCTCATATGAGAGGCAGGGTGTTTGCCTCATATTATGAGGCAGAATATCGACCCAAAAATCGGATGTACGCACGGACCATCTTGGTATAAAATGAACACAAAAAAACAACAACAACACAACAACAAAAAACTTCGACCATGACAAAACACCTACTTTTGAACACAATAGAAGTAAAATAGACTAATAGACTAATGGTTGTCTAGAAGAATGTTTATCAAATAGGTGTTGCCGCCAGCAATCGCGGTTTATTTTAGGACTGCATATGTAGCATTTTTTGTGATTTGGGCTTTTCTCTCGGTCTGTCAAATCCACACAAGCCAAACACTGGAGGCTTGTCTTCTTGCCACAGCCCTCAATGCAGCATCTACCTTGATATAGCTGCACGTTTCCTGTCCTTTGACCCTCCGCTTGCGTTTTATTGGAGTTAGATGGATTCCAAGCCCATTCCTTGCAGTGGGACTACCAAAAACCGTGGGTAAATCTGTAGGATTTAGAGGTGGTTTTCGTAAAGACCGTTGATTGTCGTACCTGTTGTTGATTAGTTCCTCCGCAAGGTAGGAATGGAAGGTTTTCTGTGCCTCTGTTGTATTTGTAGCTCGCTTGTATAAGGCCCAAGTATCAGTGATGATAATTCCCAACATGGAAATACCCACTCTGATATGCCACAAGTGACACTTCAATTTTTGTTCCAACTGTAGTGTGTCTTGACAATGGCGGTTTTGCTGATCAACCCTTCCATAGATTGAGCAGTAGACTTCACAAGCCGTTGGCTGTGGTATTTGGAAGTCCACTCGCTCGGGTGCTGTGTACCTGCCGTTAACTAGTTGTCTCCAACATGTCCGCCAGTACCTTTCCCAACTTCAAGGGATGACGCACTTGCAATGAAATACCTCCGGTCACGATCAACCCAGACAAATGCAAGTAGTGTCGGATTGCTGAATCTGCTGATAACCCATTCAAGTCGCCACGGTTTTGTAGCTCAAGACCTGATAGGTATCCCTGGGGATACTACTTCCTATTTGCTGTCTTGACTACACCAATGAAGTGCATCCCAAGACGGAGCATTTCCTCCTCAGCTGCAACAGAAGCAAAGTATGAGTCAGCACAGACGACTCTCCAACTGTTATGCAACGGAAGTACCAATTCCTTCATCACCTGGAACCCTGTGGCAGCCCATTGCCTTCTGTAGTTTTGTCTTCTTCCTCTTCATCTCTCTTTGTAAGCTTCAGACGAAGCATCACACCACTATCACCACACGCCGAATCTTGGATCTCACACCCACTTTCTGTTTTCCTGTCTATCGCAACATAGTTGGGAAAGCCCTCATTGATCCAATGACCGCCAATGCCATACCATCAGTATAAGACTGAAGGCTCTCGAAGGAAACAAAAGAAGAAAATAGTCCAACCTCGGCAGCAAAAAACCAGCGTCACATCCATCACAGATCTCATCATTCACTGGAGTCCTCAACAGCCATTCTCGCTGGCGAATGAGATTGCCAATACTAACCCCATCTGGTTCATCAAACCATTCGAAGCCATGCTGAGTTGCAACTGGCTGTGGTCCCTGTTGCTGTTGTGCCGGCGGAGTTAGGAGGACCGACTGTTGGCCCATTGTCATGGGTTCTGGTGCCTGTTGCTCATCTGGGACCGATCTTGTATGATTGTTGTGTTCTTCTGGTTGGTTTGGGGGTGTTGTTGGTTGTTGTGGTGACTGTGGTGGCTGTGGTGGCTGTTGTGGCTGTTGTGGCTGTTGTGGCTGCTCTGGAGCCAGTGGTAGAGCAGGCATCAGATTTTGTGCCGCGACCACTGCTTCTACTTCCACACCTTGTTGTGGCACAGCAGCTTGGACAACTTCAACGGGAGCAAGACTGACGCTTCTACTGTTGACAGAGGCGAATGGTTGTGTAATTGGCTTGACCAGTTGCTGTTTGGCCGCAAACAACCTCCTCCACAACTCCAAAAACAGCTTTTGAATTGGCATTGGAGCCATAGCGACGCTTGCACTCGGCCAAGCTGGTGACCAAGATTGCCCTTGTTGATACTCTTGCCCCTATTGGATGTTTGGGGTTGCTAGGTGCCATGGTTGGGTCGTTGTAGTTGTCGTTGTGATGGTGATGATGTCAGTTTTTTTTTGCACACAAAAGCGCATTGAAGCACCTTTGACGAAGAATATCTCCGTCCACAGCAATTTTCAGTTAGTGACCCCATAGAAAACATGAAACTTTGAATACCAAGGAATACGCTCTTAAAGCAGGAGGTTTGTTAAACATGTTTACGGTAAATGGGTAGGACTGTCAAAAGCTGCCTCATAGGAGGCATATGCCTCATATGAGGCGCGCGGTAGAATAGACACAGTAGACACATCCTTATTCTCCATTCCGTTGAGTCGACTATTGTCCTCTGCCTCAGGTATACGAGTAGGTACCGGTAGGTGGTACACGTATAGGTAGGACGTGAAGCACGGTTGGCGGACGGAGTGAAGAGCGTCGAGGACGGAAAGTTGGTTTATCACAATGGGAGCCTGCTAGATGACGGAGACACTAGAAGGGGCATAGCTGCACGGTCCCTCGCGACCCTCTGTTTTCTCCCATTTGCACCATTGGCTGCTCAGTACCTATTTTGAATTTGTTCCGGATTGATTGATTCGACCTCAGTGCAAAGAACCAGTCTCTAACTTAGTACCTTGATGCTTGTCGCATCACGTCGTACCATCGGAACAAACGTGCGATTTGTCACCTTTCTTGGAGCCAGAACGTTCGCTATCATGCAACACACCTACTGCTGCAGAGTGGAATGACTTTTTGTGAGATGATTTTCCGTTTGCTCTCTGCTTTGCCTCTCGCTCTGCTGTGGAATGACGAGATCAACTTTTGTCTTTTTCCTTCCTTTTCCGATTCCTTGGATGGGCCTTTGCTACTAACTGTATCATCTGTCATATTTTCTGTACAACAAGCCAAATATCTTCAGTATTGTTATTCTTCAAATGCAATGTTTGCTGCTTTTTATCATTCAAAATCTTGTTGGAGAGGTTACTCACTCCTCTCGCTCTGCGACGAACGATGAGATACCATGAGAAGTAGAGTACATCTAGGGAGTATAATGTACATGACAAAGTTGGTTTATATGATTAAGTGGTATCTGATCGAAAATGGAAAAAATGGACAAGAGGGTTAATCCCGATCGGTACCTGGTACTGTAGATTCAGCTGCTTTCATATATATCGGGCACACTGGGGAAGAAGGGCGGTAGATGCACTATGAAGTCGCGCAGTACCAAGTATAGTGTGTTGCAAGCTGACTGCACGTATTTTCGCAACTGAATAAAAAGTCAAATAAGGATTCCACACAAAGAATAAGGCTCGCCAAATTGGCTCACTGATAGACCGTTTTTGCAACTGATTAAAAAGTCAAATGAATCTCTACTGTAGGCATTGGCTCGCTGAGGATGGACCAACAGATGATTTCATTCAACAGGAACAACTGCACCGGTACCCAGTATGACCTCTAGCTAGTGTTTCTTAATTCAATAGGTCATTTTCTGATCCTATGCAGGAGTCGCAGAAGCGATAATAGTCATACATCTCTGTCAGATGAGCTTCTACCCTGCTCTTCACATCTGTATATTCTGGTTTCCAAATGCATTCGTCACTCTTGTTTCTGTCCTTGTTGGTGGAACGAAGCGCGAAATTCTTCACAGGGTGTCGTCGTGGTTGCAGAATGTTGCCCATGTAACTCAAATATGGATCGATTGGGATCGCATTGAAACACTTTATCGGCCGTTTGGAATAGTTCATTAATTCGTAGGAGAACCGTACATTTGTCTTCAAGTCGCAGCTTCTAATTTCCTTCCTGAGATCCGAAGAGTCGCAATTGAAAATGATATCCTTAAAATTGCACTCCGACATCAGATGCGAAACACGTTCTCGACATGGAATATGAAACTCCAGCTGATAATCACGCAGTCTCTCCCAAAATTTGAAATCGATTTCATGTGAAATCCAGTCACAATCTTCAAACCCAATTTCGTTCATGATATCAGGGTGTACCCGGCCACGAGACCAGACACGCTTCGCCTTTAATCCCACCATGCCCTTAGGCGTATTTGCAGTTGTCGTATTGGAACGAATCCGTTCATTGACCTGATAGTAGTCGTAGGAGTATCCTTTGTGCCCGCAGATACGTTCATATGTTCCTGCTAACTGACAATTTACCGTTGTCCCAGCTGTTTTTGCCATGTGAACGTGGGCGAAAACTTGTTCAGGTATTTTCCATAGCCGTCCTTTCTGTTGGATGGATGATTTTGAAATTGCAGCATTGTTATGGAAATCAAATGACGAAAGCCATATTGTTAACAGCAATAGGATTATCCCCCAGATCAAGCATGTGATCAGAAAAAGGAAGCGCATTGTGCTTCTGTCGCGAAAATATGTGCAACCTGGCTTTTTTTCGATGTAAATCCGAAGTCCACAACATTAATATTTGTCCAGGATGAAAAGCTGATGTCGATGACTATATATTATACATTGAATATGCGATGATGAATGATGAACCGTGGCGATAAATTCAGATTTTTAGAGAAATCGAAACCACGGAACCGACCAGTTGGACATGAATAATAGAAACAGTGCAGTAAAACGTTGTGCAGGGCGGATCAAGTCACCACAAACTTGCTGCTTTCTGTTGTTCTGACGTTATGATGAACTGTGATTGTGATGTGTGTCATATATAATTGTCGTCGCGTGCTTCATCAAAATATTCTTTTTTTTATATACGTACAGTATAGTGTACACGTGTACGTGCATATGCGGTTGAAGGTGCGCACAGTTTCACAACGTCACGCGTTATTATTACATGGCCCTGCTCACGATGAGATCCGGGTCCTTGATGCTTCGAGGATCTGATAGGCTGCCCTAGGCCCCGATTTGCAAAGAATTGAAAACTACCTATAGAGTCGTTGGTATCAACAGATTGAGTCTGCTCACTTTGTATGACTCTTTTTTGGTGGACTTTTTGTGTTTGTTTGGCTGATGATCATTGTGTTCACCGAGCAATGCACCACGACGACACCGCCTTCAGTAATGCAGGGATGCCAGTTGCCAGTTACATTGTATATGGTACATATAAGACGCCGATTCAAATTTGGTTGGTGTCGGATGGCCGTGTTGTGCGTATCTATCATTACCCCTATATTCATTAGTTGCAGGTTGAATTGTCCCAAATGGATCTTCACTGCTTGCAAGTTGTTTTGTTACGACTTACTTTGTTCCTTTGTGTTTCGTCTCAATCTTTACTAGATCGTCATCGTGAAAAGTAATCAATAAGAGTACAGCTAAGGATTGACTACTAGTATTTGACATATATTGCGGGTTCTCTTCTCACTTCTGGGTAATCATTCCATTTTGCAAAGCCTTTGGAGTAAGTCATTGCACCTTCCCCTCCACTGTTGCTGGGTTCGAGCCGGTTCCAAAAACACCCTCCAGATTGCAAACAACCGTCCGCTGTAGTATAAATACCCACTTCCACACACCTTCCGTCTCCAAATCATTGCCTCCAATCAAGCCAGTACCTAGCATCACCAAGAACTGCTGCTATTTCTTTGATGCAATCGTGATCATCTTGATTCTTGACCTTGGCCAAGCTCAAACCCATTTGAGCAGATTTAGCAAGGTGTCCAGCATATGCCATTGAAGGGGCGATGTAGTAAGCTTGTCTTTTGCAAGACGACGAGAGCGGCTTTTCATATAGTCCAATCCGAAGATTCTGGGGTTGGAAATCGTTCCACCCAAGATTTTCGTTTGACTGCAGTCTCGAATCAATAGCAACTTCTAGACCGGTGGCTGTTCCGCTTAAATCATTTGGTTCGTTTGGAAGCCAGAAGTATCCTCCAGGTTGCAAACAACCGTCAGCGGTTGTGTAGAATGGACAATTATCGCCATCCCACGCCCATACTCCTGGTGACTCCAAGGTTGCCCCAAGGACCAAAATTTTATCAAATCCATTGGCTGCGACGGAATCAAAATGCGTCAAGATTAGTTCAATCATTTCAGGCTCACTGCTGTCTCTCGCCGTTGCCAATATCATGCCGAAAGTGGCAGCGTAGGTCACATGATCCGCAAGAGATTTTGCGTCGGTGGTTGCCCAATATACTTTTGGACCGACCATTCAGAAAACACATGTTGGAACGCTTGATGGGACATCACTTGGGGCAACGGAAGGTTCCTGGCTGCTACTGGGACTGCTCGATGGATGCAACGATGGGACTTGCGAAGGACTTTTCGAAGGGACTCTGGTTGGGATTTTTGAAGGCGTCATCGAAGGAGTTTTTGATGGACCTGCTGAGGGACTGTTCGACGGACTGTTCAAAGGGCTGTTTGACAACATTGTAAACCGACTGTTTGAAGGACTTGTAGAAGGTCCAGCCGAAGCAGTGACTGTTGGAATAGGAGTAGCATCCGGAACTGGAACAAGAGTAGGACTTATGGTTGGCGTTTCAGTTGGGACGGGAGTGACATCCGGCGTCGTTGGGCTCGAAGTATTTGGAAGCGAGCTTGGAACCGAGCTTGGGACCTTCGAAGGCTCTTGCATAGGTTCTTCTGTAGTTGAGAATGCGACAGGTTTTCTTGTCGGATCCATTGATGGCATGTCAGTGGGACGATCCAAAGAAGGATCAAATCTTGCTCCAATGGGGCTTTTGGCCGGTTGGTGCAAGAGTATCAGACTTAACATGCCTGTTGATTGCAAACAGATTCACATTCTTGATGACTGGATCTCCGGGGAACGCAGCTGTTAGTCGTAAGCCTGGCAAATCCACATCTTCCAAGATAAGAGAAGTCAATCTCAAAAAGCTCACATCATCCAGAATGATGTCCAGGTTTCTGTGTAGCTCGAGCTCCTGAACGTGACCCGTTTGAAGCGATTTGAGCACCGACCGCAGAACGCGAGGATCTTCCTCCTTCGGCTCTTTGCATTGCCTCTTGATCTGTACTGGTTTGATGGGAATAAGAAGACTTAGAGCGTGACTCCTTTGCACTGTGAGCACCTACTATAGCTCGGGATGATCTTCCTCTTGTGGTCCCTTGCTTTGCCTCTCGATCTTCATTGGCTCGATGGGAATGAGAAGACTTGGAGCGAGATGATTTCCCACCTTTGGTCCTGTTCATCTTTTCATCTCGATCTTCATTGGCTCGATGATGGGAAGAATGAGAAGACTTGGAGCGAGACGATTTCCCACCTTTGGACCTTTTCCTTTCATCTCGATCTTCCCTGGTTGGGTGGGAATCAGAAGACTTGGAGCCAGACGATCTTCCTCCGTTGACCCTTTGCTTTTTGTCTTGATCTTCATTGGTTCGGTGGGAATCAAAAGACCTGGAGCGCGATGATTTCCCACCTTTGGTCCTCTTCTTCTCTAGCTCATTGAAAAGGCTCTCTTTTGGAGCAAGAAGAAGGTTTGAGCTTGCTACGCTTATTGCTTTCATCACAATCGCCTACGACGGGAGCAGATTCAGATGTCCCTCCTCCTGATGTTGCTTTTTGCTTTGCCACTTGTTCTCTGGCGCTCCTTTTGCGTTTTGTCTTCCATGGAAAAATCTTCTTTGATATCCATAGTCTCGCGATGAAGTGAGACTATATACTTTGCAAATTTATGACAAGGTGGTCTATCGGTATCAAAGAAGAAGAATTTGTGAGCGTCACATGATGAAGCCCAAAGATTTCCAAGCAAAGTTCTTCAAGTCATCGCAAATTTTTCGTTTTTTTCTCTTGCGTGTTGTCACTTTGAAATAGCGCATCCATTTTTATGACCCCGAATGCCTTCCACTCATGGGATTTTAATAATACCTGGGATATGCCGCATTTTGTCGTGAATCTGATTAGAGATTGGAGGCAGGCAGGCTTGATCACCCTTTCTGCAGGGGGGTTGGTGATTCAACATCTTCCGTCGTCATGGAATTCAATCATTGTTTAACACTTCATGGTCTTGGTGGTGTTTTCAATACTCCTGTCTATACTTTTAAAAACATTCGTTAAGTGAGACATGATGAAAATCGTCCGCAATTACCGTTACAATTGTACTCAATTACCGTTTAAAATGTTGTCAATTGTCGTCAATTGTTGTCAATTGTCGTCAATTGTTGTCAACGGTCATAAGGACCATTGACAACAATGTCTGGGTCATTGACGACATTTTTCTTTGTGTCGATGGCTTGCGTGCGCACATGCCAATCCAGTAGCAGCTCACGACAAAACGATGGCGATTATTATTGTACGCATGCAATGCCGTCATCTCTCTGCTTGTTAAATACTCGACTGGTCGCTTTTAATTTGCCCTAAGTCAATTTCATCATGAGAGACTAAGCTAATGCAGAAAAGGGTGAAAATGACCACACGGACTAAAAAGAAATCATAGAAACCCGGATCTAGGACAAACTGCGGGGTATCCCTGGTAGTAGCTGTAGTACTTTCGCCTTCCATGTCAGTGGTATCGTAGTACTTTCGCCTTCACCTATAGTACTATATTGGCGTATATTGAGAAATGTCTTTATGGGGGTGTGAGGATGTAGGTAGATAATGTGGATGATGAGAGAAGGTGACATGCCCATGTATTGGTGTAACAAAGTGTAAGTGGATAATGTAATGGTGATTGTGGTTTGTATTTGATCCAAGATACACGGGCGGGGATGATTTATGATATATGAAAAATGTGAGGTAATATACGGCACGGTATTGAATATCCAATAAAATCTCATACACGCGCTATCTCACGTCTTCACCGCGTGACCCCCATCACAATACGTGCGTGGCGTTATAACTACACGTAGTGTACTGTCAGCAGAACCGATGCGAATGCTGCGAAACATACAACTGAATATGCGTTATGTGTACCGGTACCAGTTAGTATCGTACCAATACGTGTACGTGTACGTGTACGACACGCACGTGCGTGGAATTTGAGAGCCGATCGATTGTTTTTATTGCTTGAACAAGCAGGCGTACCTGGTACGCAGACTGACTGGCTCTTTCTATCGTAACATTTATTATAATAATACCTACTGTACCGGTAGTATTTCCCTCATCGCATCACAAACAATAAGGTGAAGGATCATATCAATATCATATCAACAACATCATAGCATAGTATGAAAGTCAAAGGCGGCGGTCCTCCACCTTCCACAGATCCATCGGAATGGCCTCACCGACCCGCTTATATCTGTGCGCATCCGGACGTCCAGACACCCCACCACAAAGAAGGATCTCCCTTGCCTTTGGATGAGATTGTCGAATTTGAAACGGATTTGTTTCAAGGGAAAATGATTTGTCGGCTCAAGCCTGTGCCACCAACACCCGATAAGGACGAAGCGGCAATCCAAGCCCAAGAGGAATATTTTGCGAGTCGCAATACACATTATCAATTCATCATTCAGGGACGCTTCAAACGAGAAATTCCATTTTCGGATCTAGTCATTGGAGACTTTTATGAGCGACCCATGCTCGGGGTTCCCAAGGGGCTCTTCATTCGCATGTACCAGCGATTTTTGGAATCTCTATATCCAGGAATGGTCATGGACATGACCTCGGAAAAGCCAAAGGTCTTTACGCCATTGGCATCGGCACAAATCATGCGTGTGGATCTACCTGGAAACGAACCCAATATACACGACAAGGCCGTGCTGCAAGAGATGCATTCCTTGGAAGATACCACCTTACTATTTGAGCATCCGATCCAACCTCCCACCAAATTGCCACGACCTGGCACGACCACTTCCCCGTCCAAACGACGAGGACATCTTTCCAAACCCAAGAATGCTTGTCATTATCAGACCAATCCAAATCACATTTACACGATAGAATGGGGCGACGCCGCCATGTGTTTTGGATCTTATTATCAATATGCCGTGGGATTCAAGATTGATCTGGCCAAGAGTATGAATGCCCAGCCACTTGCGTTTGCAATATTTACTAGACAACAAGAGATTGTCTGCAAATTTCCCATCTGGAACGAACGATTGATTGATGAAATGAAAGCGGCGGAAACCATTACGGAAGAGTCTCCAGAAGATGACCCGAGTGACTCGGTAGTAGTAGACCGACCTGACAGTGTATGGCAGTCTTCAGATTGATGGACTGTATGGAAGCATCATCATCATCATCATCCTCATCACCATCCTCATCAGGAGCTCGTACATTTAGATTTGTACATACATATCTGAAATCTGAAATAGGGGCAGATCTATATTAATAATAGGGTAATATTTTAAAGCATAATGTACCAGTATATAAAAAACAACAAAAAGTAGGAATCTATATACCATGCAACAACGCATTGAAAATACCAAAGAAAATAAGTAATGAGCGAACATGTATTAAAATACCAATCAATACATCAACAACACTAACCCTATATAATCCTAATACCCAATTTCGCACAAATACAGTTTCACAAGAATGTGATCTGTGAGGTGGCAATATGGTTTCCTATAATGATTGATTGATCGATTGATTGTGTCATTCGTTCGTTCGTTCATTCGTTCATTCGTTCAATCGTTCAATCGAACTACTCGTTGTTGTCGTTCGTGCGATGATCGATATTCCGATATTGGAAAGACAAATAGGAGCACAATCGCTGCGGCCAAGATTTCGACACAGATCAAATAGTTTTGCAATCCCCTGGCAACCTCTTCGGCAGTCCATAGGTAAAGTCTTGACCCAATGCATCCAGTGATACATTATCATTGTTGTTGTTGTTGTTGTTGTTGTCACCATCCTCGTATTTGCCACCGCCATGTACATCAAATGCCAATGCCTCTTCTGCTTTCACTTTCATTGGCATGTTAAGAGTTCCCATACCAGTATTGTTGTCGTCAACTATTCTCGAAGAATGATAGTGTGGAATCAAATCCATATGATACAAAATGGCAATTCCGAGAGACTGCAACCTTGGAAACATCAATAAACTGTAGTGACTGCCCAAAATTTCCAAACAGGGCGAATGATGGTGGTCAATAATAATAACGCAGACATAATAGCCAAGATCCAATCGAAGATCCAATCGAATAAATTGGTACCATCCACAAGATACGCACAATGTAACATTGTTCTTCTGGCTTGTTGTAATAATGATTGGCCAATAATAAGTGAGAAGAAATTCCATAAATGGAAATGGGGAATCCCAACAATACAAAGGCACCGGCACTGAACCATGCAATCAAATGCTTGTCAGTTCCATTGTTCCTCAATTCGTTGGAATATTACCCAATGGCAGCGGCAGTACATGCAACCGTAGACGACCCCAGCAATACGATCGTGGCCAATAGTTTATTCATGAACGACAAGAATTGAGATCGACTCATGATATTCTTTTGTGGTGCTGCGGTATGTATACACGTGTATCATATCAACAGTGCGTGCTACTGTACACTACAGCATCATTACATTGTCAGCTACGAGTGTACTGGTATACTATAAAATACTGCAGTGTTTTGCAGTTTCATCATCATCTTTCCTGTTGCATATATTTTTGTCGCATAAAGATATTTATATTGCATCCGCAATCTAAATCCTCCCGAGACACTTTTTTTGGGCGCTTCTAAATATATCGCAAGAATTCTCCAGGTTTCATCAACGGCAGCACATTTCACTAAATCAGATAATTATTTTCTTCTACACATACTTATGCCACGTGTCTTACCCGCCAAAAACTTCGATACGAATCAAAATCTTCATCTTTTTTATTGCGCACATGGTAAATGGTCAAGCAGTAGAAACAGTCGTACCAAAAACAAACACAATAAACATATTCTATATACAACTTCAATACTAAGAATAAGAATAGACAAAAGATTGTTGCACAATAGTATCAAACACAACTGACAAACAACAATACAAGATAATCAAGGAATAGTAGGAGGCAAACAACAACAACAACAACAACAACAATAATGACAACGACACGACTACGTCATCATCATCATCATCATTTCTGGTCGTTGTTCGTCACCAGTCTCATTTGCCTGCTAATATCGAATGTTGATGCTCGTCGAAATCAACGACAACAACAGCCCAGGATTGTGGGCGGTACCAATGCCAAGCCCGATGAATTTCCCTACTTTGTGCAAATGGGCAAATGCGGTGGCGTCCTGATTGCACCCGGCATTGTGCTATCCGCCGCCCATTGCATGGAAATTTTTCGGATTGGCGTCTACGTGACGCTGAATCCCCACGGCGTCAAGGATCTGTCCTCGAAACGCTTGAAGATTGTGGACCGATATTTTCATCCCTGGTATTGGGACGAATGGGCGAGTTATGATTTTATATTGTTGCGATTGGAGGAACCCCTTTATTACAATGATGATTCCTTATTCTTATCGACTGAAACCACCACCACCACAACCACCACCACCACAATCACGAAAAATTCCAATACCAACACTGACATTGATTTCTCGGTCAATCTGGACGATGCCTTTCCACCTGACAATGTTACATTAACGACCATTGGGTTTGGTACCCTGAAATCGGGCAGCAATCGATTTCCGGACATTTTGCAAAAGGTGGACTTGACCAGCATGAATTTGGACGATTGCAATGCGACCTTGGAAGGTGAATTGTTGGACGATTCGTTTTTGTGTGCGGGGACCTATGAGGGTGGAAGAGATTCTTGTCAAGGCGACTCGGGTGGTCCATTGCTTTATGTACGAGGCAATGTCCATATTTTGGTAGCCTTGGTATCTTGGGGAGAAGGATGTGGTGATGCTGGCATTCCAGGAGCCTATGCTCGTGTCAGCAAAGCCATGCCTTGGATTGAAAAGGTAGTCTGCGATTGCTGGAATGTCCAAGGAGCACCCTTTTGTTCGCAATCAATTGTAGCCGCCGACCAGCGACAATCATTGAACAATAACAGCAACAACAGCAACAGCAACAACAGCAACAGCAACAGCAGCAACAACAAGAAGAATGAGACGACGACGCTACCACCAAAAGAAGGAGGAGGAGGAGAAGCAGAAGAATTTGAGTGTCCACTCTACATTGATCCCAATTGTCAAGACACTCCTGGCTATGTCGATTATGTGGGAGACGTTTGCGCCTGGCACGAAGTCGAAGAGAATCCAGGATGCATCTGGTATGGAGAATCTCCCGGTGGACCTGGATTTGAAGATTCCAATGCCCAAGGCGAATGTTGTTGGTGTGGTGGAGGCAGTATTATTGTTGACAAACCAAAATCACCTCCAATCAAATTTGAACGACATCCGGAATGCATTGACCTAAAAGATTGGAACGATCTATATGGCGACGATTGTGCTTGGTTCGAAGCCAATACGGACGAGGGGACTTGCAGTGGGTGGGGAACCATTCGAGGAGGCGCTGGAATGCGGGACATTACACCTGACGAGGCATGTTGTCATTGTGGAGGAGGTATCTTTCCCACGCCCGCTCCTACCTCACCCGCGCCAACGATCTATGTCGCACCAACGGAATCCATAGCACCAACGCAGACGCCAGTACCATCCTTGGAAGTTGTCTATGTCGAAAATCCAACACAACAGCCGACGACTGCGACGTCACCACCAGCAAAAGACTCTCAAGCACCAGAACTGAAGGATGATGGATTGAGTGACTCGTCATCAGCGACTAGTAGTAGTATGAGGAGGAGGAGGATGATGATGGTAGTATCGTCCACCATGAGCATGATGATGATGATACCAATGGTGATAATAGCTATAATAATATAGTAAAAAGTTGTGATAGTCCTACTGATCGTATGGTGACCTCTACTAATGATAGTTGTATAATATGATTACACTTATTTTAATACTCATATACTCATATTATAGTATAGTAGTATTACTCCTTGAGTCAGTCGTCCCCGATTCAAGTTTACAGATCACGACTACCAGGTACCATAGGTACGATACACTTGTGGGTCTGGTTTGGGCGGCGGGTCCGGAGTAGGAATCAATCTTTATATATAAAATATATATTGTGCTACCGATAGCTAGATGGCATCCATCCAGACAGACACGAGAGGTGCTGGCGTCCCATTGCACCGACCCATAAAATGCGCCTACATTCCAGTAGGTACATAGAAAAGTCACAAACACATTGGCGGAAGCAGTCCTGTGAATTTCATCGTTCGTCGGATTTTGGTGTGGTGACAACGGACAGCAATGAGAGTTTACTTAGAGAAATGCTATTTGAAAATGGTCGCATCTCGAAACTCACTTACGGCATTTTGAAAATTCGGGGACAAGCACATACAAATTCCCTCTTAGACTCATTGGACTTGCATCCAATTTGACAAGAGTGAGTTCTAAATCGTTGCATGTGTGGATTGGACCACGGCAACTTTCTTCGGCCGATTCCCCAAACCGGATCATCATTATCAATATTGCACAACGTTGGAATAATTGTTTTTTGGTTTGTTCACATCTCACACAAATCATTATTGATATCATTTTATATATCATTGAACAATTCACACAATGACAATGTCTCCACAACACTCTCGGCAACACTCTCATCAAGCAGAAGCACAAGCAGAAGCAGAAGCAGAACAACGAGCCATCGAAGACGCAAGTTGTCATCAATCGGCTGCCAGTTGGATTGACTTTACGTCGTCTTGGAATGCTTTCAACAGCACTGCCAGCAATTGGTGGGAATCTGCTGCAGCTTCTTGGCAACCAACCTTGCGAGAAGAACATGAAGGTGACTTTCCATCAACACTACCGGTAGCGCCTGGTTCTCCAGCTTCCTTTCACACGGCTCACAATAATACTGGCAATGATGAGAGTGGCAATGGACATGGACATGGACATGGACATGGACAGGGATATGATGGCAGTTACTTGGCCCGAGTCAAACAAGATGCCAACCGTCATCCCTATCATTCCAAGTCCAAGTCCAAGTTCAAGCAGTCCAATCATCGAGGCAATCACAATAACAATAACAATAACCATAATGCACCATCGCCAAGTCAAGCGATGCGCTTGAAGGAATTGTCCAAGCTTTCCAGCCACACGGTGGATTCTTCGTCGTCCTTGAGTGATGTACAACAAGAAGGAGACAACCAATATAACTCTTCTTGGTACGCTCAAGGTGGAAGTCGACTCCAAGTCTTTCCATCCAATCATAATGGTCGACGCCACCGGGAAGGGGCACAACCAGAGGACGGCGACGACGACTACGACTATCCTCACAAGCCTTCCTCACACCACTTTTGTTTTGGAATCGCCAACAAGTCCAACAAGTACAAGTTTGCAGTCTTGTTGGTGGTCCTTGCCATTCTTGCCTGTGTCGCAATCATCACTCTCACGTCGGTGGACATTTCCAAAGATAGCAACAACCTTGACAATAACATGGATAACAATGGTACCAACAACAGCAACAATGACAGTCAGAATTTGCTGGCCAATAATGGTGTTCCAACCAAGGCACCCACTCAAACACCTTTTCCATTGGCCACTTCCAATCCAACACCATTCCCCACTACCAGTGCTCCCACCACTCCTCCTACCGAGGAAACCATTCTCACGTACATTCCGGGCAAGCTCAATGTAAGATCCAATGGATTGCTCTTGTCCGAAGGTTTGACCTCAAGAGTCATTGCCATTTCGGGACAAGCCGTCGAATTGACGGGATTGCCACCCTTGCAAACTGCCACTACTACTAGTAGTGGTGGTACAAATCAAGGCGCGTCCTCGTCATTGTCCGAATTGCAATATTACAAATCCACCCAAGGCTTTCATGAGAAACCAGATGGAGCTGCCGTCTTTCCATGGGCCGAAACCGGAGGATGGGTCTATGTGAGTAACAGTGAGGTGAAGGAAGAAGGTCAAGGGGGAGTCGGAGCCATTTACTTTGATAAGGAAGGCAAGGTTGTGGATTATCAACGATTGTTGGATGGAACCACCATGAATTGCAGTGGTGGACCAACACCCTGGGGAACATGGGGTAAGTTCTATCGAAATATGATATCATAATATACATCTTATGGATACCAACTAAATGACTCACATTCATCTTCTTCTTGACTCCACACAGTGACTTGCGAAGAAGTCGATGGTGGCAAGGCCTATCAAGTGGATCCCTTTGGGATTCGACCTCCCGAATTACTTTCGACGCTCGATACGGGATTCTTTGAAGCCTTTGCGCACGATACTCGCAACAAGGACAAACCAGCCTTTTATGTCACCGAAGACAAGGAACGAGGACCCTTGCGCAAGGTCGTTCCGGACAATCCCGACTGGCAAGATCCGTGGCAAATTCTGCATGGCGCGGGAACTCTCGAGTACCTCGTCTTGCAACCAGATCCACAAGATCCCAACAACATGTCGGGAACCTATTATTGGACTACCGAACGAGAAGTCGCCAAGGTCAATTCGCAACAATATTACAAACATTCCGAAGGCATTGATGTTTACAACCATGAATTATTCTTTGTTTCCAAGGAACAAAAGGAACTCTTCATCTTGAATCTTGATGATGGCACGTACAAAGTCCATACGACCGTCTCGGGGATCTTTGATGGACATCCCGATCAAATGAAACGTTTGATTCACAACGGGTTGTTGTATTTCTGTGAAGAGGGTGGCAAGGAAAATGGCGTCCATGCACGCGATGAGAATGGTTGGTTCTTTACCATTGCCGAAAGCGATACCTTGAGTGATGAGACTACCGGATTGGCCTTTTCACCAGATGGTATGCACATGTACGTGTCGTATCAACACAATGGACTCATTTATGATATCTATCGAGAGGATGGTTTGCCCTTTCATGGACGGACCTTGAATGTCAAGTATCATCAAATTCAACAACGATAGAAGAAGAAGAAAAAGAAGAATAGATGAAACAATGAAACGATGAAACTATGAGCAATCCCTGTACATTCAAAAATACAAAAGAGACGACGATTCCATAGCACCCGAATGAACCAAAATCGGGAGCAAGTGGTACTATTCATTCATAATAACGCTTGGTCAGAAATCCTGTAGAAAGAACACTGACTATGCAAGAAACTTACGATTTTGTAGCTACAGTACTACCAAAATGCATAAACAAACATATTTTTAGTATACTATTTTATTAGTATATCTTAGCAAGTATGAACATTAGACACGTACTGGCACATTCTAGTTTCGTTCTATTATAATATTAAAAATAATACATCATTTTTTATCTTTTAATCGTAATGACCCATTTCTTGCATCTTCATCAAGAATTGAATCGCTCGTGATCGTCGGGCAATTTCAATGGGAGTGCTATCGGCTCCTTCCATGGGCATGTTGGGATCATGACCAGCTTTGACCAAGGCTTCTCCGCCAATGGCCAAATTGTTGCTTGCCATTCGGTGCAAGGCAGTGTAACCATAGGTATCTTGTTGGTAAATATCAGCGCCAGCATCAATCAATACTTGGGTGGACAGTTGATTGGTCTTCGACATGCCGCAGGTGTGCAAGGGACGGGCTCCACCCGTGCTGATTTCTTCTTTGAGTTCCGGATAGTCCTTTAGAATTTCTTGGACCTTGGTTGGCCCCATTTGAATGGCCTTGGACATTAAGGAATATCCAGTTCCATCGTAGATTGGTCCAGGACGAGGATTGTGATTTTGATATTGCTTTCCAATCAAAACATTGCCACTTTCGTCTCGTTTTACAGAACCGCTGTAAATTCCAGCTCCGACCGTATCCGCATAAGGATCAAAGCCTTCGTTGTCCGTCTGACCAGGAAGTCCATAATGTTCCGCCATTCCTGGGGCATAGGGATCGTGGGTGATGCGGACTCCGTCCTTGCGGTAGTACCCGTCTGATTTGATCTCATTAGTAGCCGACGATGATGATGAGGATGACATCATGACGATCAAAGAGGCTGCAGCGAATTTGTGTGTCGATGAATGATAAGAATGAGAATGACGCAACAATAGTGGGAATGATTGGGAAGGCTTATGGTTCAAGACGGAAAGAAGGAATAACAATGAAGGCTTGCAAGGAAACATTACTTTCATTGGCGTTGGATGTACTGGAATTAGACGAGATATATACCATAGTACCTATTTTAATACTGATGATGATTTTATACGATGAGTTGGTAATTTTCTTTGGTCGATGACGTCATTTATTCCCGTCTCCATTGGAATCATTCATTCACGAATAAGACAGTCCCTGGACAGACCGCATTGACGCGCCACGCGTGCAATGCAAATGGGTTGACGATCGTGTTAAATTTTCCTCGTTGGAAACCTTTTGATATTAGAAGACAATGGCGATAGCAATGACTAATAGTACAGCCATGGTGCGAAACCAACAATGCGACCATGGAGAACAAAATCCATGATATGATAGGCACCAATACTTCTTTCACCATTAACCGTGAAGACGAAAGAGCAAATCGGTTGGAACACACGTTACCGTTGAGCCGAAACCGTGGAAAAAAACTATGCTCACAACTTTTCGATTCCGTTTGAAACGGTTGTCATCACTAGACTTTCTACTGAGCTTGGTACATCTTTCCAAAGTCGAGACGTTTCTTGCTTCAGCAGAGCAACTTCATTTCACAACAGAATCTGCTCATATTTTTGACATTCGATCAAATTGCATCGACTCAGTCCTTTCAAAGAACAACAACAACAACAACAACAAACAAAACAAAACAAAACACTTTCCACCATGTTGTCTCTTCGATCCATCATCATGATCTTTCTTCTTTTGGCCATGCAGCCAATGGCCATGCCTTCCTTGATGAGTGCAAACTACACTCGTCCATCCATTCAAGTCTACAGTTTGGCAAACGAAGACATTGTTTCCACTGTTGACTTTGTTGGAACCACCGTGGAAATGGAATCCACTGGTGTTCCTTCTTTCTCCCTTGCGGAGTTTATCATGTCTATTGACTACGAATCGGTCAAGGCTTTCGCACAAGACTTCAGCAAGAAGTACGAAGCCTTCGCCGAAGCATTCACTGATGCCATGTCTGCCATCTTCGAGTTCTTCAGTATGGAGTACAACGCATACAAGCAATCGATCAACTACGAATCGATCAAGGCTTTCGCACAAGACTTCATCGAGAAGTACGAAGCCTTCATTCAAGCATTCACTAATGCCATGTCTGCCATCTTCGAGTACGAAGCATTCCACCAACCCATTGACTACGAGTCCGTCATGTCTTCCACAGAAGCATACATCCAAGAAGTGTCTACTGCCATGTTTTCCAAGATCGAACTCGTCATCCAGAAGTTCGAAGCATACAACCAAGAGTTCCAAGTCGAGTACCACCGAGTCTACAAGAAGAAGCTAGAAAATTTTGCCACTGACCTGCTTATTGCTGCAGCTCCAGCTTGGCCAAGCTTACTTGACCCTGAATTCATTGTCAGAGATGTTTTCGACCGAGTGGAATCCTACACCACCAAGGACCCGATCGTCCCAGCACCAGCTCCACCGCTGCTATCCCTTGAGGACGCTCAATCGATTGCAGCAATGGAGGTAGTATTGGACTCCTCGACCACTTTTGGTGCCATGGTCATTGCCCTACTCCTCGTCGCCACTTTGACTACTGTCATTTATGCCAGCAGTGTCATCGATCGAGAGCTCATATCCATGGAAGATTTATCCATTGTCTTGGAGACACCCTGTTTGTCCATGACTGATTTGAGAAAGAAAATGACACCATCGGTCATACTCTGTTCTGCGGATGCTTATGCTAGGTATCAAGCCAGTTGCGACAAATCCAAGGACCCTTCCATCGTGGACCTTTGCAACCTATTCGCCAATATTTCCTTCCAGAAGGATACTACGGATCCTTCGAAAAATGAGAGCTTTTGAAAACAAAACAAAAAAGAGCGACTCATGATATGTTCATCTACCTCTACCGTTTGACCCTCCTGGAACATCAAGGCCAATAACTCGATCTTTGGGAGTTCGGCCTACAGGGGTACTGCTGCACCAAAACATTGCAGTAGGTGGTCGCGTAAGTTAAGGAGGACATACACATAAAATCATGGAATGACTTCAGAATAAGGTGATTTGCAGACATTATAATTTGGAAGCAAAAAGATGGGGGAGCTCAGTGCTTGAAATACTAGTCATGACGACACTCAAAAAGTCGTCAGACCTTGAATGGGAACAAGATGAAATATCTAAAAAAAATAAAAAAAATAATAGCAATGGATGCAAAATAAAACATCAGTCAATCCTATTTCCTACAGTGGTAGTATAAGCTATTTCATTTCACGATGTTTGCGAAACTTTGCAATGCCCACGATGATGGCTTTTGATCTGACTGACATTTGCTCCTAATATAAAATGTTGTCTCTAATAAATTAATAATCACTCTAATACTCTACTGTAGGGATGCTTCGACGTGGTTGCTGTAGTGTACAGCACCATATATAGTCGTTTTTGGAATGCTGTGTTTAACAGCAATCTAGCGTCGTTCTTTGAATTCATGGTATCTGACGCTGAGAGTCTGTCCATGAAAAGGAAGTCCATCTTCCCTCCAAATATCAAAAATCTTTCCACTGTGTTGGAAAGCAACATACATTCGTTTCCCATTGGGCGAAAAGGCCAGTCCAGTAGACTCGTCATTGAATGAATCTGTCTCCAAGACAGTAAAATACCATCCATTCTCATCACGAGCGTGGACTCCATTCTCTACGCCGCCTTCTTCACAAAAGTACAGCAGTCCGTCACCGACAATTCTCTTGACTTGATCGGGCATACCATCAAAGACTCCCGAGACTGTGGATTGCTTTTCAAACGTCTTGTTGTCCAGATGCAAAATATAAAGTTCCTTGCGTTCCTTGGTAGTGAAAAAGAGCTCATGCCTCCATACATCAATGCCTTCGGTATATGGATAATACAAGGCAGCATTGGTCTTGGCATAACCCTTGTCGGTAGTCCAACGGAAGGTTCCCTTGTTTCCACCTCTAGGTTCAATGACCAAATATTCAAGCGTTCCCGGTCCGTGTAGCAATTGCCATGGATCGTCCCAGTTTGGGTTGGAGGGACTAAACCTTCGAATGGGCCCTCGTTCCTTGTCTTCCGTCACAAAGAATCGAGGATGATTCCGATCCCGAATGTCATGGGCAAAGGCTTCAAAGTAGCCCCGGTCCATGTTCAATTCTTGAATCCCCCGACTGCCAAAGGGATCCACCTGCAAGGCACGACCATTTTCCGTTTCTTCGCAAGTGACTGCAATTGGAGTAAGACAAGAAGAAAAAAAGATTGGGGGAATATCATTTGTGGGTGAGAAAATTAATGAATTAATCAATCAATGGGAATCATACATTCAATATACTAGAAGTACGTACCCCATGTATTCCAAGGTGTCTTGCCACCACTGCAATTGGCAGTCATTCCAACATTCCGTGCCAACATTTTGTAATCGGTAGTTCGCCCATGGCGATCAAAGTAAATTCCACCCACGCCACCTTGACCTCGTGCCTGCACTTCACTATTACTGACATAAACCCAACCGCCAGTATCAGGATCTTCAAAGACGGCCGCTCCATCGGGTAGATCGTGAAAGGCGCGATCGGATTTTTCATGATTCCGGCCATCCAAGACGACGCGACTGCCCGTACGGGCCACCAACCGACTTTGGAGTCCTTCGCTCAGCAACAATCCATTTTGACGATGGGTCAATTTCCCTGGCACATAGGTGATTCGCTGTGCCGTGGGTGGCGGTGGAGTCGGAGGTGGTGTGGGCTCTCGAGTAGGGGGTGGGGTTGGATTGCGGGTTGGTTCTCGGGTAGGAGGTGGGGTTGGATTGGGGGTTGGTTTCTGCGTGGGTGCCAGAGTGGTTGGTACATGCGAAGGGACACTACTAGGACCATCCGAGGGCATACCGGAAGGTACCATGCTGGGCAGATCACTGGGTACCAAGGATGGTTGAGCCGTAGGTACAAGTGGTAACTGCTGCTGTTGTTGTAGATTGGAATTCAACTTTGAGGACAGAGATGTTGATTCATCATTTTGCTGTTGAGCGCCTGGCACATTGCAAATGGTTGCCACCAATATCACACAAATCACCGTCGAAACGAACCAGGTGGTTCCAAGCTTGGTTGGTAGCTCACAGGTCAACACAGTAGATCGAAATTGCTGAAAACAAGCCGAAAGACCTCCTTTTTTCAGCAAAGCTAATTTGAAATCATAAAATTCATCCCAAAAGCTGTCCTCTTTTTCTCCCACAATCGCATTTTGGGTGACAAACAACTTGGGCCAGGGGCCTTCATTCGAGCTAAAGCTTGTGGTGCTAGCATCGGCACCACCCGCTTTACTTCCATCTGAGCTATCTGACACAGACGAAGATTCATCTGTGTTTGCTGTTTTGGTTGTAACTTCTTTTTCTTTGTCCTGTCGAAACATTATTATGAATGTTGTGATAAGACTGTAGTGGTTGTTCTGTTTTGGTGTGCCGTGCCGTGCCTTTAGCAATCAAGCCTTTCGGAGTGGTTAGAGTATGGAGTACAGTAAGTATTGTATTCCTCGTATCGTCTACGAAATTATAAAGAGTGCACTTACATTCGTTGCATTTCCACTCTCATAATTTGCATCGAAAAGGCGAGTAAGTTGAGTCAGTCGTTTCAAAACATGAGGGTGAAATACATAGTCAGAAGATTCTGCCGGCAAAAACTACAAGATTCGATTGTGCGGACAGTGGATTCTATTAAGTAAACGGCTGGCCGTCTTTCCTTCAAATACTTTTTTGTTTAATGATGTCGATAAAATACTATCCGTTGGGTTTGAACTGCGCGAACATCTTGTATGTGAACAAGAAAAGAGGGTCACAAAAAGGCGCCAAAACGGATTGTCTGAATTTTCATCCAGTAAATAAGCGCATGCTTACTGTGCCGGTATTTCACTGGCGTACTTCCCTCACGTTTTCAACCATTGTGGTACACGTATGTCGTATCGTCCCAAACAGATCGCACGTGTACCGGTATACCCGGTACGATATAGGTAATGCGCTGATGATTTATTCATTCTTTCGATCAGTGAATTTTCGACGAACAAGGATGAACGCAATGGCACACTTTCCGTGAGCGAGATGTATTATAAATGCATCAAAATCACAGCTGTATTAAGATGATGGCTCCGAATGTTTGCAGCATGGCATATTCATTATTGTTTGGCCCTTCTTTCGCCGCTACCACTACCAAAAAAAAATTTAAAAGGGGACGACTGCTCTTGGTGTGGTCATCGTCATTAGTGTTATCCATCTACGTCGTCGTCATGGTTGATAATGGCAAGCACACATGGTGACCGAATCGGTGTTTGAAATGCTAGTTGATCGAAAAGGCAATGGCTATGGTGCGGTTTTGTTGCCTCGCTGTGATAGGGGAACCATTGAATGTGTTCTGACGGGTCAACTTCCTCTTCCTCGTTTGCTATAGTTTGCTGTCTGTCATAAAATAATGATTGCTGAATCCTTACAAATCAATCTTCATGTTCTTTTCAAACTTGATGACTTGGAGCAGGTATTAATACATGCACAGCATCACTCAGCAGGCGCCAAAAGATACCGTCTCCTTCAAACTACAAACAGTACTGAAGTTGCTCCAGCAGAACGATCCCACATGACCATAATGGGCGCTATAATTCTTTGGTCTTCCTTTCATTCAACGGGGAATACGTACCGAAAAAATGGCTCTGAATCATTTCGACGTGCATAGTGATCCCATGGATTCCGCAACCGCTCTATTTTTAGTTTACCATGTGATCAATGGAAAAATCTACAGTCCAAAGTGGTGCGAAAGTGCCAGATTGAATGAAGCTAAACTCTGATTGGAAGGTTTTTTATTCCTGTTCTCGTCCGGATACACTTAAGTTCGTTTCGAACAAATCAAGTCACCGGCTCACAGAATACTGTGGCCGTTCTTCCTTTTTCTCCAGCAGAGTGGCTGAAACTTTCCTGTTGTCGAGTTCATCTTGTCTGCACCAAATGCCCACAATATATATAAAAGCAAAGCGAATCACCATCATGGTAACCACATCCAAGACCCAAGCGCCCATCACCAGCAGCAACAAAAATAGCAATAACAATGATTGCAGTTTCATAGATGATGCTTCGCCTATTGCTACGACGCAGACCGCCGACTGCCAAAAGGGCAAGAATAAGCTTCTCGCTCAGTTCACCACCGCAAGACCAGGCAGTCCTCCTCGAATCATTCATGACCTCCTTCATGCAACTTTTTCTGACAATGCCTCCCCAGAATGCTATATTGACGAGGCTGTTGACATCACCAAGGCCGAAGAGACTAGGCGATCGAAAAGACAGTCATCTCTGCGACGAAAGGAGGGTTCTTCGATTTCGGAACGATCTGTCAAGGAACTATTGCACGACAACAGTGACCGTTTGTCATCATTGCTTATGCAATCAAGAAGCAGTAAAGTTACGTTATGCGACGGGTTTCTCAGCGGTGATGATGACAGTGACTTGGAGGATGAATGAAGGAATGAACGAGCTTTCATCGTTTAGCCGAATCGGGTTGCCACATTGAAGCAGCCATATCATGGTACCAGGCAGTGAGGAGGGAACCAAAACACACACCTCAGCGACATTCCACGAATGGTGTATTGGAAGAATAGTTGTAGAATAGAGCTAAATCTAAGGTGTGAAGATGATGTCAACGTTCTCGTTCCAAAGATAGGTTGCTGAGGCTGATTCGATTCCGAAGGCAATAATTTCCTAAATTACAATGTGTATGTGCATCTGGAATATTATAGGACTATCATCATTCCTTCTTTATTATTATAAATTTAACGACCTTACTAGTTAGAGATGGAAGTATTGGATCAGAGTCAAGAAGGCTAACTAGACGACTGGATCGTCACTTGACCCCTTATTCACCACCACCACCGCCACCGCCACCGCCACCGATTCGACTATTGGTGGTGTGATTGCCATTCATTGTTATATCATAACAATAGTCCTCATCCTCAGCGATGAGAGCAACTGCACAATTGATCGCATCCATGTTCGAAATGTTGCATCGAAGTGGCAATTGAAGGGGCGAAAGCGTATACACAGGATGTGATGCTGTAGTAAAGGAGCCATTCAACGGGTTGCGACAGTTCATATTTCTCGTTTGCTCTTGTTTGTCGTTTGGTATTGTGGGTTCAAAGTTTGTCAGCTGGAATTGTGTTCTTCCGTCGTTAAAAAAATTGTCATGCCATCTATGCCACTGGCCAACAATAATAACCCCGCTTATGACCGACGAGGCCTCTTCCTGTGGTCCTTCTTTCGGGTCTTTCGTATCATATATATGGCTCTGCAATCTGGTTTTCATTCGGGAATAAATGGAACGGTGCGCTCGTTTCGTGCTATTATTATAATTCCAAGGTGATATTTTTTGTAATGAAACGAGCTTCTTGTCGTGGGTGTTTGTCTTCGGCTTTCCAATTGTATGAAATTGGAACACTGGTCGGTAGACTGTTGAGCACAAAATGATTGAAAGTGCCTGATTGTATCGAACTAAACTGCATAGGTTTTAAGTTGTGTTCTTATCGGGATTAGCGTAACTTGCACGCCATGCCATTACTCGCCGCTGGACGTTTGATGCCTTTCTCTTCCTACGGACCAGATGTGTCTAAAATCTTCCGATCATCGGGGTACGGCAGCAAGCGTAATGGGCCGCTCCTCATCATTTTTAATTTAAATCGTGAGCGGACATGGGTCACTGCGATGGAATTTCGTGGTCATGCTCATCAATGCATAAAATTTGCTCCCGGGGGTATTAAAGTTCGAATGCGAATGCGATATGATGTGATTTAATTAACAACCTTGCCGTGTACACGAGAGGTATCTGAAAGGTGTTATTCCCGCAGGACCAATCGACCCACCTCGTCATTTAGATAGAAATCACCAGGGTCCTTGTTTTCTGTCACCTAAAGTACCAGGTACTGTCCCAAGTCGAATGCACTATTGCCTCTTGCAATGAAGGTAATACTTCTTGGCGAAGCTGTTTTCCTTAAAAGTTCCTCGTACAGTATGAAATGGGAATCATCGAGGGAATAATTAGACCTACTACTAATTAATGTCGAATAGCTAAGTTCGTTTGGGACAAATCAAGCCACCTGGTGCACAGAATACTGCTGCCTTTTTCCTGTAGCCTAGTTTCTCTCTACTGCAGCAAATGCCCACAATATAATAAATGCAAAAGCAAAGAATCAACATGACAACCACAAGCAAGACCAACGTGTTCTTTTCCTCGTTCCAAAATAATGACAACAACAGCAAGAACACCAATAGCAGCAACGACACTGACAGTATCACTGATGCGTCGAATGCAACAATGACACAAACTGCCGACTGCCGAAAGGAGGGCAAGAATAAGCTTCTCGTTCGGCTCACCAACACCACAAGACCAAAAAACAGTCCTCCTCGAGTCATCAATGATCTCCTTCGTGCACCCTTTTCTGATAATGCCTCCCCGGAATGCTACATTGACGAGGCAATTCACATCGCGAAGGCCAAAGAGACTAAGAGAGCGAAAAGACAGTCTCTGCGACGAAAGGGCTCTTCGATGACGGAACGATCTGTCAAAGAATTATTGCATGACAACAGTGACCGTTTGTCATCATTGCTTATGCAATCAAGAAGCAGAAAGGAAATGGCAGGCGACGGCTTCCTCAGCAGTGACGATGAGAGTGACCTGGAGGATGAATGAATGGACGAGCTGTCTTGTGCTGCCCGAAGCAAGCAGCCATTATATGGAACCATCATGCTTGAAGGGTGGCACCATACGATCTTCGCTCAACTCAAGAGGCATCATCATTCGAAGAATGGCGTTTGTATAGAATAGTTGTGTAATATAATAATAATTACAATAAACGGGAAGATTGTATGCATTATTTACTTCCTTGCACACCGGCGACTGTACCGGTATGGAGAAATAGCACGCAATATTTCGTACCGTGAGACCATGACTATCGAATACCGATACCTATCGGTACAGTATAAAGCCGGTTCGTTGTTGTGTCCGTTTCCGTTCGATTAGATGAGAATGTCCGGAAGACGCGTACGTGAAATCTTTACGGAATCAGAACAAGATATCTTTGGGAGGCGCTTGACACTCATTCCGTCGCCCACAGAGAAGTTTGAAAGAATTTGTGTCATTGGCAAGATCATAGATTGACTGATCGTCACAACAATGATGACGACGATGAACCCGACAGCGTCCACCTCACCAAACAATTCAGTACATTCTACCTACAGAACGCTACTGCAAACAGCGAATGGTGAAGCAATCCAGAAAGAAAGTTGCGTTCCGCAGGATGTGACCCACCTTCAGATTCACGCCAGCATGTCGCAGATTGAGACAAGACGCTTTCGCCGATATGAATCCTTACAGTGCGTATCCTTTCAATCTCCTGGCACTGACAGCAATGATGATGCATCCAATGAGGACGAGACGCCCAAGATGACGATTCCTGTAACGTTGGGAAGAGAGGTCTTTTGGGGGTGCCGATCACTGACGCACGTAAAGTTTCCATCGAACATGGCGCTCACCGAGATTCCAGGCCACGCCTTTTCTTATTGTTTTGCCTTGCATACATTTGAATTGCCTGGTTCTTCTCAGTCCTCACTCAAAGTTATAGGGGAGTGTGCCTTTTTGTTTTGTGAGGCCCTGACAGAACTAGTAATGCCTGATTCTATTGTGGAAATCAAGCGACAGGCATTCTTTGAGTGTCGCAAACTCCGATTGGTCACGATGCCGAATCGATTGGAGATGATTGGAAAGGAAGCCTTCGCGTATTGCTCCGAACTCCAACACATGACCTTGTCGTCATCCGTGCATTCTCTGGGCATCAATGTCTTTCACAATTGCCGCAGCATGCGGTTTTTGGACTTGGACGGGACCTACGGAACAAATGATCGACACAAGTTGGCTCTGGCCATTCAACTCTGTGTGCTGTATCCAAAGGAAACCCAACTGAAGATTTCCATGGATAAATTGGTCCACCAGTATGCTCGACACAAAATCAAGCCATCGGAGCTCTTGACTAGAACTCCAAGCGAGACCAAGAAGTTGAAGGAGATACAGCGGGCCTATATTGAGTCTATTCGAGAACTTGTCCTTTGGACAATTTGTGAAGCTGGCCTGATCCGCTGAAGTTTTTGCACACAATTTTTCCCTCCCATTTTTGAATATCAATGCATTTGTATTATAGTCATCGCTTCCTACCTATTGTACAACGTACTTATCTTCGTCGCCTATATCACTAGTACAGATGAAAGCAATTGTGTTAGTTTGTATTGACTTTTGATTTTTTAACTAGGACGATCAAGAGAAGAATGACGAGTCAAGTGCTTTGTGCACTTAAAAGGCTATGATATCATTTCATCAAACTACAGCATGGATTCTTCGATCGAATCTTGTCTCATCAGAGCCTTGGTGGCAAGAAAACGTCGCTTAACCCATTGCACCATTGCTTGGCTCGACTTGACAATGGCTGGTCGTACCTTTCTGAGTAGCTCTCGTCCAACATTTCCTGGATGTTTGGAATCATCCCTTCTTGCATTCTGAAGCTTGGCTGATTTCTCCATATTGGATTTTTTGGCGACCTTGTATTTCTGCAAAATGGGAGCTCCTACTGGTTCTCTTGGTTGTACCGGCGTCATGGATAGCACCACCCTTGGTGCCTCCTTCTTAGAAGTCAAAGGCAGCAATTTCTTCAAGCGATTGCCAATGACAGCCATTTGAAGCCCAATGAAGGATTTTGACTTCGTCAGAACCGATGAAGCACGCTTCGACGGATCCCTTTTGGAACGGCCGAGCTTGGATCCTTTCCACCGTGTGGACATGACATCCTTTTTTTGCTCCCGGAGAATCGCCGTGAACCTTGACAGCATCAATGAAAACCGTTTTCGCAGTCCCGGTTTCTCCCTTCTATGCTTCTTGAAAACAGTATTCTTTGCATTAATCAAGCGATTGGAAAGGCGGCCGTTTTTAGTGCTGATAGTAGAATTCAGTATTGCCGCAAGCGAAATAATCTTTGGAGGGACAGAAAAAGCTAGCCTTCCTAGAGATGGGGCCTGTTCGTTGTGGTTGGGTTTGGGGGATTGCTCTTCTCCCGAATCAAGATCGATACGGGCAATTTCCTCGCTCAATTCGTCCAGAACAGATTGATCTTCGGAAGAGTCGACAGTGGTATCTGTCAGACTTGCTTCGTCGTCGATCTCTGCCTTATCGGACTTTTGGATTGAAGAATCATCAGCAAACCTCACGCGCTTTTGCGAAACTCCCAAGGAGTTGGTATCTTGGTTCTTGATCGCTTTATCATTCTGATCTGCGTGGCTTTCAGTCGCCGATTCTATTTGGATGCGTCTCTCTGAATGGTCGTCGATTGCGTGGTCGATAGATTGGCCATCTCGACTCTCCGATTCCTCCGCTTGCTGTTCGTCTGTGATGATACTACTACCTGGATTTGGTAGTGAGTCCTTTGGAAGGGCGTTCTCTTGCACAACTATTTGGTCGATAATTTCTGGCTCCGATGATGGCTCCGATTCTTTGGAAAGGTCCCATTCAGATTCGTTTCCATCCTCAGAACTAGATTCCTCGGTGTCTGCCACGTCAATTATCTTAGTGTCTGGAATAGCTTCTTCGTAGATTTCTTCCAGAATGCGGTTGGTCAACGGCAACATCTGTTCATTTTTCGATCTCATGGACGTTGGTGATTGCGAAACCGACACTGGAACATGATCCATTGTTAGCTCGGTTGGTTCCTCTCTTTCGATTGGATAGTCTTGAGAATGTTCTGGCTCGTTGTCCAGGGTATTGGTGGTTTCGGTAGTAGCTGCCACTTTGTCCTTCATTTCCTCGTCTGGCTCTCGAGTCTCGGAATCGACTTTTTCGTTATTGGTTGCAAACATCTGTTCATTCTTCGATTCCATGGACGTTGCTGATTGCGAAACCGACACTGGCACATGATCCATTCTTAGCTCTGTTGGTTCCTCGCTTTCAATTCGATCATCTTGAGAGTGTTCTGGCTCGCTGTCCACGGTATTGACGGTTTCGGTAGTAGCTGCAACTTCGTCCTTCATTTCCTCGTCTGGCAATCGAGTCTCGGAATCGACTTTTTCGTTGTTGCTTGCAAATGTAGCATCCGACACTACTGGCTTTTCCATTTGAATACCGTCCACGATTGAATCTCTGAGCCGGTACATTGAATCCAATAGTTTGCTTCCATTATTGACAAGCAGAGTTGCGAGAGAATCATAAATCTTGTTTACCGAGTCCCACAGCATGGCTCGGACATTATCCAGCACCAATACAGCATTGTGAGAGTACTCTCCAATCATATTGACGGAATCCAACAGGAAATCCCTTCGACCTTGCATCACCACTGGAACCGTGGCTGAAAATTCTTCCCGAATCTTGTTGGACGTTTGCCAAAGTATTTCATTTGAACCTTTCAGTATCGCAGATGAATAATCTTGCATCTTGTTTGCAACTGCCAAAAAAGTTCCTTTTCCACCATCTAGCACATCCTCAAACCGAACAAAAACCTCTTGTCGGATTTCATGCATGGATGACATCAAGTTGGTGCCACTTTCCTCGAGTATCTCGGTATTATCCTTGTGCATTTGGTTTACAGTGATTGCCATTTGATTCAGTTGGCGATAGCTGCTGCTCGTACTACTACTAATACTGGTAGTCGGAATTATCATCATGTTCGTCACTGCCGTCGTCCATTTTGGAGGAACCATCACTGCACCAATGGCAAAGATATCGGAAATGGCAATCATGCAATATGCCAAGAACACTAGCAGCAGCAATCTTTTGTTTCGTCTTGTTCTAAGCGTGTCAGTGTCGTTGATGACTTGACGATGATGATTGTCATCATCATGATAGCTGGCATTCAGCATTGCAGTGGAAGGCGAGACCACTCTTGCCGTTGGTGTTCTTGGTTTTAAATCTTTCACTGGAAGAAACGACGACGGTGGCTGCCTTGGAGGCGGAGCAGGAAACTCTTGCACTGTTGGCTGCCATCGAACCTTTCGTTGCTGTTGTGTCCCTTGCGACCGCACCACGACTGGCACTACTTCTTCGACATGGGAGACCACGGCACTTTCATTCGGATTCATCACTTCCACACTACTGCTACTGGTGGTAATATCCGCGCCAGTACCATTGGCAGCTGGATTGTCTGCATCCTCTTCATTCGTACTAGTAGTAGGAGTTGGCGAATTGTTCTTGTCCTTCTCCAGTGTGTGCAACAAGGATCTTGGCCTCATGATATCGTCATCCCCTTTCCCATTTGTTGCGTCTTCGTCACTGGCACCCACAGCAGCACTTGCGTCTTCTTGATGAGTATGATGATCCAATTCTGCCTTTTCAGTGGATACATGCGGAGGCAAGTGGAAGTAATCCCCACTATCCTTGTGCAAAGGAGCCTCAATATTGTCACCAGTGGATGCAGCAAACGATGACTGGTTGCTTGTATCATTGGCAATGTCTGAAGCATTGTCATTCTCGCCCCGATACAATGATGGCTGCTGCTGTGGGGTTACCAATGCTTGGCGGAATGCGCTGCTATCGTGAGCAGGTAGAGAACCATCCAATTCATCCCCGCTGGTGGAAATGGCAAACGGCAAGGCAGCTGCAATCTCATCCTCTTCAGCATCTTCGCCCAAAAGCCCCAAAGGAGGATTCAACAGATAGGCAGGATCAGCGGCGACTGCTAAGGACTCAGCGGCATCTGGTTGAGACGTAGTAACAGTATCATTGTTTGGCCCGCCGTTGCGAACAAATTCTTCCTGATTGACATTTGCAGCATCTGAAGTTTCACCATCATCAGTATCAGTCAAATCGTTAACGGGTGCAGAAACTTTGGTTCGTTTTGTAGTTTCCTCCTTCTTTTTGCCAGTCTTTCGGCGATTGATTTCGATTTGATAAGAAGATGATGCTTCTTCCACTTCTCGTAGAGCTCGTTTCTTGGGAGTCAGTTTACTGACTGTTCTTTCCATGACAACCACCTCTTTTAAAGCGACTTGCTGCTCCTGTTGCTCTTCAGATGCTTCTGGCTTGTCCAAGCGTTCTCGTTTCCTGCTGGGTCGTTTGCGAGGAGATTTCTTTCTGATTTCTGACTTTTGTTTTGCGGCATTCTTATTGGAAGAAGAATCAAAGGAAGATGCCGATGATAGAGAAGCCTCATCGTCTGGCTTTTTCCTCTTTCTCTGCGCCAAGGTGGTGATTCGATTTCTAGTCCGAGGCATGTTCTTATATAGGTACTTCTTATTGTGCCATTGTCTGTGAATATTTCTTGTACAGTATCTGAATCAGAACCATCCATCACCCTCAGCGATAGCATTTTTGGCGAATTCTTTCGCAATCGCAAGTCCGCAACGACCACTTTGCGTAGAATGCTACGAGAATTGCCGCGTGGCAAACTTTCGAATAAGGCGCGAAAACATTGGAGGTGCGGTGAAATGGAGATACAGACAAAGTGATACTGTACTGTACTAAAAGAGAATGTACCGGTACTGTAGGTGCATGGATTATGGCTACCAACTGTACCAACCGCACTGCGATCTTGCAGAAAAATAGGATCAGTAGATGAGTCAATTTGGAATAGCTACACATTGTTCTTTGAAATAGCATGGTAGTATTCGTCGGGACATTTGGCTGGGATATTTGGCTGGATAAATTGCAAAATCATGCTGGTCAGCCAGCAGCCGCTACTATGAGGATGTACTCAGCGCTATCGATACAATAGTGCATTTAATACAAATAATGATAACTCTTCTAGAGTCGACTTGTGTGTGCACTTCTTGCAACATATAGAATATCATCAGAACAACATCGATTTCTCGAATACCCAAAACGGCGGTACTGTCATTACTTTTTGGGCATGTGATCCATGTTGGTAATGGGATTGGCCAAATCACCACTACCCTTGAAAATCTTTTCTCCGCCGTCTGTCTTCTTTAGAAGGGTTTCGGCAGTTTTATCTTTTTTAGCCCATTCGGGTGTTTCTGGAAGGAGTGGTTGGTGGTATCAGGTGGGGTTCGAGTGTAGGATGGAGGACGGCGGATTGAACAGTAAATAGCAAATGGTCGTTAGGCAAACAGTAGAATAATATTGCACGGTCAAAAATACTCAATACTCACTATCTTCAACCCATCTCGTTTCCTTTGTGGTAGCGTTGTAGAGATATTTCTTTCCCGTCTTTGGGTCAGAGTATTGTTCAAAGCCTTCGGGCACGTCTCGAATCTTCTTTTCCATTTTGTTTGATCAAATTAAAGGTGCTATGCACGATGATGGTGATGAGGATGATGGAATAAGATGTTGTTGATATTTCTAATAATAATTTTCCTCTGCGAGGTGCACCCCTGCGTACGACGGACGCACTAAGATACTCAGTGACCCATGAGCCATGAGTGACCCACAAAATGACCTTTCGAACCTTTTATTATGACAGATGACAGATCGAATGAATGCATCATGAGATAGCCGATACGCTACTGTGTATTGTGTACTCTTCCAGTATGCTAGCCAATATAACGCTACCTTTATATTCATTGCATATTCATTGCATATTCATTGCATATTCATTGCATATTCATTGCATATTCATTGCATATTCATTGCATATTCACTCCATCGCCATGTCATTCAAAATTGTGTTTCATTTTTGCTAGTAGCAGCGTCGTCGTAGTCTCGTATAATGATTTCAATGCGTTCCACCATTTCGGAAGCTGTTGGACGTTTGGCGCGATCACCATCCCATGCCTGCAAAATTAACTGTTTCATCGCAGGAGGGTAATCTTTCATGAAATTGACCCCCGGTCGAAGCCCCTTGATGATCTTGTTCTCCCGTTTGCGCGTCTTTTTACGGCCCCGAAACGGTTTACCCCGCGCCCGTAATTCCCACAAGACAAAGGCGGTTGCATAAACATCGATGCTTTCACCCAAAGGTCGTTTTCGCTTTTCTTCTGGCGAGCGCAAGACGCTGGTCCTTAGATACGGCCGGAATTTGCATTTCTTATTCGTTATCGGGGATATTCCAGTGTACTGCGCTTGATTCAAATCATTCAGTACCACCTTGCCATCTTCATTAATCAGAAATTGATCTGATTTGATATCATTATGAGTCAAGGGCCCCCCAGGTACCGTGTGTAATTGTGCTACACCTTTGGCAATGTCCAGCGCCATTGCCAACGCCTGGCGCGTACTTATCTCTTCGTCTCCTCCTCGAAGATGATCTTTGAGCGTCATCCCTGCTTTTTCCAAGACGATGGTTGTATCACACCAGCCCAACAGGTGTACAATGTTGGGGGCCTGGCGCAACTGAAATAGCACTGCCGCAGTCTGGGTGGTGTCTTGAAGAAGATTTTTCTCTGCCAGACGATCCTCTTTCACCACTGAAAAGGCCACTTTGCGTCCATGCCAATCCCCTTCGTACACCTCCCGCCACCACCCGGATCCAAGGAGTTTGCCTCTTTTCACCTCGTGCATATTGTTACAATTGACTTCCAATTCTTCGGGTTTGAATTGGCGTACAAATTCACTCAGATCACATCCATCGCGTCGGCGATACACTTCAGGATCTAAATGTGGATGGCTTTGGTTTCCGATCTTGATCTGAGTAGTAATCGCCTTTGTTGTGCTTTCCATGACTTGGGAAGTCTCAGTGCCCGAGAATGGAGTGATAAAGAATCCACTGCCAAAATACCCATTCAGTAAAAAGTACCCGTTCAATAACAAAGCTGTCATTAACGCAAATTTGACAACGGAATAAGCTGGTGTTGTTGCTGCTTGTCGTCGCCTTGGAAGCGGCAGCACCGTTTCGCTCGACTTGATATTGACGACAGGTGTGGCCGAGAGAGTCTCGGAAGGTGAATCCAGATCCACCGTTGTTATGGCAACACTCATAACAGTTGAGAGCAACAACTTCATTATTCCTGCGTGCTATGAGCTTCACCTCTCCGCCATGAGGAAAATACGTGAATATTGTACCATAGAGGACAATCAATAATGCACCAGGTGAAGCGGAGGGTTTCGCAAACCACCCTCTATTTAATCATGAATTTGTCGTACTTCATAATATATATAAATCCCAACCGAAGGCAATTATCGGAATTCAATCACGGACTATAAATGTGATTTCGGTAAATATAGGTCGAATTCTAAGCTCGATCAGGCCTCGATGGAAGCGCATTTTAGAACTTGGTTCTATAAAGGATCAAAAGGCCGGGATTGAGGTGCGGTTTTCACCGTCTCAGTACGGGGTATACGGGTACCTTACTACGGTATATAGAGCTTTTGTACTACAACAATAGGATAAGGTACGAGTAGCTATCCGTAAATGAATGTTTGTGTTAGCGATAGCCATAGTATGCCTATAAAATAGCACACTAGCGCTACCCACAATACTTCCAGTCACCACCATGATGAAACCAGACCGATAGTATTGTCACTAGCACAGCTCCGAAGACAGCCACCATATACACAATCATGATGTCTATGAGATTCAGTCATTCTTCAGACTCTGAGAACCATTCGATCGAGGACCATTGCTGAAGTTTGTTCGATTACTTTTATAGCAAAAGCAAGGTTCTCATGCATGGCATTCATAATCGTCCAGCCGCATATGAGTTGACGACTCATCGACCACAGTCTCATAAAACACTACACATACATGCATATGCCCATTTATACGCATTGCATATTTACTACAGTGTACAGTGTCATTCAAAATTGCGATCTAATCATGTATAATCTGGATCTGTAGAAGAAGCCAGGCATATATATGTAGGACTAGGTAGTGAGATGAGTGCTTGGTCAGTAATATAAGTCAGTAAGTCCTATCTTACTTGCACGCACTTCCACATTCTCATGCCGACTTGATTTCAACATCAGATGAATCGGATCGTTCCCCTCCCAAGTCTTGCGTATTTTCCGAGCTTATTCCCTCCGCCGCTGCCGCCACCGTCGTGGTAGTAGGCAGTTCTACGGCAGGTTCTGGAGGAGCCAAGAGTTTCATTTTCGAGCCTTCAATGACTTCGTCCCAGTTTGGTACCATGGCAATGGTTCCCATGGCAATAAGCTGCAAGGCGCAAAGTGAACCTAGTCCGTATTGTTCCTTGTATCCCTTTTCGACAATGGTGGAGTAAATCAGTGATGGTAGCCATGTCAGAATGACGGTGCAGTAGACAAAGAACCCAGCAAATTCGGTTTCTTGGGATTCGGGCATGCAAAGCGTGTAGAACAACTGTTCTCCGGAATACATCCATCCCAACGAGAAACCCCAGAGCACGCCCCAAACATATCCTAGCCATGGTGGGTTCTCAGCCGTGAGGACAAAGGGAGCAACCATGGTGATGGAGAATGTAAAGACAAAGTTAACCCGGAGCGAGATCTTGGGGTTGTGTCGGCGACAAAAGTAGGCATTCACAATGGCTCCTGGAATTGCCATGAGAACCGCTACAAAAAAGGTCAGTCCGACATCGATCGAGTTGTACCGTAGGACTCGCGAATAAAAGGACACGACCACTGGTAACAAGGAGGTTCCTCCCGCTTCCGAAATCATCACGGTCAAGAAGAACCACTTCAAAGTTCGGTTGGGACTTTTCAGCAATAGTTGGACAGTCTTGAAATTATGTCGAAAGCCTTGCAACAACAATGACTTTCCTTCTGGTAGCTTGTGAGGACCTTGCACCTTGGGCAGTCGTCTCCAAGCGGTCGTATAGCAAATTAGCAGTATGATAGAGCTTATGGACTGTCCAAGGTGAGCAGATTCAATGCTGTTGAACTTGAGGACAAAGCTGACCACCAAGACGGCCAATAAGGATGTCACTTGACCGCAATACTGAAGGCAAAAGAAAATACGATTGAAGCGGGTCATGGTATCGTGGCTCACTTCGTACCGGGCAATGTCCGGAAGATAGCTGACCATGAGACAATAGTGGATTTCAAAGAGGGCCACCACAATGGCTTGCAAAATAATCATGGGGAACCAAGTATTCTCCAGTGTGAAAATCTGAATGGTCTGTATCAACCATATCAAAAAGCCCACAATTCGACCCACCAATCGGCGATGACTGGTGTAATCAATTATGGCACCAATCACAGGTAACGCAAAGGCACATAACAATCCAGCAAAGACGGCTACATTGGTCACCAAGGTGGTAGGATAGAATCCGTGCACACGAATGTCGCAAGGAGTGAGTCTTCCGTTCTCGTCGATGCAGCCAACTTCTTTGGAAGCCAGATAGATGAAGGAAGTTGATAAGAAGACGTTTGATATGGCAATGGAACCGTTTCCTAAACCCGCCTATGATACCGGTGAAGAGAAAGGTGGGTTAGACTATGCCAAACCAGCGTCAGATTCTCCAATTCCCACCATAACTTACGAATGCATATCCCTGTGCTTTTCGAACTCCGTCAAACCGATGCCAAGAACAACATTCCTTCTGACTCGTTGTTTCTTGCACTTCCACAGCTGTTTCGGAGCTTGCTGTTTGCGACTTGCTCACTGTTTCGGAATCATTCATTGTCAATGCTATTGTTATTGAGTAATAAGTATTATGTATACTCCAACAAAGAAGTGGTGACTTATGACTTTGGACTTCGCCGTTGTTGTTGAGGAGAATTGAAGAGCGTGGCGCTCATCTCTCGGTTGAACGTATCGAAATACTTAGGCAAGGGCCTTTGCGACAAATGTAGCAGTAGATGGAAAATTGCAGTCGCTAAATGGTAGTTTCGCATTTTCACTTGAGCACGTGAGGTCGTTTATTGCTCACAGAACAAAGAAAAAGAATCTAACAATCTGATTCATCCGGATGACCATTGGGATGACTGGAGGTACACTTTGTTTAGAGATGACACTATTAGTGATTCCCTATGATCCTATCCTTATTAAGTAAGTGCATTTATTACCGGCGAAGAAGCGGGACCATTATTCTTTCCCAAGTCTACTACTTTGGTAGTGGTATGCTATCCAATACAGTCTCACAGCGCAGTAAGAAAAAGGAAAACAACAACACGAAAGGATTGTCAAGTGCTGAAAGAAGATTTTCTATGTAGGCATACCAGAAAGGAAATAAAGAACAAGAAGCTTCTTGCTGTCAAACAACACATTCTTCACATTCCTTCCAGGTACCTGGCGGTCTACTGCTGCCATCTGCCATATGGTCCTGAGTTGTCAATGCTGAGAACAGCAATACTTTCAACTTGTACCGTACCGGTAGCAGCATCGGAGGATCAGAATGATTCCAGTATGTAGCGGAATTCAAGAGGGTTGATTCATTCTACCGGTACGAGTGCTGGACCAAAGCGAGATGTTCTTCCAATCCGCGACCTTGGATCATGTCGCGCAAATACGACGTTCATTCGGGGAATCGTTTGAGTTTTGTAAACTCGTTGAAAGTCATTGAAACACGTCTCATGCAGCGAGAATACTTATTGACAATAATGGCGGATCGAGAGTCAATGGAAACTTACTCTATGTTTTCAAGAGTTTAAAGTTTTGGGACTTTCTTTCCTACATTATTTTCATGAAGACAATTTCCCAGCAACTGCTACCCAAGGTAATGGCAAGTTCTGATTACATGGAAGCTCATTACATGGGAGCAGCTCTTGCATATTTTGCAGAACAACGCACATTGGAGATCGCTAGAAAAGGTTTCTCCCAAATCACTCTTCCGAAGCAACGCAAAACCAACAAGAAGCAAACATCAACTCTATTTTGCCGAGACGGGGAAGACAAGGATTACGCTGCTGCGGTCTTGTTGATTGCGAAGACGCTCAAGGACGCACAAACTAGAAGACACGCACTCGAAGTCAAAATTCATCACGATTCCAGGATGGCAGAAGAGCGACTGGTTCGACGAAATGAGAAAGGCGCTTGCCTATCCATGAAAAAAGTCATGACTGCACAATTCGAATATATTCACATTCTGCAACGAATCGCAGCCATCGCAGCGCTTCAATACAGCCTGGAAAACGGTTTGATCAAAGCCAGTCTCGTGGAGGATATCCTCATTGAAGTTACGTCTACAACGGAACCGGGTGACACGCCAACCGAATTCAATAACGATGAAGCATTGGATCAATTGGAATGTGGAGACTTTTTTCCCATCCTAGATACCGAGACTGGGACCATTACCTTTACAAACTCCTACAATTATGCATCCAATTTGGAAGTGGTTGATTCTAGACCTGAGCAGCAGCAATCGCACCAATCGCCCAAATCCGTTAGTGGATTCATATGATGTTTAGTCACTCACGCTACCTTTTATAAGCTTGTGATTTTAGCACTGTTCTTATCCCCCATCTAGATCTGTCCTGTAGCAAATCAAGCTTTCAAAAAAAGTAGTTGTCCTTCATACCCGCCCACATCTCTTACAAATATCTCGTTTCCAGTATACTTTTTGTAATCAGGCCATTCATTCCTTCATCGTCGTCCTTGTGCCATTTGCAGCTGCTCTTCTTTCGCGGTTTGCTTTCGCTTTTGCTGTTCTTCTAAGATTTTCTTTTCGTCTTCTGCTTTTGCCGCTTGTATTTGCTCCCACTTGGAACCATCCAACCATGCATTCAATTCGGCATCTTCCAAGTCTCGTCCATTGGTTCCAAATTCCCCAACCACTGCTTCAAAGGTCGCCAAGAACTCTTCTCCAGACTTGTATTTCCGTCCCTTTGGATAACACCGCACTTGAACATCGCGTCCCGTGACCGTCATGTCAATGTCTTCTCGGGCATGCCACAAACGATGGGTTCCATGAAGTGCCATCATGTGGATGGGCCGTTTGGACATGCGCGCCAGTGTAAAGGCGCCCGAAAAACAGGGCAACAGTCCCTCTTCCGGATGAGGATTCAATTGACCTTCGGGCAAGATTCCAATATCAAAGCCTTCGTCAAAGGCTTGCTTGGCCGATTTGAGGAGTGCTTTGAAAGATTTCATGTCATAATCGTTGGCTTCTCCCGCCTTATTGGCAGACATTTGGACGGGAATGAATCCAGATTGTTGGAACAATAGTTTGGTGATTGGATTGTCTTCGAGTTGCTTCCACTATAACAATTAGAATGGGTGAAACAAAAATAATGACAGGTGAGAATGATGATTCAATCATTGATTGATTCATGAATGCATAGTACATTCATTGGCTCCATATATACCGGTAGTACTTACGTATACAATTTTCATGGGACGCTTATTCTTTCCTCTTAGCTTCAGATCTGTTGCCAACAGCATGAAAATATCCAATGAACTAACATGATTGCACACCCAGATGGAGGGTTCGGGATTCTCATCATGATATGGGATGGTTTTCACAGACGCAAATGGAATGAGCCTCATTAGCCATCTGGCACAGAACTGACCGGCATGCAGTGCCATTTGTTCCTTTTGGATGCGATTGATCAATCTTAACTTGAGCAAGGCAAAGGGTGGAAAGAGTGCAAGGGGCAAAGCGAGGCACATGGAAGCGATGAATGACATCATGCCAAACTTGGTCAAGGCCGCCTTGAATCTTCCCATGGGTGATGACGTTATGGAGGACGGCAAAGAAAATACCGTAGAATCAGTTGATGTGACGGAAGAAAACAGAGCTCTGTTCACGACCCTTGTAGCCACTTCATTGTCTGTGAATGGATTTGGGTTCTGTGTTCTAATATGTTGTCTCCTTGACACCAGCTGTTGTTGTTGCGCTGCTGGATTGTAAAGATGTTGTGAGCTTTGCGTAAACGCTTCAATGGTAGCTGTACACCAAACGCAGACCAGGAGTGCTCTTATATCCAACTTCATCTTGTATTGTGGCAATTTAGAGGATGTCTTTCAGTGGTATATCAAAGCATATGTTTTCTGCTTCAACAGAACGAATCTCTCTGTCCATTTTGCGAGTCACAAAATCTGGATTTTGATTGGCCCTCTGACTCACCACAGTTGAAGCATGCATACGCAAGATGAATGATGTCAGTTGCGGCGGGTATGCTCAATGTCTCGAAATCGCCGAATTTGAAATTGCTCCGCAACCAACATACCGGTACCCGCCAGTTGTAGCGGTGCATGGCAAGTGGCAAGGCAACTGAAACCCGCAATGCATGGCGAAACTCTTCCACCCGCATCGCATAGTGTAGAAAGCTACTCAAATTGAGTACCAGGTACGTGTACCGGTACCAGTATGATACTTTTCATGTGCGGATCCAAAATCGCTAGTGTTCGGTCTGCAATAAGTATGTTTAACGGCAAACGTTTGCTTTGTGCATGAGAATGTCTTATCTCTACTTCCGGTATACGGGTAGAGCAAAATGCAACACAAAGACCCAAGTCGTGCTTTTACCTTACCCTACCTACACAATAGACGCACAAAAAGGAGACATTGCGGAAACAACTCGTAATGTATTTCAACAATGGAGGAAACAGCAGCTCGGGATGCAGTGATTACAGACCTCCTCAAGTTACTGTAGCGCAGACTTATCCTCCAAGCTCGAATTCGAATTCTAATTCTAATTCTAATTATTCCCAGCAACAATCACAACAACAACAACAACAATCTCAGTTTCAGAACAGTCAACAATCGCAATGGCCTTCTTCACAGCAGCAGCAGCAAGGTCAGATTCAGATTCAGAACCAGAACCAGAACCAGAATCACTTCAGTGATCCGAATGATCCGTTTGCCAGTCTGGTTTCAGCACCTCAGCAGAACACAATGTTGATGATGCATTCAAATAATTCAGGCGTTCAACAATCGTCTCCAGCCTTGCAACAGCAACAAATGCAGCAGCAATTTCAGCCAATGTCTCAACCAGCAATGACGGGAATGAACAATATGGATCCATTTGCGACTTCAAACAGCAGCAGCAGCAACAGCAACGGCAACAACAATATGAATGCAATGACAGCAAATGCAAATGCAAATGCAAATCCAGATCCTTTTGCTCCATCGACAATGAATACAATGAATCATCCTTCTTCCGCAGCAGCGTCACCCTTTGATCCAATGGGAGTGCCATCCACAACGTCATCTTCCTATGTACCGTCATCATCGTCGTCGTCGTCGTCACTGCAACAGCAAAACTTTGGTCAGCCGACCGCACCAGCACCGTCAGCTGCCATGCCTCCTCCAGCGCCTGGACAAACTACGCCAGTCATTAATGGCATGTTTTTGGGCCTCGATGCTCCCAAACCCGGTGCTGCTCAAGGTGAACAAGAAGACGAAGAAGACAAGGAATTGAAGCAAGCGCAAGAAGCAGCCATGTATGCGCAAGACTTGATCCGCAAACAACAACAAGAAAAGGAAAAGAACAAGTTTTCGTTGGGCAATCTTGCTGGAAAGGCCCAAAACTTTTTGCAACCACAAAACAATAAGGGACCATCGACTCCGTCCTACAACAAAAGCAACAACAACAGCAATAAGCAAAACTCTTCCTCGTATTCCAACAGCAAACCTATTGGCGGAGGCTTTCATCACAACACTGCCGACATTTCAGTGGACGATGTTGACTTTACAGGTGACGACGATGACGATGACGAACGCCGTCCACCTTGGTTTGCTGCCAAGAATACAAAACAACAGGAAGCATCCAAACAACAAGCAAAGACTCCTGACAATTCCAACAGCAAGACGGGGGCCGCAGCCTCCATCGGAGGTGCGGCAGCACTGGGCGGTGTTGCCGGTTTGAGTAAGTACTACCACCACACAGTTTTGAATGCAGTGATTGTTTGAATGAGAGATGCTAATAAATCCTTTCTTGGTTTTGCAGTCGCATTGGGTCCAGTCGTTGGAGTTGCCGCAGCCGGTGCCATGGCGGTACAGGCGGCTCGTGGTGGAGAGGATGGTATTCTTAGAAGTGCAGGAAGAGCAGTGGCAACCGTGGGAGGAGCAGCAAAACGATTCGAAGACAAGCATGGAATGGGAAAGAAAGCTGCTTCGGGGCTCGCCAAAGGTGTGGGATGGGCAGTTTCAGCAGCAGCAGGTGCGAGTAAGAAATAGGAGATATTGTGTAGTGATGGATTCTAGTTTCATTGATGACATCACATATAAAGGTATGATATTATTCAAACGGCAGAATTGGAAGCATATATGGACAGTACAATAATAGAGCAAGCATATGCTTTCATATCTTGAAACATTAGCCTACGCAACATACTATTCTACTAGGTAGATTCTCTAGGACGAGGACATACCATTAGTGATCTACCTCAGTGGTAGTAGGAGCTACTGCGTCCCTTCCTATTTCACCACTTTACTGTTGAATGATATGTGCATTATGTATACCGGTACGGTACATCCATTGCCACTCATCATTGTGGTTCTGAAGAATGAGTATCTGCACCGTCATTGGAAACTTTGGAAAATGTCACTTCGCTTGTTCCATCTTGTTGATCATGCTGGCGTAGGTTTCGTCTGACACACGTATGCACAATTTGAAGTCTCCTTTTTTAAAACAGAACTCTATATAATAGAAGGCAGTCTTTTTCACAACGTGCGTATGCATTCTTTTGGTGTTCCACCAACAAGGCAAAACTAAAAAATTCAAGATGGTATGAACAGATGTTTACTTCTTGGAAAGCAATTGCTCATAATGTTTGAATTGCTATTGAATTGCCTTGAAGCATTTCCACAACGACAACATGCAACAGTTGCACACCAATAATACTGTAGCGTCAGACAGATGGTGAATGACGATCGAACTTGAACTTTCTATGTACACCACGCGTAGTCTGATATTGCAAGATGGCCAAGCCAGGCGGAACTTCAAGTCCGACGACGTTCGTCATTCGTGTTGAAATTGTACTAAGGTCTACAGGTACGCACGATTGCGAGGAACAAACGCCCGGCATATGTCAGCTGTGTTATTTGCAACGTGGTCGGAAATCAGGGTTGAAGTCTAGTCCGATGTTCTGCTCTGCGATGTTCGTCGTGCTTGCAGTTCCCGAAACGAACCAAGTCAATTGTATACTGGTAGTATGAAGGATGTGTGAAGAATGGTGCTAGAATTTTTTTAATACATATCCTTCTTGGCTTTTAAGCACGAGACTGTTAGTTTCTTAACTTTTGTTGTCCTGGTATGTAGTATATAATAGTAGATACAGAATTTGTTTAGGAAGAAGTCCTTGGGGGTGCAGCTAGGCTTCCCAGTAAGGCAGCTGCGAAGAATAGAGACGATGCCTTTTGAGCTTCTTGCTTTTCAAGAGCTTGGAATAGAATGGCATTTTCTAGCGCACGCTGCTGATGATGCTGCTGCTGTTGGTGCTGCTGTTGCTGCTGTAACTGGAAGCCAGCTGTTGCAATGGCTAGTGGTGTAGTCATGCTGGAAGTGTTTGCCATTCCAATCCCCGTAGACTTGTTAGCTAGGGCAGCTACGGTTGGGGCGGCGTGTGGTGCTCGACTTGAAGCGCCTGTGCCGTTTGCAGCTTGAAGCGCATTCAGTATGTGCAGTGGATTATGATGAAGACCTGCAATGAAGGGTTGCAGTGGCCCTCCTTGATGTTGTGGCAAAGAACCCGATAGCATCATGAGTGATCCTGGTGGTGAGGAAGGAAGGGTTGGCGATGCTGTTCCTGATGTCGACGATGAAGATGTGCTCGTGCTGACATCAGTAGAGACAGTATTCGGCATTTCGGATGATCTTGTTGGAAGCTTGCGTCTGTTAGCCTTGCCCTCGAGAGCAGCTGGCATTTGTTGTTCTTCTTGGTCTGGGCGTTCCTTTGTTTGTTTGCTTGATTTCTTCTCGCTCTTGACCTTTTGTCTTGCCATTTCTTGACAGAGGTCCCGTCTTCCACGAAGAAATAGAGGGTGATAGTATGATCCCTTCTCTGCGGATTCTCGGATAACGCGTTCAAAGCCCCACAAGTTGAGCTGTCTTTGAAAGGACTTGTACTTGGTTTGATTGAAGCATTTCTTCATGATTTGATCAACAAACTGGATAGGATCATGCACACGAAAGGCTGTCCCACCTGGAAGCCAGGAAACGACGGAAGTTTCTCCTCGTTGCTCCACAACGTCCAGCATCTCGTGAAGCTTCCAAGGAAACTGCTTTGTAATAACATAAGGCGTCCCTGCCATTATTGCTTGCTTGCGGGCAGCATTGAGACTTGACTCAAAAGCATCAGGTGTGTTCTTGCTCATTGGGATGTATTTTTTCTTTGGTTGTGAATGATGACTGACAAAACGCAGTGAAGATGATATATGGCAAAATACGAAGCGATGGAAAGATGGCAAAACGCTTTCGATTTGTATTTTGGCATCGGAAGTCGCAGCGCACATCCTTCGCTTTTTCCGGTTTTGATTTGTTTGCTAAATAGTGATGCAATGATGCACGAAAAAACGGCTGAGATTATTTAGGACCATATATTTTGGTTAAGTCTATAAACTCTTACATACTTCCCCTGCAAGCTTGAAAATCATGCGTCATAGAATTTGAAGGCAACACGTAATTCTGACACCCCAAGTTGATCTAATGCCATCTTGTCCAAGGGTGAGATAATCCGAACAGTAAGGGTTTGCGAACGCTGTGACATGGAAACGACGAATTCAGAATGGCAGACGCCTCAAAATGCTTCAAAAAGAAATGGAGAGGTGGAGGAAATCACGACTCAGATAGGATCTTGTTGCCAGACTCACTCCAACCTTCGATAGTATTCTCAAGTCTGCCGAAAAGGAGAAACTGAACTCGCACGACCAAGACTGCATGGAAGTAGGTATCTGTAACGACAATACTACCAGCAGCAGGTACTTGGAATCATTGGCAACAACGAGCAGCCACACCCCTACGCGTGCATCGCCCAATAAGATACAACCGTTTGGAACGTGACAACAAGCTCACAAAATCTTTGGATAGAGATTAGTAAGAAGACCGCCAAGAACTCTCTCGCCACATTCACCTAATTTCCTTTTAAATATATCATCCGAAGCATTATTATGAAAGTTCTTTTGGTTTGTGTTGGCAGCCGTGGTGATGCCGAACCCTTTGTGGCCATTGCCGATCGATTGTTGCAAGATTCGCATCAGGTTGAGTTTGTCATTCAGCCCGAATTGAAAGAGTTATTGGTGCCATCCTCCTCTCATTCCGCGAACAACAATCTGAGGGTTCACGAATGGCCGTTTACACAATATGATTTTTATAAATACGCTGCCAATCCATCCAAAGGAGCAAATTTAGAAGGTCGATTGAGATTTGTGGCCATTGTGGCAGATTGTATTGGAGAATTGGTCTTGCCAAGTTGGAAGATGGTCTTGGACGCAGCCAAGGACTGTAATATCATTATTACATCGGCATTGGCACGGCCCTTGGCATTTGCTCTATCGGCCAAACTAAAGATCCCTTCCGTTCTCATCCATTTGCAACCTCTCGTGCCGACCAAACTCTTTCCTCACAGCAGCAACCAAGACGATTTCATTGAGACTTTGCAGACCTTGGAAATATCGGACGACGCGATTACTGCCGAGTCTGGATTAGAAGAGAATCTCGAGACGTATTGGACGTTGGAACAGCACCAACATGACTTTTTGGAAGACCGGCTGGATAAGATGTACAAGGAGATGGAGATTGAACCCAAAATGACATTTACAGCTCTTCGAACGATCTTGTCAGGAAACGATCCTTCTGTTTTCATTGGCAATTCCTTTTTTGATGAGATCATTCCAAGAGTTGTGGATGCAGGTCCCAACGTTCGTCACATTTCTTCTCTGGCAGATCACTACATTCCCCAAGGCTTTGAACCTCCTCAAAATGTCGTTGATTTTCTGAACCAGTCGACCGACAAGCCCATTTGTGTTGGATTTGGTAGCATGCCTTACTCTCAAGTAACACTCATCCTGAAGGCACTCAAGAGACTTGATGGTGGACAACATCGAGCCATTTTGATTGGAAAGGCCTTGGAGTTGCCCAAACCAGAGGACAAGAATGAAGATGATGATCATGATCATGATGACGATGGACTTTCAGCTTGGGTCCAAACCAATGTTTTGCAAGCCTACAGTCTACCATATGCTTGGTTATTGCCTCAATGCCAAATGATGCTCAGTCATGGTGGAGCTGGTGTCACTCATGCCACCCTCCGCGCTGGGATTCCTCCAGTGATTAGTCCTTTAATGGGTGATCAATTCTTTTTTGCCGAATTGCTACAATCCCGAGGATTGGGCGCTCGGGCTGGTCAATCGTTGTCAACGGCTACAGAAGATGACTTTGTGCAAGCCATGGAAAAAGCCATGGGTTGTGTCGACAGTGCCAAGCAATTTGGAGAAGAAGTCCGAAACCAACCCTTGGGAGTGGACAATTTGATGAATCTACTTTTGGATGCGGTGAAATTGTAAAATTGCAGTTTAGTATTGTTGGTGCATTCGAAATGAATACATCCATCCATCCATCCATCAATCATCGCAATCAATCCTCGAGAAAAAAAACTGGAGGATGTTATTTTATATGTATTATAATGAAGTAGGACTAAGCAATAACAGTGAATGTACAAAGATAAGCCAAGGAAAACCAATTGTGACTCCTTGACCCGTTGGAAGTAATTATTATTGGTATCATAGGACAGGACTTTCAAGGAACAATAACATGGGAGTATCTGCTGAAGTACTTGCTTCGTAGTCTCCTCCGATCCATTTGGCGGCGAGGTCGCCGTATATACACGGTAATATCATGTAGCCCTATACTCATGCCTACAGTATCTCTTCAAGTTTCATGATGGATCACTTGTGCCGCCGCTACATCGCAAAAGGTACAGTACTATACCCACAGCGGCATTCGGCCATGACATCCTGCCATAATATCATACTGCACAATTATATCATACTGCTCATTTGGAGTTCCATTCCTTTATAAAACGAATTTGATCGGGAGTTTCAGGTGAAAACGAACTTTCCAGGCTTCTTCCAGACGTCTGAAACAATCGATTCAGTTCTTGCAGTGCTTCGTCCCCATTATCATAATTCCCATATTGCTTCAAAAAGCAACCGACCGTGGTTCCAGTTCGACCAATGCCGCCTCGACAATGGACGTAAATGGTTTGGTTCCGTTCGTTCATGGCTTGATTCATGTCTTCTAAAAGTTCCTTCATGAGATTGGGATTGGAAGGAATCCCAAAATCGGGAATGGAATATCGATGGTATTCCACTGGTCGGCTAGAATTATGTTGCCGATTCCTCAAGGCTGCCTCCTCCTTGAGAATGGATTCGTACTCGGGTTTTTCGCCCGGAAAGGTCAAATCAAAAAAGCAAGTCACGCCAAGATCCAAATAGGCTCGCAATTTTTGTTGGGACGCCTCTGGAGTAGCAGCTCCTGGATATTCCCCAGCAAGAAAGGCATTGGGAATCACCCAATAGGTATTGCCGTTGGGTCTTGGTGGTTGGATCAATGGGCCGACGAGTTTCTGTTTGTTCTGTAATATATTATTCTTATCATCAGTATGATTGGAATCACCACCACCACCACCACCATAGTCATGATTGGTATCACGATGATGAAACAATGATATAGCAAGGTCACGATGGTGGATTCTACTAGCCACTTGTGCCAAGGATAACAATGATATGGACACCAATGACCTGTGATACTGTGTTATTTTTCGAGATGAGATGAACGTACTAGCAGGAGGATGCCTCCAGGCTGCTGCCAGGGAAGAAGTAGGACCGCCTTGACGATGACTCGCTAGTGAGAGCGTGACAGAAAAGAACCACCTCAGAGAGCGAGACATCATTCTAGAGTGTTTTGAGAAAATTGATGATGATGATGGTGACTGCATGTGAGTATTATTATACTGGCAATAAAAGGCATGTTCAGTGTGATGAGAACCCCATAATGACCCAAACGCCCCCCTCCCCCAATACGGAAAAAATCATACGGTACAGAAAAGAAAAAGAGGAAAGAGAAAAATAAGGGAGGGAAAATCTAATCGTTTACGCAATTCGTATATGATATTATTGTATTGTATATTGTATTCTTCCAATATATTCCCCCGTTACACAAGGTCTGTTGATGAATACTAGTCATGACCAGACCAATGCCATGCGCGGTTCAGTCATGATACACTTCAATTGTCGTTTAAGAAGGAAGACAAACAATTTGAAATGAAGCAAAATATAGATGACGACTGTGATAAGAACAGGAGTAGACTCCTATAGCGTTAAGCAAAACTCAGATAGTGGAATAATGGAGGATGTAACATCAGATGGACCGGAGGAGTCCGGAGTGGACGTTGTGGTTCGCCCTCCCGCAGATGGCCTTTTAGTCGGTAGAGGTTTACTCACACGCCATTTCGGAAACAAATCTCTCTATTTCTTGGCGGTTGCATCAGTGAGTGTTATCACTGTGGTGGTATTGCTGCAGAGCAATGGGGTGGTATTGCTGCAGAGCAATCGGGACGTGGATTGTACGATGAGGAGTGGCCATTACGATGTTTCTACTTGCGATCAGCACGCTCATGATATAAATGGCATGCTGAAGGAAGAGGAGGTTTTAGTCAAAACTATACTATCCGAAGGTGGTTCTACAGCCGGTGTTTTTGCTGTAGAAAAAACACTTGGTGAGATCGGTTTTAAAAGTCCAGACGTCACAGCGAGCACGAGTGTAACATGCGTGGATGGTGAGTATTCTTTCTCACTTTCAGGAAACGGTTTATTTGCGAGCGAAGTTCTTGAGGACAAACTTCCCAACAACTGTCACATTACAGGATTAGGTTACTATGCGGATGCGCCGTGTGACGATAATCCAGGCGTAGGGTTGTGCGACAGCGGCATATGGCCAGTCGACGCTTCGACGTGCCAAGCTTTGGAGGAGGCACAAGACGTTCTCAATACAGTCGGGGTCGACGGAGATAGTTACGCAGCGGCTATTACTACCTATTGTGGGCAAAAGGGCCAGAGAAACTTGATACAAACTTGTGGCGATGGTTATAAGGCGGGTTGTTTTGGGGCAGCGTCGAACTTTGTAAATGTTAGAAATAGAAAATAGGAACAACTGTCGTCAAAATTTTCATTCAGATGAGTAATTAGCTCTGCACTGTCCATGTGACCAATCAGGTCTACATGCACTTCACTGATAATAATGAATTCTTTTTGGGCCACTTATTTCTGTTTTGGAAAACGAAATACGCATGATCAAGCATGAATCAGACCAATCAGAATCCACCAAGATGCCACTTTTTTCTGTTTTGGATGCTTGTCTCCTTCACCTTCCTACTGGGTACTTCACCTCTTCCTGACAAAGAGATTGTGACCTATACCATACTACTAAGCACCACACAATAATTATTTAACCATTGACTACTGGTAATCTTCATTAATCTACAAATCTTTCATTTGGTCTAAAGCACAACCGGTAAGCCATATTGTGTCACAAACTTCTATCCCGTGTAGGAGGATTCGGAAGCGCCCTTTCATTATTCCAAAGGTAAACTCTAAATCTTTCCTCATACTCTTCAACCACTTGCTAAATCGCATCTCCAAGTAGGTTGTCCACACCTTCAGCTTCATAGGAGCGAGGCACTAAAACAGACCAATGAAGATATCCGTTGTCGACCATTGTCCAAGCCCCTGAGTGTTCTTCCACCTCCCTCCTTTCAATTCCATCATCATCTAATTCAAGAAGAGTGATAATGAGGTCCCCATACAGTTCACCCTTTCTGAGTTGATTGGCAAGTTCGTCAAAGCGGATCAAGGTATTGTCCGACCATCCACCAGGATGACCTTTAGTAGTTGAGAGAATGCGCTGCCGGCGGTAGAATGTTGTGTTATATATGTCCCTGTGGGCATTGGAAGCTTGAAGGAATCATGGTGATTCCTAAAAACATCTGAGCATGCCTCTGACTCTTCAATTTCCCTGTTTCTTGGGTTTTGAAAGTACAGCATGGGGTCTTGATCTCTTGTAGTTGGGTCAACACAGCTTATCACTGATGATGATAATTTATTATGAAATGATAAATGCGATTTTTTAGCTTGAAATATATGACGAGCGCGAAATATAAGATCGTGCGCGAGGTCATTCATTTGTAATCAAAGTGGTCGAATATGCAGCTCTTTTTCCCCGCCCCATTGTAGAATACCGCATTTTTAAAAATAGGTACGCAGTATACTCATTCCTCATATATATAGATACCTAACAACAAACAGAGGAAGAATGAGATACATACCGGTATAGCGCAAAGTCAAAACCGCATTTTTCAATATGACGTATTGGAGTATTTTCTCTTCACAGCGTCAGCGTCAGCGTCTGGGGAGGGAAAGGAAAGCGAATCACAATAATGGTTCGTGTCGCCAGCACTGGAGGTTACGAATGCTACTGCTGGTAGTATTGCTGGTCATCGCCTTATTTTTCCTTTCCTATCCCAATGAAAGTCTTCAGCTACTGCCTTATTCACTGGAAGACTTGCAACAATCCAATCCTTTTGGTCTATCAGCAACTCCCAAAACAACAACCGATTCTTCATCAGATGTGGATGATGGTATGAATCTTCTCTTGTACATTACGACTCACTTCTCAGCACAGCATTTACGATATTTTCATTGCTGCTGGCCCAAATTGGTTCAAGAATCGCCATTGATATCTTCGGCACATGTGCTCATTGTGGCATCCAATCATACTCCGGTCGACAGTACCGAATTGAACTATCTGTCAAACCAATTGTTTCAACACAATCCAAGCTACCAAATTCACTTTTTGGATCAATACAATGATAACAATCCTTGCGAAAAGTTTCGAAATGAAGTCCCCAAAGGATCCAATGCAAATAATAATCCACTCAAACTGCCCGTCAATTACAAACAATGCATGGCCAATTTGGGTGTTAGAGCCGGATTTGAACATGGTTGGGTATATGGTTATAGTAGTCATGATACCACCAACAGTGGTGGTGGTGGTGGCGCTATTACGGGAGAAGAATCATTATCCTCCAAACGACGACGACGACGACGAATATCCTATGTACACTTTGACTGGATGATTCGGATCAATCCCGATGTCTTGATTCGAAAATCCAAATGGTTATTGGAAACCATGCGAGCATCGATGGATGCACTGCCAAGATCCGTCTTATTGGATACCACCACAACATTATTGTCCACCACAACATCACCACCGCTGATTGAAAATAATGCCACCTTGGCCATTGTGGTACATTGTGCTACCCGTCAATTGCATACGGATTTCTTTGCTCTTCGTCCACATCATTGGGGGAATCATCACTATTATGCGAATGATGGTGAGAACAACAACAGTACTACAACTGCTATTACTACTGCTACTACAACTACTACTACTACTACTGCCTTTTCGAAAATGGGACGCAAGGGCAACAAGTGGAATCATGAACGAACCGCCTACAAGGAAATGGCTCATTTATGGACCAATGGCAACAGCAACATCAAGTATCTTCCAGATGTGGATCCCAGCGAAGGATCTTGCAGGGTACGAGGGAAGAATGCATCCGTCTATCACGTTCACGATTCCTGTCAAGAAGAAGGAGGAGGAGGAGCTGACATGGAATGTTTGGCCTTGGATGGATGGGATTTGAGCCAGTTGTAGGCAAGCAGAATATAATGAGGCAGAGATATGCTACAAACCCAAGACTCCTTCTTGATCCATCGTCATTTATTGCATTGATCTTCCCCCAAAATAATGATGCACTACATGGTTATCTCACTATAAAATATCTAAGCATTCCATGCATCAAAAGTTCATAGATTAGGTTGTTATTGACATGGATAATGTACAATCAACAAATATGATGATGCTGTCGACCTGCTGGTATTCCCACATAGGACAATATTTCCCAAAACAAGCCAATCATTTCTCGTTCCTTGGCATATCCAAAAATGTCCATCACAAACCTGGTCTTGTCGTCAACAACTGGCAAGATGAAATGAAAAGGCTTGTTGTTACTACTCTGCATTCGATTCCACTGCAAGGCACATGCATCCAATATGACTCGTCTCAGTTCGATATTATCAATAAAGGCAAGTTGTTTCTTGGTCGTCTCTTCCAAATACCGAAGAATCTCAGTATCCTTGTGATAATAAATGGCCCGATCCAAGGGCCGATTCCCATCCGCAGAGGGCACCACCAATGCCAGCGGATAGGCTTCTACCAACAGCCGAAAGGTTTCCACATTGCTGGAAAATCGAGCGCAAAAGTGCAAACACAGCCGGGCCCCATTGGGAACCGGAGTCGATAATAGGGCGCGTCGTTCATCAGGTGTCAAGAGGCTCAACATTTCGGCAATCACCGATACTGGAGCGTCATGGTAGACGGCCAAAATGAGAGAAGACCATCCCATTCGGTTGAGCTGACCAATCTGTTGTGGATTCTTTTGAATGAAAGTACTAACTGTGGGCCACGCCTTGTTTCGAATGTGTTTGTGAAGTGGACATTTCATCAATCTGTTATTGCTTTGGTTTGCGCTGTTGGGAGAGTTGGAAGAATAATATTGTTCGGCATAAGAATCTGAAACTGCCATGTAGTCCGAAGTCTCAGCATAGCCTAATGTTGCAAGCTTTAGGACAGCGTCACTCGAAACGACAACGGCATCATGAATGCCATTTTCCTCGACATGTCGTAGCTGTGTGGGCGTGTAACAGCCTGTGCGTGGCCAAGTCATTCTTCTTTAGACGTTTTTCGTTATGGTTTCCGGTAAAAATGAAGAATGAACTGAGTGGCCTGGCCTGTCGGTTGTTTGAGTTCAGATCGCTTCAAGACGGGCAAGAACTCCTGGGCTGAATTGTATTTCAACGTAATGACAGAACAGCTTATTTTAAAAGCAAGGATGCCTGTCTCTACAGTGCCCTCCTTCAATGCTTCCTACTGTATATTGTTGTCAAAGAAGTGAAAAAGATATGATGCTGATGCTGATAAGAAACACCAACACAGAATCATTTCAGAAGAATCTTTTCTCAGATATACGGTCAATATCTTCCTTATTGTTCTGAAAATTCAGAACTTCAAGCATTCTGATTCGTCGATTTGAAGCATGTGTTTCGCCTTTGGTTCGGAGTATTCGCCTTACTAGGGACTCACGGGAAGAATTTGTGTATCATTCATTCCCGCATTGTAGGAATGACGTGTTTGATATATTATGTGGCGTCTGACAAAAGTGCGTATATATCGATCGCATGAGGACAATTTTTTTGATCTGCAACAATAATGTTATTTGTGCAATAATATCTTCCCACAAGACCAACAAGATAGATCATCCTGGCATTGACTTTCTAGTAAAAGTGCTCCTCTTCAGTCCTATTCAAGTTTCCCAACAGTCTACTGAAGCCCCTCGAAAAATTTTCCTTCGATCATCGACAAAATGACAAGACGACTTCACCTGTCAATCCAATTGCTCTTCCTCCTTGCCTTATTGGCATCTTCCATGGTGTCTGCCTTTACCGGTGGCAGTAGAACCAGCCCTTTCAATTCTCAAAATGTTTCAGGGCTATCATCTTCATCCTACGCGACTACCTTGCCCCGAGGAGGAGGCGGTGGAGGAAATATTCTGACAACGACGACGACCTCAGTGTTGCTGGGAAAGCGATCATCGAATCTTGATGGTCGAATCCAGCTTCAGTCGGCTGCATCTTCTTCGGCCAGCGAGGATAAAAGTACCACCAACAATAGCAAAGACAGCGACGACAACAAGCTTCCCAAGACTATCATTCCCATTTTACTTTCTGTCTTGGCCCTTATTCTCAGCGAAGGAATTGCCCTCTCGACGTTGCCACTTCATTTGCAATCCATGGGTGCTACTCCCACCACCATTGGCCTTTCCACGAGTGCCTTTTCTATTGCCCAAATGGTATGTTGTCCATTGTTGGTAAAATGGTCGGCTACCTTGGGACGAACCGCCACTTTGCGAGTCTGCTTGTTGGGCGCCGCCTTGTCGTCCACTTTGATTGCCAGTGCCCAAAACATTCCCTTGATTTTGGTAGCACGGTTTGCTGCTGGGGCTTTTGCTTCCTCCATTCCTATTGCTCAAGCGGGAGTGACCGATTTGGTAAAGCCCCATCAAACCGCAATGGCACTCTCACAAGTAAGTGCTGCGAGTCAAACTGGATTGGTAATCGGGCCGATTGCTTCGGCATTGGTTCAGGGGATTTTGATTTCCTTGGGTGTACCTTCGTCGTATTTGGTCCGTGCTGTCTTTGCATCTTCTGCTGCCTTTGCGCTCGTGGCACTCTTGATTGGAACATTGGCGGCAAAAGCAAGTCAAGGGGCAGCAGCAGTTGCGGAGGAAACCGAATCGTCAACCACGGAATCTAATACATCATTCCATTTATCGAAAGAATCCCCATCATCAGCAGCAGCAATCACCACAGATGGCGCCTCCGACTCTAGTTACTCCTTCTTGGTGCAACCCTCACTTCGGTCCATCGCCTTACTCGCCGGATGGGCCTTGACCCTCAGTGTTTCCACCTACAGCATGTTCTCCTCTAAATTCTTGGGGTACGCTCAAACACAACTATCGGGAGCCATGAGTACGGGAGCAGCCGTGACTATTTTGACACAGATTCTATTGGTACCTCGTCTTGTACCGAGTTTGGGAACACACTTGGCGGATTCGGTCGGATTGGCCATTTTGTCGGCGGGTTTGTTGGGAACCTCACTCATCCGGGTCCAACCGATCCATTCCCTCTTTTATTTACTCATTCGAGTGGGAACTGGTATTGTGGATACAGCCACGGCCACTTTGGTCGCCACCTATTCCAAGGACCGACAAGAGCGTGGTACTAATCTGGGAATGATTCAATCCACCCGCGCAGGGGCACGCATCTTCACCCCCGTCATTTCAGGGTCGCTCTTTGCCAGAAGCTGCGCCATGCCAAGGGCACCAGGGTCTCTACCATACTTGGTCAATGCTGCTTGCTGTCTTGCCTTGATACCATTGCCGCTCTTTTTGAAACGCAAGTTGGGAGGAAGTGGTGGTGATGATGGAGTGAGAAAAAATATGAAGAAGGATTAATAATTCCTGACTACGTGTGAGGAATATGCAGGAGGCCAGTCATACGGTCATTGAGGCCACTTCTTGAAAGTCAGACACACATGTCAGGACACACTATTATACATGCACAACGTTGACATGATAGCAGGAGCGCTACGCAATTCAAGATTGTGTCGTTCACATTGATCCATGAGCGATATATGGTTCGATGAATGATTTCATTGCAAAGGATTTTTATGGTATTCCAATTGATTCTCAGGCCACACTACCGTACAAAAAAGGAGGGATATCAATCATGCCAGCTGTTATTAGTCCTAGTATAATAAAAGTTATTCGACTTCTTTAGAACATACTCGTATGCATATTTAAACTTCACCTCTGATCGCTTATGACTTGGGCTTTTTGACCGAAACTTCGTTCAGTTTCGATTGGGATGGAGCCAACACTGTCAATGGAGACTCTCTCATGGTGATAGAAACCCTTCGATCGCTTAGTAGATCCGGATTTGCTATTGCATGTGAAAAATCGTACCTTGCGCTCCCCGTCAGTACTTGTAGGCACCTACGTTTCAACAAAACCTTCTGTTCTTTCACAGCCAAATTCCGGTGCATGGCTTCATTTCGAAAGGTCATGTAACAGTCTCCCGCCAAACTCAAGTTGCAAATTGGTTCTTTGGAAAGTTTTCGATCATCCACATGGGATTTGAGCCAATGACCTTGCTTTCGTCGGTAGTCAATGGCATTGGCTTCATTTGGCAAACATCCTTTCACAGGAGGGAGGTCTTTCAACTTTGGGACCAAGATCTGTTGAATGAAATCCGGCAATGTGTTTTCAGCCGCATTTACTCTTCGATCTCTCAAATTACAGTGTACGCCCCAGCGTTTGCCAAATTGATGTCCATTGAATCTAGACGTCTTCCATTGCATGGATTCTGTATCCAAATGCTTCAGTATTTCGGTCTCTTCTTCCTCGCTGATGAAGTTTTCGTACAAATATAGTCCGGGAATTGGTTCAGAGGATGGCTTTGGGATTGGCTTTTGAGGAGATACCGTGGATTTTTCTGCTGATTCACCATTGCACAAAGCAGCATGGGATTCCAAGCTGTGAAGAGGGAAGCTTTGACTGCACAGTGGACAGCTTCCAAAGCGGCTCCGCTCTTCTTGGATAGATTTTGAATGGCTCCTTGGTCGCTTATTGGGCATTTTGGAACCAAAGAAAGATGTCACTCGTTTTTGCTTTTTACTGTTTGCAAACATACTGCTGGACGTCTTGTTCATCATGAGTGAGAGGTTATTCTTATTTATATCGTCAAAATCCAATGTGAAAATAACGCAACACAATTCTCTGTGTCCGACAAAATCAGTATGACGGACACTTTTTAAAATACCGTCCCAAAACTATTATTACGGGCCACGAATCAGGTACCGCTATAGTGGCAGCTCTACTGTACTTTGAATAAGAAATTCTTTGATACATGTGATCCACGATAGGATTGCTATATATGTAGGGTAGCCATGGCTATTACCAAGTGATATCCTTGGAGCTGATCCCGGCGTCCGTTCTCGAGAGGGTTGGTCCATTCGCACTGTGCCCTGAGTTCCGTGGCAATCCGCTGCTTCTGCGACGTGGTGGTTGTGCTTTCTTGCGTCCCGAAGGCGATTTTCGTGGACTCATTAGTGAAATAGGTCCCTTCCCATGATTAGATGATGCAAGGCTATCGCGTTTCGAGGGTCTCTTGACGAGCTGCTTCTGCGAACTGCTACCAAGTGTGCTGTTATCAAGCGTTCGATCACTAACATCAATCGACCTACTTCCATTGCGTCCCGAAGGCGATTTCCGTGGACCCATTAGTGAAATAGGCCCATTCCCATGATTAGATGATGCCAGGCTGTCGCGTTTCGAGGGGACGAGCTTGAGCGAACTGCCACCAAGCATACTGTTGTCAAGCGTTCGATCACTAACATCAATCGACCTACTTCCATTCCGAATATCATCTGCGACACTAAAAGGATCAAACGACCCTTTCGGAATATCCAATGAGACAAGACTTCCAGACGATGCTTCCCGGGGTAGTAACTCCGTGACATTTCTCTTGCTGCCAACTCGGAGTCGCCGCCGACTTGTAGGAGCGACACCGGCTGATAACGACAGTCTCTTTGTTACCTTTTCATCCTGCCACCCCGCTGAGGTTGAACCTACGCTACTGTCATCAGCCTGGTCTCTTCTTTTCTTCAAGGCATCCAACGAAGACGATCGTTTTTGCTTCATGTCACCAGCACCTTCACAGTACTTATCCTTGATTGGATGAGTTGATTCATCTGTTCCGGCCTTCGCAAGCTTTTCACGTAATGCCGCATGGCTCCCCTTTCTTTTTTCTAGAGCACTACTGGTGTACTGCTCTGCGCCTTCTCGGGCCATCCGTTCCATCGACAATAGCTTTGCCGATTTCGATTTTTGCTTGTTGTTGCTCGCGGTGGTATGCCCCGAGCTATCCATATCCTGCCGTTTGGAATTTTTTGAAATTCGTCTGCTACTCGACCTCCTTGGAATGGGAGCATTGGCTCCACTGACGCTACTATTGGACCGTCTTGGAATGGGAGAATTGGCTCCATTGGTGCAACTGTTGGATCTCCTCGGAATGGGAGAATCGGCTCCAGGATTTTCTACGGACGATCGTCGCCTCTTAGGACTCTGAATAGATCTCCGACTATTCGATCGTCGTTGAATCGTCCCATCGTCAGTGCCGGTCGAAAAGCTCTTCCCTAACTCTGGTTTGTTTAGAGTAGCCATACTCTCTGCCCAAATGTTGGGCTTGGACGAGGATCTTCGACCACCCCTTCTTCCAAGCGGCGAAGCTCGTATGTGTGGAGACCGAGAAGAGCCAGGAGATTTAGGGATGCTGTCTGTATTTCCTGCTGCAAAGGATTTCCTAGTTCCTTTGCGCAGTCTCGGACTCTCAAATTCTGACGAATCACAGGATTTGCATTTCGATCCGGGAATGTCCCCAGACGAATTGTTCAGGGAGTCCGTGTCATCAGTGGAATGACCTACCGATTCTTTTCCCCGTGGTGATATCGACTCATCTGTTGATGAAGGCTTGGACGAAGATCGCCGTCGACTGGGTTTTCCAGGAGATTTCTTAGAGCTGAGTCGTTTTCTTGTAGCCCTGGCACCAACAGGACTTGAAGTGGGAGTATTCAGACCATCCAAATCTTGGATGGTAAGCGAGTCATTACTTCCATTCAAAGACGCTTTAGATGAGCTCCTCTTTGGGCTCTGCTTCCTTACAGCCATGGTCTTCGTTCCAAGCGAAAGAAGGCTGGAATCCCTGCTAGAATCCTCACCGTTGTATACCTTTTTTACGCTTTCCTTCGCCAGTTTTTCTTTCAACGACTTCCTGTTGGATTTTTCCGACTGGCCGGAACTTTCCTTGGATCCAGCAGAGGAACTGTTGGCTTTTTCCAACTTATTATTACGCTTTTCATTTTTCCGTTTCTTCTTCTTTTCAGATTTCGATTTCTTGCTTTTCTTGACCTTGATCTTGGTAGTCTTTTTCTTTTTTCTCTTTTTCTTCTTCTCCTCTTTTGCATCCTTAGTGTATGTATCAAGAGTTATTCTGGCACCAGTCCAATCGACGACTAGACCTCCATCTTTTAGACTTTCATGAAGTTCCACACTGTCCACTGTAATTTCATCATATTCATCGTCGCTGTCGAATAAATGCTGCGGAAAATGTTCACTGTTTCTCCACTCTTCAAAGTCTGGTATTTTATGAATGTCGGCAGTGTTCATGTACAATTCATACTCTTCTTCATCGACTGTTCGTTCTGAAAATTCAGAATCTTCGTCACTGTCGAGATCCTCTAAGGATACTTCTTCAATATCACTGTCATTGTTTCCCCCACTCCCCCCATAGTCCCCATTCCCGTCCTGCATATCTCCAAATGAACCAAAATGCTCGTCACCAGGCTCAAACTCAGAGTCATCACCGTCGTCGTTATTGTTCGTCTTTGTTTGGCCTGAAGAGGATTTGACTTCCAAGGAAGGTCGTTTGCCAGGTTTTGACGGTGAAGCGAATCCCTTTGCGCTGGTTATTTTGGATTTTCGTACTAGCGTTTGTTTGAATTTCATCATATTTACTGGCATATTGGGAAGGTCTCCTTCATTAGGGTCGGCACTTTCCACTTCTCAGTTTCGTTGTGATTTACACAGATGGGAAGAATCTGAAATTTTTCCTTTATCTCCTCACTGGTACTCGTACCTACCGCGCCTGGAAGTCATGTTCCTTTCACGGTTGTTATAATTAAATATTACCCAACAGCAATTCTTCCTGTCTTTTGGCTGTCGGAGAGGGACTACAAATATAGATTTGGTTATAATAAAGACTGGACCTACATAAGAGCGAAAAATATTCTTACCTAAATAGAAAATGTGGTTTACCGTATCGAGCGGACGGAGGACGGAGGGTGGAGGGTTGACTGACTCAATGGATTTACTGTAGCACTCTGGGGTAAAAAGCTTTGAGGGAGTGTTGGGATCATCATGGCAAACTATGCCAATTTGCCATCAATTTTTCTGAATGTGAGACTTTGTTACTCAGTGTATGGTGCAAGAGTCTGCATAGTGAAATTAGTTGACAGATGTGTGGTTTCGCCATTGGATGAAGAAGGCAGCAAGATCATCATGATGGTGATTACTAGCTACTGTAGGTCCCGCCTGCAAAAACAAGTTGGTGGAGCTTACAGATATGAAATCTGTCAGCGTCAGACTGCTCACACGTGGTAACTTCTGATCTGCATTGAGCTCCACCGGTAACAATCGAATAATGTGGCACATGTGATATATATGTGCACAGGGAGTATTTGAAAACGACGTATTTTTCGTACTAAGGCCACGGCAATCCGTGATCCAACGGTATTCATTCACGGATGATGTAAGCGACACTGGAGTATTTGAAAATCAAATACTACCTCTAAAGTAACCCGGAAGCTAAGGTATATCAGCCAATCAAAACTAAGGTGTCGCTTACAAACTAAGCAAATGTGGAGGGAAAACCTTAAGCCAATGACAATCGTTTCTTTTCCAACAATTAAGAACACTAAAAACCAAAGAACAACTGCGGTCTAGTTAGTCCATTGTCCATGAAATGCAAAACATTTTTGTCGCTCCTGCCTTTGATACGGTTTGGCATTCAACCAGCAATACTCCGTCGCCGTCGCTTGGGTAACTACAAACTTATCAAGCCATCTCTGAGAAGAATCCATCAAGCAGAAGAGAAATGGCGTCGCTCCAGGTAAAGTTGATTGTGATATGTTATGATTGTCAATCATGACTGTGACAGTGGTCGTCCCCATTGCTTGACTACTGCTTTACCCAACAATACACCGTTGTCGTCGCTTGATTATCAGTACAGACTTATCAATCCATCTCTGGGGAGAATCCATCTAGCAGAAGAGAAATGGTGTCGCTCGAGGTAACGTTGATTGTGATATGCTGCGAATGTCAATTATGACCATGACAGTGTTCGCCATTGGTTGCATTACACTGTTGTCGTTGCTTGATTATTACAGACTCATCAAGCCATCTCTGAGAACAATCCATCCAGCAGAAGTGAAATGGCGTCGCTCAACAAGGTAAGTTTGATTGTTGGATGTTTACATTGTGCATCATGTTGATGAAAGAAGTCGCTCATGTCATGATATGGTTTTGTTGCATTCAACCAACAATACACCATCGTTGTTGCTTGATTGCTGAAGACTTATCAAATCAACCGAACAGAAGAGAAATGGAGTATGTCAAGGTAAGTTTGACTGTTGGATGTTGCAATTGTGAATCATGAAGATGAGGACGGGGGTCATCAATCCTCAACTACTTCACCCAACAATACACCATTGTCGTTGCTTGATTACTACAGACTTAGTATCAAGCCATCTCTGAAGAGAATCGATCCAGAAGAAAAGAAATGGTGTCCCTCAAGGTAAGTTTGATTGTTGAAGGTTGCGATTTGCATTCATGACCGTGACAGTGGTCGCTATTGCTTGACTACTTTACTCAACAATACATTGTCGTTGTTGCTTGATTACTACATACTCATCAAGCCATCTCTGAGAAGACTCCATCCAGCAGAAGAGAAATGGCGTCGCTCCAGGTAAGGTTGATTGTGATATGTTGTGATCGTCGACCATGTTGATGAAACAAGTCGCTCATGTCTTGATATTACACAGTCCTCGTTGCTTGATTACTACAGACTCATCAAGTTGTCGTTGCTTGATTATTACAGACTTATCAAGGCATCTCTGAGAACAATCCATCCAGCAGAAGTGAAATGGCGTTGCTCAACAACGTAAGTTTGATTGTTGGATGCTTCCATTGTGCATCATGTTGATGAAACAAGTCGCTCATGCCTTGATATGGTTTGCATTCAACCAATAATACACTGGCAGCGTCACTTGATTACTACAGACTTATCAAGCCATCGCTGGGGCAAATCCATCAAACAGAAGAGAAATGGCGTCGCTCTAGGTGTGTTTAATTGTTGTATGTTGCGTTTGTCAAGGAGGATGGTCACAGTGGTCTCCATTTCTTGACTACTTTACCCAAGAATACACCCTCGTCGTCGCTTGATTACTAGGACAGACTTATCATTCAACATAGCTTCTAATTCCATACAAAACACAATTTTTTAAAAAAGCTGAGCACCAGCATATTAGTACTAAGAATGAACAAAGTTCTGTAGCAAATAATGGATCTTCTTATTTTGCTTTTGAAAGATTATCAAATGTCTCCTGTTCTTTAGTCATTTTTTGTTTCTAGGGTGGCCCTCCATGAAAGAAATCAGGTAAGTGTCCGGCAAAGGGTTTCCAAGATAGTACTAGCATGATACTACTACAGCCAGCCTTGGCGTGTACGACTGGCGATACCTTGTTGATGAAGCTGATAATTTGTCATCATCACTTGATGCACCAATTCCGTAGTCCCCAATTCCATTTGCAGATCTGTCATCATCCTCGTCATATTTCACTTCCCAAGCATTCCCACTTGTAAAATCAACAGGGCCTTGGTTTGGGACAAATTTTCCTTTTGGCATTGACGGGTGGTTAAGGACCTCTGCCATCAGTTCTTTTGAAATCTTGAAAATCGCTTCCTCCATAGGGTGCGGTGACTTTGCAGAGGATGGATCATTTTGATGTTGCCGTGAGAGGAAGTACTCATGGCTTCTCTTAGCTTTCTCCTCCTTTGCAGTTTGAAGTTTCTTTGACTTCCGGTCGCCTCCAGGCTTATGGTTGATTTTTTGTTCTTACTTCCTTTCGGACGGCCCATGTTGATGTTGACGCAAATGAAAAGACGAAATTTCCAAAGTTCACAATTTTCAAAATAAAACTGTTGGTCGTTATGTCCGTTATTTGTCGTTACGACCATTTCAAATATATTTTTGATCCGGAAAGTGAGATTTGTAAGCGACACCTTGGTTGTGTAGACGTGCGTAGAATCTGTACTGTCGCTCACAAAAAAAATCCGCACATATTTATCATACCTGCCAAATAATGTGGGTTTAGGTACATGATGTTCAGGATGACATCATGTATTTTCTGATCCCTGATTGGATACTTGTGTGCTTCCCTTTGCTTGTGGGATCAAAACAGCGAGCTGCTTCTAAGCTCGAAGTATTATTGGTAATTTGGTGGCACATTCTTAAGGGAAATTGATTGATGCCACGGAACCATTGGATCGTCATTGTGCGTCATTGAAACCGAGCACACGTCATAAGAATAATTAACGGAGAACGACGGCCCATAAATGTCATCTTCTGATCAAGGAAATTAGGATGAAACGGTGAAGAGTTCAGCTGTTTCATTGAATTGTAAATGGAGACCAAACACATCAACCATCAAAAGTAGACTCCCCCATACGATTTATTACAATGAAAAGCCAGCTAGACCCTAGGAAAGGCGACGATGAAGCATCACTGAAGGACCACAAACCCAGCGCCTCGATAGAAGCCCCAAGCACGACGACAAGATGTGAGGCACAAGAAGCAGAACTAGATCGATCGGGACCTGGGAGCAACCAAACTCCCAATGATGCCGTTCAAGGGCGAGACAGAAGGATCAAGAAACCCCTTTCTGCTGGAGCTGAAGCCAAGCAGACAGGAGTAGACGAGTCACCGAGCTGGTCTGTCGTGAAGAGGGATAGAAATCGACTTAATGCTCAGAAAGGTCGGCAGAAACAACAAAACCAACTAAAGTTTCTTGAGTACGAATACGCAAGACTATTCGCGTCTAATGGTGCTTTGCGATATCAGAACCTTCACTTGAAAGGCGCGATCCAACAGGTCAAGATCCAGCGCGACGCTACGAAGAAACCCCCTGCCGTTGGCGCTTCATCTGCTGCTGCACTGAATATCAGACTGCCTTTACAGCAGCAGACATTACCGAGCATTCTTAGTCAGCAGCAACTCACAGCACTGCTGCTGGGAAATGATAACGCAACAAGAGCAATGTCTCAAGGACTGCCGTTCACGGCAGGTAATTTCGCATCTAGACAAGAGCTGGTGCCAACGACGACGTCATTGCTGCAAATGGGGGCTGGGGGGGGCAATAATATGAGTCATGCGGCAGCTCCTTTTGGAGCAAGCAAAGGAGAAAATTTCTGCTGTCAGGTCTTCATGGTGTATAGCACCTTGGATACAGCTACCAAACAACTTTACCATGGCGCCCGGCATCATCCTTTCTGCCGTAACTGTCCTCGATAATATAAATTTAAAAAAAGGCAACAATGCAAACGAAGAGATTCATTTCAGTCATTATTAGCTATTTACAAACATTATCGCAATAGCTTATTGTACTTTGTGTTAATCGTCGCCCGGTAGACTCGAACGCTTGCGGTAAAAGGCAATACCACACCAAGTGCAACGACGGGCTTTCGCTTTTCATTGCGTGGCACCTTACTCATTGATGATTTAGCACGCAAGGCACCGACAGCCCAAGGATTGCAATGTATCATATGCACTGGCTGCAGAGTGATACAACCGACTAATCACGTCACTCATTTACTACGAAGACAATACCCAAGAGCGACGATGGTCTTGGAGAGGAAAGCCAGAAGCAGCAATTTATTTATTGATCTCCGAATCAGGAACGAGTTGTCAACAAGTTGTCATGATGTTGGAAGCTATATATGTGGAGAAAGATAGATCTCATCTGATGCACGCCACGAAGATCCATGTGTCATTCGTCGTTACGCAACAATACTTTTTCATCGGGAATAATTTTAAGTCATTCCAACAAAACAATCGGCAATAGCCCGGTACCAGGTACTTGGAAGAAAGGAGGACACACTACGAGTGCAATCGTGAAGCATCAGGTTAGCATTCTAGTCGATCTGATATGAGGAGTATTTGCACAACTTTGTGGTCATCTGCTTTTGATAGGTTTGGTGCGGTGGAACATTACAAAATAAATTGCATCAAGAACACTCGCTATCAGTTACTGTACCGGTACCTACCGGTATAATACTGTAGCTACTGTATCCGACGACATCATATGATCAGACTTTAAAAAATATTAGCGGCAGATATGATAGAGCAGCTACTACAATACCGGTACTATGCAGCGGTCTATTATTACCCGTCACCATTGGGGGACTGCAACAGTACTGGTACATATGATCTCATGAGTGTCATTTTCGACTTCAATTTTTTATATAATGCACACAACCTTGCGGTTTCGTCAATAGCACTTTCTGCTTTTATACGTCTACCGTGTACCTACCTACCTGGTACGTATACGAACTTATCCGTCACCATTTTGATCAGACCACCAATGATTGATCAGACTTTGCTCTCGATCTTGCCTGTTCAGAAATAACTGCATGCGAACTGATGTCAGTAACAAAATTCGTTCGTTCCACCCCTTGTAATGTTACATAGCAAGCTAGGCGTGGCCAATGTGCTTCGCTTGTGTTGGTAGCTTCTAAAAGTGAGGAGTGAATTATTTTCATAATCGGAATAAGGAACAATGCCGTAAATTGTCAGAAGCGATGCGATTTCCCGTCACCTTTCTACTTAGAAGCGAGAGACGCGCACTCGCTTTAAACCTTCTGATCGAAGCAGAAGGAACCGAAGGCACCTTTCCGTCTGCATTTTAGCTGTTTCGGAGAATGAACCGGGAGTGTAGACCTGCTGACAAAACAGGAAAGCGTCAGTATATTAGTATACCAAACAAAGTGCACAGTTAGAAATGATGAAAAGCAATCTAGGCCCCAGGAAAGGCAACGGTGAAGCATCACTGAAGCGCTACAAACCTAGCGCTCTACCACCCGTCCTCACACCGACAAAAAATGAGGCAAATGAACGCAGAACAAGCATCCAAGACCTCTATAATGCCTTCCAGGAGCGAGAGGACAGAGCAAATGGACCCCTCTCTACTGAAACCAATGTTGGGGTTGAAGCCAAGCAGGCAGGAGCAGACGAGTCACAAAGCTGGGCTGCCATAAAGAAGGTTAGAAATCGACTCAATGCTCAGAAAGGCCGCCAGAAACAGCAAAACCAAATGAAGTTTCTCGAGCACGAACAATTGAGACTATCCTCATCCAATGGGGCCCTTTCGTACCAGAACGCTCATCTCAAAGATGCGATACGACAGATCAAGAAGGAGCGTTACGCATCCAAGAACAAACACGCTATTGTTGTTGACGCTTCATCTACTGAGCTCAATACTAGAATTCCTTCACAACAGACAGGACGCGGCATTCTTGATCAGCAACAGTTCGCAGCACTACTACAGGGACTTGATGACCTAACAAGAAGAATGCCTCAGGGGTTGCCCCTTACGGCTCATGGTTTGCCCCCGCTTACAGCAGCATCAAGAACAGAGTGGGCACCAGCAGCAACAACAACATTGCGGCCAATGAGCAATATGAATCATGCTTCGGCTCCTTTTGGAGGAATGAGTACAGGGCAAAATTTCTGCTGTGAGGTTTACATGGTGTATAGTGCCTTGGATCCATCTATCAAACTGGTTTATCATGGCTCCCGCCATCATCCTTTGTGCCGTAGCTGTCGATGATAGAAATTTAGAACATAGACGAAGAAAGGGTTCATTTTAGATATTATCTTTACACAATATTTTGATAGCATCATTTTCATTAACAACTTTTAAGTTTAGTATTCATCGTCACCCGGTGGACTCGAATGCCTACACTATGGCATCCATTATCAAAGGATTGGAATGACGGACCACCACGATTCATAACAAGGCAAGAAGCGCGTCTTCATTCTTCTAGTCCTAGGCCAACTATTCAAAAAGAATAGCTGAGGGACAGAAGCACTGGCCAAAGATAATCCGTTTCTTGACTTGCATGTCTATGTGACCTGGTATCAAGTTTTCAGGACGGAAACGAAGCTTGCATTTGTATAATTCGTCACCCAGTAGATTCTTTGTCTTTGGACAACAGAACATCAACACTGCTGTTTGAGCATCGTTTGAAAGCTGCTTGATGGATGAGCTGGCGTTTGATTAGGCAATGGGTACATGTTGCGGAAACCGTGTGGGATCTTGTCCTGTTGAGTTGTTACAATTGTAAGAAGTCAGAATGGATGGGGTTCGTACAGCAACTATGACTGACAAAAGGAGGATCACCGTACCTTATCCTTGGAATGGAAGTAAATGGACGATGACATGACTATTAATTTTGTTTACAAGGTCGATAGAATCTGGTACAATGCGTTCTTTAGTTTTTGACGCATCAGAATGATCGACTGTACTTCCCAGTTACAGCATTCAATGGGAAGATCATGTAGTGTAGGCGCTCCATTGTCATTGCGGAGGGAGGCTGCAGAAAAGTGAGGATGGGTAGAAAGGGCGCTAAACTAAAACGAGGCGGGCTGGCCAAAGCTGGTCGGCACTGGCCAAGATCCAACGCCAGCCGGTTTTGAAGTGGGGGATTTTGGGAGGTAGATTGGGGTGAGTGTCAAGCATCCGGGTTGCGGGGTGGGTGACGCGGAGCGTCTCCCTGGCACTGACGTTTCACTGCCACTTGATGCAAACACTCCCATACGTCAGTATTCGACGATTGACAATATAGTGCGTTGTAATTCGAATCAAATAACAATCTTCTTCGTCGTTGTAACAAAAACACACGTCATTCGATTACATAAAGAAAACGTCAGTTTTTTACTTATAGCACAATCGATTTTATTCGATTTCAGCTGTTCTGTCAGCTCGATTGCATCAAACAGTGCCATGCCACTACACAAAGCATCACCAATCGCTCCACACCATATCTCCACAAACTTTCATCCCATGAAAAGCAAACTAGATTCCACAAATGCTGATGGTGAAGCATCATCGAAGCGCCACAAATCTACCGCCAGTTTAGTCTCAACGACAAAAAGTGAGGCAGGGGAAGCAGGCCGCGATCGATCGGGACACACAAGCAATGATGCAGTCCAAGAGCGAAAGGAAAGAAGCAAGGGATCGCTTTCTACTGCAGACAATGATTGGGCTGAAGCTGAAAAGTCGGGAGACGACTCACAAAGCTGGACTGCCGTAAAGAAGGATAGAAATCGACTCAATGCCCAGAGAGGTCGACAAAAACAGCAAGCGCAATTGAAGTTTCTCGAGCACGAACAAATGAGATTTTCGTCGTCGAATGCTGCTCTGCAGTACCAAAACAGTCACCTCAAAGATGTAATTCAACAGATCAAAAAGCAACGCGATTCCTCCAAGAAAAAACACCCTGCTGCTCCAGATGGTGCTGGCACACCAACTACTGAACTCAATACCAGATTTCCTTCACAAAAGACAGCGCCAAGCATGCTCAGTCAGCAACAACTCGCAACATTGTTGATGAGAAATGGTAACACAACAAGAGCCATTGCAAATGTCTTTCCACCTAGACAAGAGTTGCCAGCAACATCGCCGTTGCTACAACTGGGCGCTGGTGCTGGGGGCAATATAAGTCATGCTTCAGCTTCTTCTTTTGGAGGAAGTTCAGCGCCAAATTTCTGCTGTCAGGTTTTCATGTTGTACAGTGCATTGAACCCAGCTACCAGACAAATTTACCAAGGCGCCTGCCACCATCCTTTGTGCCGAAACTATCGGATATAGAAGTTAGAACATGATGAATCAAGCCACAAACGAAGCGATTGAGTGAGCTATTTTCTATTTTTTTTATATATTGCCAGAGGATCTTACGTGTTGTCAACTGGCAATTTAAAAAAATTGCACAAGAAAACGTCATATTTTTACTTAACGAAGACGACACACCAATTCACGAATAAAACACACGATCTTCATGTCCAAAACTTACGTGGCAGCAGGTATCATTTACACCTCTAAGTGAATCTGGCAATCGTCATTTCCGACGTCATTTGGTTTACTTAATAAAATGCCCTACGAAGGAAAGGAACAAAACTATCATTTATAAGTAGCTGTTTTCATCCCACAACAGAAAAGGACATCACATCCAAACTGTACCAGGACACAACAACCCGACAAAGCTGCAGGGTTAGATCCGATGAAAAACATCCCAGACCCCAGAAAGATTGATGATGAAGCATCTCCAAAGCGTCAGAAATCAAGCGCCCGACGAATTTCAACGACACAAAGTGAGTCACAAGAATCAACAGGCAAACAAGCAACACTCGCCACCAATCATGATGTGACCCTGCAAGAGGGAGAGAGTCGGGTTTCGGAACCAGCTTATGGTCGAGAGAAGGAAACTCAGTCCCAAGGTCAACCTGGACAAGAAGGAAACGAGTCACAAACCTGGACTGCTGTCAGGCAGGATAGAGATCGGCGCATGAGGATTCGAAAAATCCAGAAAGAGCAACTAGGTTTCCTCGAATCCGAAAATATGAGGCTATCAGCGTCGAATAATTCCCTACGGTATCATAACAGTCACCTGAAAGACACGATTGAAAGGATCAAGAATGAGTGCGACTCCTCCAAGAAACCTGCTGCAGCTGTCGGCTCGTCTACTGCATGTCCCGCACAAAAGATACCAATCATACCGCACAATCTGAATCAGCAGCAGCTCGCACTTCTACTGCTTGGAAATGATATAATCACAAGAGAAGCGCATCAGGAAGTTTCGCATATGGCAGATACATTTGTATCCAGGCCAGGATTGGACAGTACTATGGGTCTAGGTTCTTCCTCGGTTCCTTCTTTTGGAAGAAGTGAAAAACAACAAATTTACTGTTGCAGCGTATACGCGGTGTATTGTGCATTGGATCCTGCCCTCAAACAAGTTTTCCGAGGAGACAGTCACGATCCTTCCTGCCAAAACCATCGTAGATAGAATTATGCAACATAGACTAGGATCTAAGACTATGAATAGCAAGTTATTGTATTGATTCATTGGAGCATCATCATCGCAACAACAACACAAAGAAAAAAAGAGTTTCGTTCGGATGCCAGGATGATGCCACACACACACCTGGAGTATTTAAGGAGTCGTATCTGTAATTATCGATTGTTCTGATCAAAGGTCGAATGACGTTGTCATCGCTAATTAAGGATGTTGTCGCATGCATGGGATCAATCGTGAGGTCAAAATGATCGTGCGGATTGGATTTCTGGCTGTCCTCACGAACGTACCGCGTACACGTACACGTGTACAGACGCATCGGCAAATCAATCAATACTGTAGGAATTCAGAAATAAAAAAATAAAAAGTGCGAAATGTCAAAATAAATGGCCTGTTGATGAGAATAGACATACCGCACGACGCACGACACAACAAAAATTCCGATTGATGAAGTTCAAACCGATTGCTAGTTTCCTCACATTCTCTTCCGTTTCACGAAGTAAAACAGCTCTCGCTATGACTTCTCCTAAGTTTACCGTTACCTACGTAAGTTTCTTCGTCTGTTGCACATGGGAAATTCCAAAACAGAATGGAATTTTAGACGAGATTGCCTGAGCAGTTTTGGCAGGAGCGCAGAGTCAGAGTGAAATTGCAAGAAACCTTGGCTAACTCTCTCCCGTTTCATGTTCTACATCAACATCTTTACCGCACAATCGGCTATCCAATCAAAATTTTGGATCGCTTTCTTCTTCCAAAAAAGAGCCGCAACTGAGATGGCGGGTACCAGGAATTCGACACAGCGGCCACATGTGTCAAGACCGTATTTCCTGATGCCCAGATTATCCAAGATCGCGTCAATGACTTTCCTATTCGTGTGATCGTCACCGCTCATGTGAACGGCAAAAAAATGGAAGTATGGTCCGGACGACAGCAATCACTTTTCTCCAAGTACTACACCGAACGCGAGAGATCGATTGCCGAGATTACGGAACTGTTGAACGGTCTGAAGGAGGACTTTGATCTTTAATTCAACGGAATTTTGTATGATTTGATTTGTTCGTATTTGTGCTCGAAGTTGCAGGCGACGCTGTCAAAGTGAATGAAGTCATGGTGTCTCCTCGCTCGAGGAAAATCCACTGACTGATAACTACTATGAACGCTTGCCTCCACCTCTTGCTTGAAACGGAAACAAATTATATTTAATACGTCATGTATATTGACCCATAGCTTTTGCTATGATCGAATAATAGTTACAGTTTTCTACGCTAATTCTGAGACTGCTCGAATAGAATGAAGATTTCAGGTAGCTTCTAGCGCAAACAAGAAGACTCAGCAGCAGGAGGCTCAACAAGGAGTCATCATTTCTTTACTCCTGAGACGACGAACGCAAGATCGTATTTAGTAGCAATATTATACGTTAGGCGAGGTGAGGAACACGCATAAACCAAATATAAAACCATATTGTTACAGTAGGCGAGGTAATGAACACACATGCGATATACGCAGTAATGTCTTCAGGTGTTGGAAGAGAACGCTACATCTGTACCTTCGTCAAGAGTCATCATCACGTTTGGTGCAATTTCAACAATAATGCAGAACGGTGCAAATATTATTTTAATATGCGGTCGATGAACCAATAATAACACCTGCTCTTGTCTATACCGGTATCATAAAACAATACATCATCCCTGCCGTATCGACAATGTTGCTTTGAAGGCACGCCACAGCCACAACATCAAAAGCGATCTAAACCTGTAATAATAGTGTGAGTTCCTGTTGTAGCTTGTGGTAGCATGATGATGGAAGAAGCCATCGAGAAATTGCCCAAAGTGGAGCTTCATGCACATTTGAATGGATGCATTCGAGAATCGACCTTGTTTGATTTGGCCAAGGAACGTTCCGTGACACTCAGTCATGAACATTTTCATCATCAAGACCATCAAGTTCCATCCAATTCTTCTATTTTAGATCATGATGATCCACCAGCAGCACGATTCTTCAATGTCCGACCGAGGTCCTTGCAGGATTGCTTTGACATTTTTGCAGAAATCCCAAAGTGCGTGGATGATTTGATATCTCTTCGGCGTATTACACTGGAAGCCTTAGAAGACTTTGCCAAGCATAATGTTGTATACTTGGAACTGAGATCTACGCCAAAGCAGCTGCATGTGCAGTCCGCAAATAAGACTGGAAATTATGGCGCTGAACAAAAGAAACCAAGGCTTGCCTCCAAAAAGGATTACTGCCACGTCATTTTGCAAGCCATGGAAGACTTTGAGAAGGATCAGAACCAACTTAACCTGAAGCAAGAAGAGCAAAGGAAAATAGCCAATGAATCCAATGCACCTAGCTCCCAACAAGGACCAATACCAACAATGACGTGTCGGTTCCTGGTGGCAGTCGACCGATCCCATTCAAACGAAACAGCCATGGAACACATTGAATTGGCCAAGGATTTGGTTCAGAGCGACGAGTATGGATATCGTGTTGTTGGAGTTGATATCGGCGGCAATCCCACCAAGGTAAGTCTACTATATTATTTATAGACATGATGGTCAGCAGGAGGTTATTGAATTCACATCTCAACATGCATTGCCCTCGTGACTCACTTTATTCCTTTTTGCCTCATACCCAAATATACAATCCATGGAACAAAATTCATCTGCACGAAGAATCATTTTCACGATTTCCGTCCAGCATTTGAAGTGGCAAGAGAAGCTGGATTGAAAATTACACTTCATTGTGGTATGTGACAACATCATTGCGACTACTGCATAGACCCAAAACCCGTTCCTTTGTCTTGGAAGATTTTCCTTATGGCACTCTCACTAACTTTCCTTGTTCATTCAGCCGAAGTCCCATGCCATGACAATGACGATGATCCATCCAATAAGCGAGTTGTTATTGCCTATGACGAAGCCAAGAGCATCTTGGAGTTTGCCCCTGATCGACTCGGTCACGCCTTGTTACTACCCCCTTCGCTTCAATCGATGTTGCAAAAATCCAAGATTCCGGTGGAATGTTGTCCCACAAGCAATGTCATGACCTTGGAATTGGCCAAGGACTTTCACGGCAGTTTGCTGGATGGGATGAAACAACATCCACAATTGCCACTGTGGCTCGAATCGAATCATCCCGTTTCCATCAACACGGATGATCCCGGGGTCTTTGATACCGATCCCACCAAGGAATGGAGGCTTGTCCAAGAAACCTATGGATTGAGTTTGGAACGAATACAACAAGTCTTGCTCGAGTCCATGGATCAAGCGTTTTGCGATACTGCAACCAAGGACCGGATAAAGACGCAAATGAAGCTAGCGTTTGACAGTTGAATACCAATATAGCGATATAGCAATCGACAGTAGTAAGAAGCCGGAGAAACTAGAAAGTTGGTTAAAATATCGTATGATGTCTAGAAAAATTCTCATTCTAAAGTTTTCTTATGATTCTCTTTTACGTCAGAAATTCAGCACGGAATAGTGTATGAAGTCGGTTCACATGGACCAATATCAAGCGAATCTAAAGAACTTTAGATTCGCTGTCATTCTGGTCAATATGACTGAGCCATATCGTATATCGCATCTTGCTAAACACTGAATGAGTTATATATCCCTTCCTGTGCGTGCCATGTACCCGTACTGTCAGATGACTGCGGATCATATCGCAGTCATGGTAACAAAAGTCTAGTGACGTTTACTCCATCATGCCTTGTTGTCACTGTAGGTGGTTTGATTCGTTGCCATCGTATTATCGCTTCGTTCGGCCATTTGTTGTGATTTAGGCTGATACGCGCATTCACCACCCGAACAACTTGCGACGATTGGCTTGCCGTCCTTCTTCTTGCAACCACAGGCTGTAGCCACACCACCCACGACGCAGGCTACCATGTCAATTATAAGTCAGCACATTGTTCTTTAGTGTTTGTGTAGATATTGAATATATATGTACAGTAGGTAGGGATAACGTGAAAAGATGAAAGGAGATTCAGCTGGAAGTATACTTTTTTATGATGACAATACCAGATTCCGGCAAATTAGTTTGAAGTATTCGTGTTTGGAAAGAGCCTTTCACTTTTATTTCTCCGTTTGCAGAACTCCAATATCCAATTCTCTATACCTCCATATGTCTGTTGAATGAAACGAACGGATTGAGCAATCAATAAAATCCTTGGTGGTTCAAATGTCAAATAATGTTCAAGCTCCAGTCTTTTTCATCACCATTCCAATTTTTTAGTGTTCGCTTCAGTTCCCGCGATCTCATTTACTTATTGTGGGGCTCTCTAGATAGAGAGTATGGTGGTCTTAAAGGTTCTCATTGTTCGTGAATTCCAATCAAAGCGCGTGAGTAGGTCATAAGGAACTTTCCAAGCTGTTCGGCTGACAATCTGAAATTCTTCCAACGAAAAAGCTGGAGTACCGGATTTACCAACATTCTACAGGTGTCAGACTGGATCGATCAGAAGGGGCGAATCATGCGGCCACCAGCCATCGCACCCAAAGAAGCCAATCTACTAGCAAAAGAATCGTCAAAATGACCACAATTCTTCCCAGCGAACCGAACGTCCTTTCCTTCCACAAATCTCAAACACATTATTGTACTGTATTATTCATATCGAAGTCATTGAGTTGTAAGTGCAAATCAATCTCAGTGACGGCTACTGACGTATTGCAAAAAAGACAAAACAAGGCGTTGCCAACATGAGATCACGAACTAGTTGTCAGCAGAGAAGAAGAAGCCGACAAGGAGTAGGCGCATCATCATGCTCCTCGTCGGATCATCTGTTGTATCGGCATCATCAGGATATCATTCCTACGACAATCAGGTCGTTTGAATCTGCATCAGAACTCAAGATTCAAAGCAAACGACTCTCTCTTGGTAGCCATTGTAGCATTTCCACCTTGGGCGATGGGCTTTCTCATGATCATGATGATGCTCATGATCGTGGTCTGGTGCTGCTGCCGGAATCACCAATTCCTCCCATTCATCGCTGGAAGCAAATTTTGGGAAAAGATAACAGCGACCTGGATCTCCCTCCCATTGGACCAAAACGCTCTACTGGAAACTTGGATGACTTTCAAGAGCATGCCAGCAACAACGAAGCTATCAGCATGAAGAATGGAAACCAGAATAGATCGAGACGACTAAGCTTGGACACGCCTCCTTGCATTGCACTACGGAGGTCTTCCAATCATGTTCGTGCTGATTTGAGCACGAATGACGACGATGATGATGCGAGTGACTACGGCTTTAGTAGTGACGAGGACGACAGCTCTGCAATTTCACCTGGGGTTCCGCGTATCTCCTCGGATCGACCTCCCGAGTTGGCAAGGCGACTCATGAGTCCATTGCCAACGACGGAAGTCAATGGAGTCAATTTGATGGCATCTGAAATCCGATCATTGGGTCTCGAGGCAGAGCTACTATCGGAAACGCCACAAGGGAATAAAGCACTGGCAAGCTAATCAGGATTGACATTCCAGCCACGTACAATTTATATTTTGATAAAGGAGTTGGTCGGTGTCGGAAGCGTAGATTCATGACCGACAGTCAATTTTCGCTTCTGCAGATGCAGTACATTATCTAGGCTCTAGCCTATGATTCCATTCAACAGATGGTGTGCTAGTTTCTTTCGATCTGTTCTTCTAGCTTTGGTTCTGGCTTTAGAGAAACCGCAGCCGTTACCGCCCCACACTACCCGTTTAATCTGCTAATGTAGCTTTTATACAAACGAGCTCTTCTCCGATCAGTCCGGTAATAACAGATCCAGCGGCAATCTCGAGCGCCATGGAACTGGGTGGAACGGGTTCAATGTCAAAGCCCAACCGCTGATACCATAGCACAGTCTTTGCCAAGGTCAATGCATATACTTCCTTGCCTGGTCTGAGGCTATACTTGTTCCGCTGCAAGACTCCCTGAACCAATTCACTCCCTATTCCACGCTTGCGGTATTCTGGAATGACATAGACAGAAGAGAGCTCCCACAATTGGGGCCTCCTTTTCAATTCGGCTTGTCTTCGTTCTTCGCGTCGCTTTTGTCTATCACTGGCCGCTTGGGAAGCCTCTCGATATTCTTTGGTCCAAGGCAAAGAGGCCAGGCCATTGGGAAATTCGACAGGATCTCGTTCAAAGTCGTCCAATATTTCATCATCCAGTTCTTGGCCAATGTTGTCCAAAGATTGCACCTTTCGTCTAAAGTTTGATGAAGAATCCTCATCATCTACGAATTTAGACGATGTTTCAATTCCAGCGTATCCCATGGACCGTATTTGCGCCCATCCAACTCTTTTTCCAGTGGCCTTGTCTTCTGCCACAATAAGATTGTTCTTGTGTGAAATCCCAAATGGATTCATCAGTTCCTTGGCCATGACTGGCGCAATAAAGAGTTCATCTCCTGCTCTTCCATTGCGATATAAGATGGGAGTAGAGGCGCCACCATTATCCGATGAAGCGCGAGCAGCTGTGGATACTCTAGAAGATGATGGTACTGACAACAAGGCATGAGCGTAGAGATTTGAGGCACAGCGTCCATCACCCTGGCGATAGTCTCCGTGGTCACATATCACTATTAGTATAACGACTTTCCACACCAAAAGGATGTTCACATGATGCCAGGGTCGGCTTTGCAGGAACGCCTTGGACATTACGATCTATTGTAGTGTTCTAAGAGTGTCACTGTAATGATGTGAAATATTGAATATTTGATGCATCATCAGTTTGACTCATTCGATCCTACTTGACTCGGAAGACGACTTGCGACATCCTACTGTACCTCACGGTTTAGTTCGAGTAAAAGACTACCAATGGATATGAACGACTTGTTGAACGATGTCAAAATTCCTACATTATGTTAAACTGCTTGCCGTTTGTGTTCTTGTGCATCCCATAATTGGTGACCGACTGAGAGCAGTATTGCTAGCGCGGACGTTTGGCGGTACAACAGATGTTCCGCTTTATGAATTCAATCTTCTAGTACAGCTTGCGAAACCTAGAGTACTATTGAGTTCTTCATCAAGGCAATCTCTGAAAGGTGGAACATAACACCTATTTGTGGCAAGGAGCTGAAATGAAACCGAACTCCTACTCTTGAGCTTCAGGATTCCAAGCTTCGGCTCCAAGAATTCATCTGTGTCTTTGTTGGAGCAATCACCAAAACATGGAAAAGTATTGTGAGAAAGTGCATTCATTGAGGAAACTTGTCAAACGAGGATTCATAAGAGAGTCAGCTAGCGGGCTAGTCTTCCGTGGCAATAATATAGCAAGCAAAGACAGTATTTGACTCCGACCATCTTCGCAAGCGCCTCGTATGGTACAGTCAGAAAGGGCTTAATCCTTCTGTACTGCGGCCCTTGTATCATCATTCTCATCTTCAGAATGGACGCGCACACAAAAAGAAACTCACATATCATCCAACAACGGGGGGAAATTCCTTCTCGACATAGTTTTTTGGGGGCCAAATTTCGCCTTCCTTAGCACTTGCAAATGATGCTCTAATCTTCTTCTTGTCCAACTTAATTCCACCATTTTCGGATGCCTTATCAATCACCTGCTTTGCGATATCGGAAGAACTAACTTCCACAATGCAGGATCCATAAAAGGCACCACTGTTCTTGTCCGCAAGCCAATGGACTCGCTTAATCTTGTCGGCTGAAGCAGAGCCCACTAGAACCTCAATCAATTTGGACTTGGAAATAGTCAAAGGAAGGCGAGCCAAAAAGAGCCTGTCATGATGATGGTTGGAACCACCATCTTTCTTTGCCTTCTTTGATTCCGGCGAAGAGTCAGTACCTCCATCTTTATTGACGGCGATTGATTCAGCCTTGCGCTTCAGCTCGACCAGGTCTGGACCCGACGTAGGTGCCCGGTAACCTTGTTTGCAAAGCTCACAATTCAGCTTGTCGGGGTTCTTCAGTCCAAAAGAGTCACAATCGGGGCATACAATGACAGGAACTCCACAGAGGGACTGGCTGCATTTGAACTTTCCCCGATAAGCGGTCCACTTGCGTCGGCAGACAGAGCACTTGGAATCTACCTCTTGTTCCACTCTATCCCCGTCCTTGGTGCCAGGAACTTGTTCCATGCGACGATCAAATAGATAGTTCTTGCCATTCCAGAAGCCACCTTTGGGAAAGGTCTTGACGTAACGCTCAATGCCTCCGCGCATGTGATAGACTCCCTTCACATTGAGGTCTGGGTTCACAGTGGTCATTTGGTTCAGCAACGCAGTTGCTCGTTCGCAACGGATTCCACCAGTGCCTATTTCGAAAAAGAGAAAATAAAAGTCAGCTAAGCTTCATTATAAGTAAAGTTCGTCTTGATCGTCTTGCGGCGACTTACAATACATCAGAACCTTTTTCCCATTCAGCTTTTCCTGTGTTTTGGGATCATTGAGCCATTTTGGGAATTCAATACTGTTTCTCATTTTGGGGTCAATGAGTTCTGCTCCCCCCTCAGGCGGCTTGAAGCTTCCAATGGCACTTTCATACGCATTACGAACATCGACAACTACCGTATCCTTGTCCTTCATGGCATTGTGATAATCCTCTGCCTCTAAGTGAGTTCCGTGGAATTTTTCCAAAGATGGGGCCTTTTCACCCGCAAGACCATAGGCCACAAGTTCCTCTGTTTTCCGAATCGAAAGACTCTTGAACAACTTATTCTTGGGGACGAAATCGGTCAGTTTAAAGTCAGTCTCGTCAAACAAGGGATTCCACTTGCGAAGGCCGTAACAAAAGTTGCGCACATCTTCTGGCCTCCCGCTGAGAGTACAATTGACACCTTCTGGAGCGACACGCCCCCTTCCTGTGACATTGCACTCTTCACCCAAGGCAATGATCGTTTTAATGGCCTTCTTGTGCTCTTTCTTGGTCCACACTGGCTCTTTGTATTGATAAAAGAGGAGAATGCAACCTTCTGACTCAGCTCCTTCAGGGACAGGCGGAAGGTTTCGGAAAGCTACCGAGCGGCTGTTTTCAATCACAACTTCTTCATCTTCTTTGGTGACCATTTCTCATAGTGGGCGAAGTATGGTTGAAGGATACTTGTTATGGTTGTCAACAAAGATCCAAATTTTATTGCGATGATGATGATTATTGATGATTGGTGGCACACAGAAAAGAGTCCTTCCGTCAACGGGCACTTTTGGAAAAGTACAGACGCCAACCCTTACTCATTCGCTAATATGGACGATCAAAAGTGCGGAACAAAACAATTTTCTGAACGAAGAACGAATGATTATTTTGAAAAAACATGATCATTATTGATGCACGATTGACAAGAGTGGTGGCAAAGAACTTCGATTTTATGGCAACTGTGGCTCTTTATTCATCAGAACGTTGGTGAGTAACGTAATGAGTTTTCGAAGAATGTCCTATTCCCATTTCTTAGTAGCCCCAGCAGATCAATTGGATTGCATCCAACTTTCATTGTTGGGCTTAGCAAGGAGTATTGGACACTACTATTTACTCTAGAGCTATTGCTTTTTGTATTCTTTCCACTCCACGACTAGTGGAACTACTCGTACTTTTGGATCTCCTGTGTTCGCCTCGGCTTCGATAGGCACTGGAACGTCGTTTACTGGTTGACCTTCGTTTCCCTTCCCGTTTCTCCGTCCTCCGGGGTTTATCTGGCTCATTTTCATCACTGTCCTCCACTGATGAAGAGGATGCAGGCATGGAGGCCATCAAAGAAGAGATCGAGCTTGTAGCTGATTCTAAATCCAAATCTTCAATTCCCATCCTTTCATATGCTCTAAGAGCCTCTTTAGTGTCTCTCTTTGCAGTTCGTAGTGCCATCTTAATGCTCTTCTTGGATTTGGATTCAGAAATGAGAGCGAGATTGATAGGATTCCTCCGGTTTTTCCTCCACTGACGTTGTTGCTCATGGAGTACCGCATCAAGACATTCTTCAATCATCTCGTTTGCTTCGTCCGCTCCATCTTGTGTCCAGCCTTCCAATCCTCGAAAGCTTTCACCTCGCTTGCTGCGTTCGCCATTTTCCAGTCGCTTGGAACTTCGTTCATGCCGTTCAATGTATTTTGCTTTTTCTTCCTCGGTGTACCAACAATGTCTCAGTTCACGTTCTGAGAAGTCGTTTCGAGAGGGTATGTAGTGGTATTCCTCTAACTTTTCTGAGAAGCGGATTTTGCTTTGTTTCAAACTGAAGCTTGATTCAGGTTTTGGTTGTTCAGTCATGGTGTCCAATAATGAAGAGGATGCTGACTCTATTTCAATCGAAGATACCATATTGTCTTCCTCAGCAACCTTATGACTACGATGTAGATGTCTTTGTGTTTGTAGGATGTGGTGACAACTCTGGAGTTGTAGAATTTTAAATGTTCCAATCGTTCTTTCCAATTTGGAAGGGTTGCTAATATTGATGTGTTCCGCCAAAAAGTTTCATGTGATTCATCGATGAATCGTGTGCCCGGCTGGAGATATGGCGATTCAACCGCAATAACCGTTGAACGGTGTAATTCTAGTTCACGCGGTATTTGCATCACGAAAATTGGCAATCACAGCGTCGACGAATGAGAATTCTTCGATGCGAAACATTCATGCATGCTTGACTTTTTATATATTTTATGCATGATGTGGCATGGTGAAGTAGGGAGAAGTCACATGCATGGCCATAAAACAAAATGGTCTCATACACTGTGATTGGTCGAGGAGGTCAACCAGATACCTCCTGCAGCCAAGCCAAAGCTACCAGTACTCTCCTAGCGTCCTACTGTAGCTATATACTGTAGCTAGCGTACGACTGAGCCGAGCCATTTTAAAAAATGTAGATTAGGCTATCTTATGAATGATGCATGCGATGGATGAAATTCAGCATCACCTTGAAGTTTCTTCCAAATGAAAGCAGCTTGGGTTTGCATCGGATGATCTTCAATTAGAGCTGGTGAAGTACCAAACAAGAGACGTACATG